GCATTATGAAAAACCAGGAGTGTGATTCTCCTTGTTCTACTGAACTTCAGCAATCACAGACCATGGCAGCTTTCTGACTGGACACTGGCTCCACCCTACCTAGTGGGCCATGATGCTAGAGACTCCTATTATTTTCACAGTTTATTTTTATTTATTTAAAACATTTTTATGCTGCCCCCATCTCAACAAAGCCTCGGGGTGGCTTACAACAGGAACAAAATTATGCAATAAAAATATTAAAACCTGGTGCATCTCAGCTTAAAAATTTTTTAAAATCCTACAGATAACCAATAAATTAACACTTAAAATAAGTTTTAAATAAAAAGGTCTTAGCCTGGCACCAAAAAACAAATAACGACGGTGCCAGGCGGACCTCTCTGGGGAGCACATTCCATAGGTGGGGCGCCACCGCAGAGAAGGCCCTCCTCTGGGTACTCACCCTCCTAATATTCACAGAGGGTTCCCGGAGAAGGGCCTCTGTTGCTGATCTCAGGGGGCGGGAGGGCATATATGGACGCAAGCATTCCTTTAGATACAGTTCATTTATATCCTTCCCTTTTTCCTTTTGTGAGGAACGCAAGGCAGCTTACATAGTCCTCCACTCCATTTTATCCTCACCACAACAAACCTGTGAGGTAGGTTAGGCTGAGAGTCCATGACTGGCCCAAAGTCACTTTGTGAGTTTCATGGGGACTAGAACCCAGATCTCCCATGACCCCAGTCTCGCCACCATGCTACACTGGCTTGCAGTTGTCATCAAACTGTTCATCCCAGTAACATTTAGAACTGGGGTTCCAATTTTGTAGAATGCTGACATATGTACATATGAGTAGTTCCTCCATTCATGCTTCTTTAGACAGTCCTACAGCATGTTATCACTTACTGTTTCCATTGATGTTATATCACTTCAGCCATATTTGCAAATCTGTAGAATATGATGAGAATTCTTCACCTTTTTGACTCTCTGATCTTAATTCTTGCTTCTAAACAAAGTTGGCTTTCATGCGTAAATAAGCATTTGCCAGGTTTCTTCAGAAATAGTATTTTTCTTGAAGATTCAGAGACGGCAACGCAGTTAATATTGGCCTTCAATTTAGACCTTCTTCAGTCATGTTTTGACATTGTCCAATAGTTGGCACTTATCTGAGTAAAAGATGAACTCTGTACCGGAAGACTTTTTGATATTTTCTGATCTATGCAAATAGATTTCCCATGCCCTTTTGACAGCTAAAAGACCGATACTATAATAATGGAAAAATAAAAGCTCACCTCCTATAATGCAATGAAGACTTAATTATGCTTACAGTATTTGAGTGGATGACATACAGATGCCACTCTTCTGTGGGCATACATACAGGTATTTTATCTGACTTTGTTGACATTTACGCATAACAGATGTATGCTCTTTTTTGATATTTGCATGTAAGTTCCTATCAATTTCATTGTTTTTTTCTTTTTTGGTGTTCATTTCTTTTGTTTTGGTGAAATTCACAATAAAAATAAATGAAAACTATTAGCATTCTATTTGTAGTGAGACCTTTTGCTTGGTTGGTATAAACTGGCCAGAGAGCTTCAATATAAAAGTTTAATAAATTTATTAAAATAGAAAGTATGATACAAAAGCCACACTGACTCACATCAGCTGCATTGTGTCCTCACCAGTACTTCTATAGTGCTTTGACAGTAACAAGGCTTGTTGCATGTTGATACAGCTGAGGTTTGGTGCTTGGCAGTCTTTTCGTGTTATTTTCCAGCACTGGCTTCCCTGATTGTTTTAGCAAACCATGCTCCTCCATTACACTGACTGTAGCAGGTGGAAGCTTCCTCCTTTTTATGCCTTTTTTTTTTTTTTTTTTTTTGCAGAAGGCAAATTAATGGCCATGTTCTTAGCTTCAAGGAACTGGAAAAGATTGGCTGACTGAAAACAGCTTTTCCTTGATGAGATGCTGTTGCTTTAGAACATTATTTGTGCCATATCATTATTATATAGTGCCTTTTTTGTCTTGCAAGACACCCAAGGCAGCTTGCATGGTCCTCTTCTATTCCATGTTATCCCCTCAAGAGCTTGTGAGGGAAGTTAGGCTGAGAGTCAATGACTGGCATTTACATCCTGAGATGCCTGACTCAGTGCGCCTAGAACCTGGATCTCCAGAGTCCCAGTTCAACACTCTAACCACTATATCACACTGCCTGACGTGGCCACACCAGAGCAGCTGAACCTACAGATATCTTGGTGAACATATATGTAAGAGTTAATACTGGCCAGGAGCCCTTGGTCTGTACCCAACTGTCATTCTGCCAGCAGAAACCACTAGTGGAACGGATTTCTCCCTTCCTCTGCAACCATTGGTTCAACTACCACCCTCCTGCAATCTTGGAGGATTGGAAGACCTTCTGGAGCAGATTTGGGGTATGAAGGATGACAAGGAGCTGGAAAAGTCCCACTGCATGAGCCAAGTTCTACTTGCACAAGGGATCAATCCAACCTCTTCTGAGGGTTAACAGACTGGGCTCTTTTCCTTCCATAGCCCAGCAGGTGTTAGGTTTACTTAAAGCACAGAACTGGCAGAGTCAGTTAAAAATGTCCAAGGAATGATTTAAACAAACAAACAATGAGCAAACATATACACTGTTAATCCCCAATCATCTTGACAGTCTTTAATTTTTTCCTTGCCTCCTCCTTCCTTGTCCAACTGTCTCAGAATTTTCACCCCCTCCCTTAAGGAAGCACACTCTGGTGTATTGTTTTGCAGGAAGGTTCATCAGTTACATGGAATATACGTAGGTACTTTTAGACAGGGGGTTCTAGGTTCACCTTGGGTAGTTTTGAACTTGTCAAAATATTAAATGTTGTGCTAGGAAAAAAGAAATTATGCCAAAACTTTAAAAATGCTCATACTTACTGTGCATTTGCATATACACGTTTTTAACATGTAGTTAGAAATTATCTTCATACCAAGAAATTAAGCAATACTCTGGTACCTTGGCTCACAAACTTAATACATTCCACGACTCTGGTTGTGACCCAATTCAAATTTCCCCATAAGATTCAATGTAAATAAGATTAATCCATTCTGGCCCCTCCGAATGTGGTTGTGAGCCAATTTTTGGTCATGAACCAAGTCAAATTTTCCCATAAGGTTCAATGTAAATAAGGTTAATCAGTTCTGTAACTATTTTTTAGCAGAAAAATTTGAAACAAAGTGACAAAGTACTGTACAGTACAGTGGAGAACACTAACCTAGGTGGGGGGAGGTTATTGTTTTGAGGGAGAGTCCCCCTCCATAAGGACACTGGGGAGATCTCTTTCAGGGGTTTCCTCTCTTCTTTGTCTCTTAGCTGCAGGGTCAATTCTGGTGAAAAATCTGTCTATAGTCACTTGTTTTTTTTTCCTGTGCTGCATAATCCTCCGGAAATGAGAGACCACATTAGCGTTCATTAGATTCAACACTCTGTTAGTTATATTGGGGTGGTGCTTCTCAAAGAAATCCTGGCACTCATTCCATTTTTTCATAATGGATTGTATCACATTACGGCTAACCTCCTCCCTGTCTTCCTCTTCCTCAGTGGAATCCTCCTCAGCAAGTGCCTTCTGTTGCTCACTCTGGTGTTCAGCAAGTTCTTCTGTTGTCAGCGCCTTTATGTCTTCCCTGCACAAATGCAACTGCGATTGTGGCCATCTCCCCACTTGGGGTAGGGGGGGAGATGGCCAAGATTGCGCCTGTCTTTCCTGCAGGAGCACGCCTGTGATCATGCACATCTTCCCAGCACAAACGCAACTGTGATCGTGGCCATCTCCCCACTTGGGGCGGGGGGAGAGAGGGCCTCGATCTTGGTTACCACCCAATGCGGAGCTCGTGACCCAAGTCAAAATTTTCATGAAATTTTTGTTCGTGACCCGATTTGGTTGTGAGCTGAGGCACCACTGTACATTGCCAATCAGGATTTAGAGGGATGAAATTATTATTTGAGAAGGCAGTTAATACTTGAAATCATAAGTACTATTTCAGATTGCAGGAAAGTTTCTTCTGCCAAACACTGAAAGAAACAAAATGTGCCTGAAAACAGAAAACTGGCACATTAGGAGAAAGAATCTTAAACATTGTAGCTGAAGTATGCACCAAATATGCATTAGTTGCTGAGAATTCATGATAACCTTCTAAGACAAATGAAACTCTAATTGGATAATTTTGAATGTACCATATAGAGATCTTAAGTGATAATAAAGACTGTAAAAATCATCCATATGTGGCATTCTTAAATTTGTTACTGTCCACTGTTCCTTTTTCAAATGCAATTAAAAAAAGAGGGAGAGAGGGAAAAGTGTGTATTAGCGTTTTCATTTCGATTCACATTTTCAACTAATAAGGAATTTGTTTTTCCACAGCTAGAAAATGACAACATTGAGTGCGACTGGTCTATTATGAGGATCGCTCAAAGAATCGTGTGCATCTTTCTTTGCTTAGGGAATCTCCGTTCTCTACTTCAATACTAAAGAGAACTTAACAAATTACCAAGATTCAGAGAAACACTGCAGATTCAGACGTTTGACAACAACAAAGCATTCCACTAAGAGTGTCCCTGTGCGTCTCTTCATCCCAAATTATCACATTAGTCATGTATCAGTGCAGCGATAGAGATTGGGGGTTGGCAAGCAATGATCCATACGACTACCCTTTCTTCCTCGCCCCCCTAATTACTACGTCGTCACCCACCAGCGATTAATCGGCCACACGCTCCATTTTCCCCATCTCACTGGCACACAGAAAGAGACACGTCCCACTTTTTCCTCCCTGAACCATAGGAAATATGTAATTGCTCAGCCAAACCGGAACTCAGATGACGCGATTGTTTCCTCGCTGGGCTTCACCTATATCTTCCTCTCTATGGTTCCTCTACAACGTAATTTCCGGATTTTCTCAGGACTCCTCCGGACCAATCGGAGCGCCCTATTCTCCTCCTCCTCTCACCTTCCCCGCCCCATTTTTCAACAGTGCCGAGTTGCCATACTGAGCCCGCCGCCGCTGTTTGCTTCATCTTCTTGTGCGCCCGCGCGCGTCTTTTTCCCCCCCGCTCTCCCTCCCGCTTGGTGTTCTAACCACCAGACGCCGACCTAGCACAGGAGAAGAGATGGCGGCGGTAGCGGGTGAAGCCGTAGCGGGAAGAGCGCGAGACGCCCGGAAGCCTGAAGAGACGTCGCGAGGACGCCTTCTCGAGCTGTAACCGTCCTTCTTCCCACCCCCGTCCCGTCAGTTCGCTAGAAAGATAGAGCTGCCCCCTTCCCCCCGATCTCCCTTCAACCTGTGAGGGGGCAAAAACGGCCCGCCGGGAAGGTTCCGGCTGTTATTATGCCCGGCTCCTCCGTTCGTTTCCAGAGCGCCCCCGCCGCTCGGGGCTGATGCTGGGATCCCTTCTGGGTTCCGGACGCCGTTTCTGCCTCCGGGCTGCTCCGCAGACATGTATTTCCTCAGCGGGTGGCCGAAGAGGCTGCTGTGCCCCGTGGAGGCTCAGGAGCCTCCGCTCTTTATTCATGCGGACCCGCAAAGGACTTTGTTCGCCGTGTTGTCCCCGTCTCAGCTCAGCATCTGGTACAACAGGGTGAGTAGTAGTTCTTCGCTGAGTTGTCATCACCTGCTTTTCTGCTCCGTCCGATCTTCTCCAAACGCCATCCGCCCGCTTTTTAAAGTCCGCTTGGATCCTGCTGTGATTTCTAACTGGGCTCAACGAGATTGAGGTTCACTTGCTTAGTGAATTCGACTCAGACCTCGAAGTTTTGAGGAGCAAATTCCTGCTCTGCCATGATTTCAGCGCGTGGCTGGCAAGCTTTTTTCTCTTTCAGCCTCCATTTTCTAACAGCAAATTTGGGAGTCATTGGCCTACCTCACAGGGGTGTTACCCTATATAAATAAGAAAAGCATTGTACACTGAATTGCCTTGAGAAGAGGAATACCCAGAAGGCTTGTGCTTACTACAGGGTGTTGTGTGTGCATATGTTAAGGGTTTTTTTGTATATAGTTTTGGGCTTTGCATTATCAGGGTGCTACTAGCCTTATCCCTTTAGTTGTCACATTGATAGACTGTTGCATATGTGCAGCTAGGATATTAACCTTAGGATATTACCATTCTGATGTCTCAAACTCATTGCAGAATTAAAGTATCTTCAGTGTGGTCATGCACAACAGAGTATGATGTGCAAGTAAGTGCCACAGTGGCAGAACATAGATGTTGAAAATTGATGATTTATGGTTCAGAATGTTAAAGAAACAGACAAGGGAAAAACCTTTATATGTGTTGGTAAGCCACTGCTATTTAAAGCTGATGGCAGTGGGCTGTATAGTCATGGTTCAGAGGCAGTAGGAGCTATATGGAGCACACACTGAGTTGTAAGTGGTGTCACTCTACTGACAGAATACTCTTTGATCCAATGGAACATGGATGGAAGCAATTTTTTCTCATTGCCCATTTGCTGTGACCGCCTAAAAACTGCTTGAAATGTGGGGGGCATTCAGGGGAATGGAACTCATAAAAAAATGGCATTGCTTCCTGTTCCACTGACTGGAGCTTCTGCTGGATTGAGGAGCACTCCAGTGGAATAACATTAAGTGGGTATGACCCATGCAAGAAAATCTTCAGGTGTATGTTGTAATGCAAAATTTTAAGCCACTTCTATGATATGTGGAGTAGTTTTTCCTCAAGTAGTGAATGTGTATTGTCGAAACAATTTTCATGTGTTGTTGGTACCCACATCAGTTGATTATGTTGCGGGTCCATTGCTGAAACAGACAAGGTGGTAGAAGCTCTGCGAGTATACTTAATTTGGCTTCCAGGTTGCAGGATGTGTAAGTTTTAATAAGTTTATGGGTTGGATATAACTTCATAAACTCTGTAAACAGGAATTGTTTTTGCTGACATATTGAAGAATGTGATTAGCTTAAGAGAACACATGATCTTATAGGCAAACAGGAATTGTTGATAGGCATATCAGGGTGCTGCTGTCACTTCGTATTTAGTTGCTCAGATACTTTCCTGTCATTCATAATGCATGCTTTAATTCAATATACAATTCATGGAGTGGGAAACAGCTGTGAGGGGAAAAAAGCTTACAGTCTGCTCTCCAGAGTTCACTTCAGTTGCAGCAAATAATAGGTTGATGTGTGCCAGGTAGACTGGCAAGTGTGGCAAAGCCTTCTATTTTTCTTGCCTTTATCATCCCTGGAAGTCCCACAACTCATCTAGATGAGCTGACATGGGGTTTGTGGTCAGTGATAGCCATCAGGATGCTCTACAAAGACCCTCATATTATTCAGCCATATATATAAGTCTATTCTGCAGCACAGAAACATCAGTGAGCAATGCTGGCAACTGCTACTGTGCTGGGGTCAGGGCAGATGAACAGGCAAGAGTGGGACAGTTATAGCTATATAAGGTGTTGAAACTTTATTAACCGATTCATGCAATCTGTTGTGCATATATGGGGTCTTGTAGAAGTAACCGTAAAGCTTCTAAAACTTCATTTTTCATGAAGTGCAGACTTCAGTGTCTTTTTTAAATGTTATGTGCTGACTGCAATTAAGGAATGTGTTTCACAAGTTAGAAATACTTCTGGTAATTCTTGTAGTAAGCACTGAAAATGCAAGACTTGACAAGGTTGGCTTTTTGTTACCTAAGTATGTGTGAATTTTGAAACATAACGCATTAGTGCAATAAATGTTAAAGCGCTTCAGCTAGAATAGCATTGATTATATTGGCTTTCATATGTAGAAAATATTGGATCAAAGATAAGTCCTTAGGTAAATGGCACAGAGGAACAAGTTTTCTTGGAAATCATCTTTTAAAGGTGCAGTATACAGAAACAGGTAAATGTGTGTTTCTTTCAGCCCTAGAAGTTTGTTTGTTTGTTTGTTTGTTTGTTTAGAGCATTTTTATGCCACCCCCTTTGCAAAAAGCCTCAGGGCAGACAATTTTGACAAATTTGCTTCATGGATTGGAATAAATTAGTAGGGTTTGAGATCTGATGTGAAATACGATTTTAGGTTTACCTTTGCTGATACGTTTAGATAACTTGCACATCTAACTAAGGAATATAAGCTAGGAAGGTTGATGTACAAATGTATATTCCTTGAGGGTCAGAAAAATGAATGAATGAATTATAAAGCCAAATACTCTGAGCACTGTTCATTTTCTTGTATACTTTGTCAGTGCATTTTTGAATGACTTGAATTAAATCTACTGATGCATGAGAACAGATATTTTAATTTATAACTTTGAGTGCAGACTTTGTGATAGTACAGCAAATTGGTGAATCAAAATTGCCCAAGCCATTCATTTGTGAGCAGAATGTAGCAGTGACAACATAGGCTTTATGGAGATGCTTCCTTGATTTGTTCTCAAAGCAGTTCAGGATGTATATGGGAACATGAAGCAACATGTGGCCCTCTAGAAGCTTTGGCCTACAACTCTCATGATTCTTCAATGTTAAGTATTGGTGAGGAATATTTGGACTATTCTTATCCCTTTACCATGGCTAGGGATAATGGAAGTTGGAGTCCTCCATATTTTTTGACTGGCAAGGTGCTTGCCCCTGTATTGTAAAGGCTCATCTGGAATACTTATTTTAGCTGTACCCTCGATCAGGACATCACTGCCGCCCTGCTTTCCTTTAGTATTCTGATTGTTGCATTCTAGAATTCAATGTTTCTGGTAATGCAGAATAAGATCAACAGGTAATTGACACTAAGTGTAATCCTATGCATGACTACTCAGAAGTAAGTCCCAGTGAATTCAATAGAACTTAAATCTCTTGTGAGTAAATGCCTCGTAAATATTAAATGTTTTGTAATGCCTATATTATTGATACTATTTTAAAATACAGTTTATTATTGATTGCAGTTATTTATATCCTGCAATTCAGAAGAGGAGCAGAAGGAGCAGAAGTAGCATTAAAACAATAGCATCTCAGTATTCAATATTAACAGTTTAAAAACAATCAGGATGCTTCTCAGAGAATCTACTGCTTTGGTAGAAGGTTGCCCTGGCTGTGGAAGGGTCCAGCTGGAATGGGAGCAGGTCTTGGTGTATGTAGTTCCCTGTCTCCTGCAATCCTTCCCAGAGTGTAGTTGATGGTAGATGGTCCTATAGTGGTGGGAGCCCAGGGAGTCCAGCTGGAGCAGCCCCTGAAGAGACCCTCCGGTTACAAAATGCTCATGCAAACAATTCAGGCATACCAATCAAAAGTTGATAGTCTGATACCCTGTATTGTGGTGAAGTAGCACAGTAGAGCGTGGTGTTGGCGCGTGTTTGACTTTCACTGCCACAGTATATTGGGGCAAGGTGGTTTGCATAGCTTGCTGAGTATGGAAGCTTAGTTTCTCCACAGTCTGGCTTTCCTTGTGAGGGGAAGAGTGAATATCCTTTGTATGGGGTCCACACAGTTTGAAATGTATATAGATGATGTCAACTTACATTCCACCTGTTTTTAATTGAAGTCTTGAAAGCAATGAATGTGCAAATATCACTTCACTGTATAGATTAGCCATCTTTGTAAAAGTGAATTGGCTCATATATGTATAGAAAGAAAAACTTTTCATGGCATTCCTATGCTGTTATTTTAATTCATCTTTGCACAGAAGCAGAAGAGGTTTCTACAATAATATAAGTAAAATGAACAGACTGAAAAGAAAATAAAGGATGTGGAACATATCCTGTTCTCATATGGAGCCACCTCCATCTTTTTCAGTTTGGAGAAAGAACTTTGGAATTATGTGAAATATTGGATATGAATAAAAGAAAATATAAGATCCAGTTTTACAAGATAAAAGTTAATAGAACGTTTGTCATGTTATAGTACTTTTTGAAAGTATTATATGTTTTAATACGTTGAAAGTGTAATATAATTAATTATGCATACATGAGAGTGTTATCTATGAAAGTAATATCCAGTAGCATTTTTTAAAGTTAAATATTGAAAAACGGGTATGTAACTGTTTAATTGTCTTCTTTTCTAACCCCCCCTCGGCAGCCCAGTGTGTTAATTGTAAGCTACAAAGAATCTCCGAAAGCAGCATTGCAGTTTGGATGCTATGATCAAGCGGAATGGAGACCTGACAGCACTATGATAGCAGTTTCGGTGAGGCATTGTGAAGATATTTTATGGCACTAATTCTGATAATAATAAACTGAACCTACCTTATAGAGGTCATTATAAGGCTTAGTAAAATATATGTGAAATATTTGAATGTACCCTAAATAGCATTGTAAATACAGTAATAAAAATACAGGTTTGTTGTGTCTATATTTTAAATTTTGGCATGCTAGTCCTCATTTTAATTAACTCAGAAGCAGTATTGTTAATAGGCTTTTCCAGCTAGTTTGTTAGGCAGTAGGCTTCTCCAGATGATTTTTCAGCCACCTGAACTAAGCAAGAAATGTATAATATTAAAACTTCTTAAGATTATACATCTACCCTTCACTGCACTGAAATTGATCTTAACAATGCATAATGTAGAATGCTTGCCTTATATTCAGGACTTTTGGAAGCATGTTAACATTGTATTCAATTTTCTCCTAAATATGTGGCTTAAAAGCATTTTAAATTTAATGGCCAAAATTCTCAAGTTTCTACAAAGAACTTGAGCGCTGTAAAGAACCTTTTTTGGAAATTGATATTTATCTTGGTTTCCGTTGACTGAAACACGTTATTTGTCCATGGGCTTGATCATGTACCACATCTGGATTAATGGCAGCCATTTGCATAAATCCAGATGTGGTGCATTACTCTGCAAGTCCAGTGATTATTTCAGTTTGCAAGTATTAGGGGATATAGATTCAGCAAGTACATTTAGAGCAACATTAGCCTTATGAGAGGCCTCATAATTGGAAAGCTTCCTTGAACATAGATTGTTTAAATATCCAAAGAACACAAGCATGCTATTGTTCATTTTACATTTATTTATTAAGTATAGTGCATTTTTAAAAAATCCCTCAGCGTAGCACTAGTCAATAAAATATGCTTTAGACATTTTCAGACACAAGCTATAAGTAATAATTACCAATAAAATATAACTTGCTTTATATATTCATGTGATGCCTTATGGTTAAACCTTTGGAAAGCTAGGAAATATTTTAAAATCAAGAGATTGCAGTCTTTCAAAGTTTCACAGGCTAGCATTATTTAGAATCAAAGTTGAATCTTAGGTTTCTTCTTTTTGCTGCTTATATTCCACAGTGCAACTTAGGCAGTTTTATAACTCTGGCAGCATCGGTAATGGATATCCTACAGAAATTTAGGTGAACCATTTGAAATAGTCTTTAACACAGTGCTAGCTAAATAAGACAGTGGACGACTTTTCACAGCATGGCATTCTACCCTGTGAATAAGCTACACAGTGTGGGTTGTTTACACAGTATGTCCAACAGACAATTCTGCTTATTATGGGTTGCACTTCCCTCTTTTCCCTGGTCCTTCAGTTTACATCTCAAGGCAGAGCTCTCCTAGTCTCCTAATCCTTGCCCCATTTGCAACCTCTTTTAGTTTTCAGGGTTCTATTAATACATAGCCAGGAACAATGATGAACTTGAATTGTTTAATGGAATAAAGGGTTGTGCTTGTATGTGCAAAGTATGAGAAAATGGCAAGGTACACTTTGAACTATTTTTATTATCTATCCTGACCTTTTCCATCTAAGAAACTAAAGGTGGCTTACATAATTCTTCTCCTCTCCATCTTATCCTCACAACAACAATCCTTTGAGGTAGGTTGGGCTGAGAGTTTGTGGCTGGCCCAAAGTCACCCAGTTGGCTCCATGGCTGACTGGGGACTAGAACCCAGATTTCCCAAGACCCAGCCCAGCATGCTTAACTACTACACCACACTGGCTCAGGCCATTCCTCTGAAAGAAGTTAAAACAAGTTCCTTCGGTTGTTCTGGAAGACAGTGAGGAGCTATGTTAGATGCTGAAACAACAGTGTAGTGGTAATAGCTTGTTACTGACCCACCTCTATCAGAAATGAAAGTTTTTGGACAATCTCAAGCAGTTCTACATGCAGCATACCACTGTTACCTTGAGATCTCAAAAGCATGATGGTATCTTCTTGAAAAGCAGTCTTGGCCATCATTTCAGTTTAGAGAGTTGTTGTTTAAAATAAGTGAAATTGTTATCTGGAGACTTTACAGAACTGCAAAATATTGCATGGAGGTAGCTTAGAGAAGACTTGACATTGGAACATATCTGTGGTAACAAACCTTGTTCTCCCAAGAACTTGAAACAGGATGGAAGTGTATCTTTTTCCATTGTTACTTGTGATGACGATAAAGAGGCAGGCACAGTTATTGCACAATATTCTTTCATAACCTTTATCAAATCCAGTTCAGCCAAAGTGTTGATCTGGTAAGCAGACATGTTTCATAGCATGGCATGAAGTCCAACTGGGATTGTGATAGAAATTAGGTTCAAAGGTTACTTTTGCTTTTGGATGTCATAGTCATGATGAGGGCAAAAACTATGTAGTAAGGCTTCAAGTGTTATGTGACAGGCTGTGAATGACACCTCCAGCTGCTGCTCACAATTTCACATCTTTATCATCATAAGTATGACGAATCCATGTCCTATAGCTCAGTCATCAATTAATAGAGTGCAGCCAAGAAATTGGAAGAAGATTGAGATTTGCCCAGGTAGCAATGAAGGAACTAGAAAAGATCATCAAGTGTAAGTATGTTTCACTGGAGACAAAGCCCAAGATCATCCATACTATTGTATTACTGATCACTATGTAAAGGTGTGAAAGCTGGACTGTGAAGAAAGCTGACTGGAACAAATTTGATGGATTTGAAACATGGTGCTTGAGGAGAGATTTGCAAATATCCTTCACTGGCAGAAAGATAAACAAGTGGGTCCTTAGTTCAAATTAAGCTAGAACTTCCCTTGGATGCAAAAATATGAAACTTAAGACTGATGTACTTTGTCATGGGAAGACAAGACTCACTGAGAAGACACTAATGCTAGGAAAAGATGAAGAGAGAAGGGAAAGAACAAATATGAAACAGAATCCATAAAGTAAGCCACAGCCTTGAGTTTACAAGAACTAAGCATGGCTGTTGTGGACAGGATATTTTTGAGTGCATTCATTAATAAGGTTGCTATAACTTGAGGATAACTTGACAGCAACATGAGAATACATTTAATAACCTAGACAAGTGTTGGTGATAGTAGTGAAAGTATGAACATAGATTTGCAAACTGCAGAATGACTATGACACAGTGCAAATAGCTTCTGGGTCAAGAGCTCTGGTCTCATGCAGGCTGGAAAGCAGATTTTGAGTGATATTCCTAAAAAGAGATGCAGTATATTTGAGTTTTGGTTTTAGATTTGGTTTGTGAATAGTCCGTAAAGACTGAGTGAGTTTCTAACGTTGTTGGAATTATGTTATCCAACATTCAGAAGGAAGGAATCCAAGGTAGGGGTTCAGGCCTCCAACCATGAGCAGCTATTGACAAACATCTGTTCTGGGGTGTTCTGAAAAATGTCATGGGTGAATCCAGGTTGCTTCATAACCCATCACATGCCAATCCTTATACGTGAGGGCAATATGGTGGCTGAGACTTGTAGGCCCGGGGTAAAAAGAGGATCCTGAAAAACCTAGATGCCATTTGGACTCTGACATGGTCCAAGGCCATTGCATGAAGGCACCAAACATATAAGGTTCTGATGCCATGAGCCAAGATGAGCTGGCTGAGGCGCACCCCCACTAATGCTTTCTACCTCTACAGACTTTCAAGGGCTGTCGGTATGGAGGCAGGGAGGAACTAGCCACTGACTAGGCCTACACTGAGCTACATATGTTCTTCTGTATCTGCATGACTCTTCAAATGAGGCCAGGATGTGTGGAATTAGGCCTTTTATAGTCACGCAACAACCTGTACCTTGAAATTTCAAGATAGGGCTTTCAGCACTACCTATTTTGTGAAAGTTGGGTTTTTCTAACCTAGTACTGTTGCCAGTGACAGGCAGCTTATCTCCAGGGTTTCTTCCTAACCTTATCTGTAGGTTCCAGGGATTGAACCTGGGATTTTCTGTCTGCAGTTAATGTGCTCCATCTCTGATATGTGACTTCATGAATTGCAAGCTCAGATTATGACTCTCCCATTAATTGCACACTAAGATTTCTCCATTGCCAGATGTTCCACTTCATAAAATCAGTGAAGCTAATACAGACAATCCACTTGGCTGGAACACATTTAGATGAAACTTTAATTTAATTGCACTAACATTTATGGGATATGGAAGCTCAGCCATTTGTAGAAGTTACCTTGTTTTTACTCAAATTCCACACTGAAACTTGGGAGCAACTTTGATGGTAGTGCAGACAGATACGAGCTTTGTAACATCAGCTTGTGCAGAAGGGGAAATTGGAGAGCTTCTTTTCTATGCTAATGCTAGAACTATCCATTTTGTGCAGTGTCGTCTTACTCTTTCAGCACAAGAGAAGCAGTAATTATAAATTATTTAAAGGTGGTTAAACAGGAAAGATAATAGGGTTAGCTTTCATTTTGTATTTTTGTTTCATAATCATTGAAATTAAGTAGAAAATAAATTTAACAGTACTTAATTTGCATTTCAAGAAGACTTGTGAAGAAATGCCATAAAACTAAAAGGAGAACTGTTACTAGGCAGAACTGCTAGTGAAATGGGCTAACAAGTGCATGTTTTCCTTGTGCTTCTGTATCCTTGATTGAAAAACAGGAAACCATTCCTGAACGGACATTTGAAACCTTTAATTTTCTCTCTCAATCTTGCTGCTTTGAGAAGCATACTTAGCCAGCATCCAACTGCTTAAATGGAAAAATCTAGTTAAAAAACACTTTCTCATTTGAGCTGCTGTTCATTTGGAGACCATTTCAGATAACATGCATCAGTTCTAAATAAATTTGATTTCATTAATTTCATTGGATTTACTTCCAAGTAAATGTAGTTAGGGTTCATTTAGGATACTCAAATTCATGATTAAGAGGGAAAATAAGGTTAGATGATCACAGTAATAAAGGTTTTTGGAAAAGAATAATGGTTACTGAAAAATCTGTTACGGTATATGCTCTGCCATTCTTCCTTGCATTTCTGAACTTCTGCCCATGCCTTTCTCTAAATTTCAGCTTATCTCCTTCTGGCTCTCCTTGTTAGTGGTACAAAATAAAGCAGAGAAAATGTGTGTGCCTTTTCTGGGGAAAAAATAAAAACCAACATAATACTACTTAACAAATTTAACTTGATCACCATTAGAACATGTGCTACATATAACTTAGAAGTTATCAGTGAGAACAAATCGGCATTTAGAACTTACGGCTTTATCATTTACATAAATGTACTGTTATGCAGATAGGCATGTATACACATGCTTTTAACTAATGCATTCATATTCATGGCTGTGCAAAATAAGTGTGTTGGATTTTCTTGATTATTATATTCTGTGTGCTTTAAATATATAGTGCCTTGACCTAACTCATGTAGATAAACACAGGTATCTTTGATTTTGTATACCTTTCAGACTGCAAGTGGATACATCCTGTTTTTTAATCTTCCATCAGCAAGAGACAAGTATCTTTATGAGCCAATTTATCCCAAGTAAGTCTTGCCATATATGCTTCACTTCTTCCATTGCACAGTGCTAAAAACCATAGTTTTGTTGTGATTAGATGCTTGCGTAAGAATTATATAAAATTCTTTATGCAGTGCTTGGTTGTATTACTGAGAACAGTATTACTCAGTCTGAATCACTGTTCTTTTGTGGAGGTAGGGATGGGAGAATGCAAACAATGGGACTGTGACTTATTTATTTATGCACATATTTATAGGCCACCTATAACTGCTGAGACCCTCCTAGGTGGCTTAGAATAGGCATACAATTTTGTCTTGTGTGACATGCAAAATAAAGATTATCAGCAACATATTTAGCAGAAAATGTGTTAAGGAGCAATCCTATGCATATTTAGAAAGGAAAAAGGACCTTTTTTGAAGGGGCATCCAGACTTGAGAATACGCTCCTTTTAGATTCCAATTAAAAACTCTTCATTTTCCCAAACTTTTGCAAATGTTTTGCTTCTACTGAGCTCTTTACATACAATTGATTGCTGTTCTTTCTGTTTTCATAGTAATGGACTGTATACATTTTGTAAGTTGTCTTGAAAGAATAAAAAAATTAAATTTGTTCATGTGCTATGATTGGGCTTGCCCTGCCATGTTCCAGAAGTAGTTTGTACTGCCTTACAAATATAATAAAGACAAGTTGCAAACCCCTTTGTTACATGGTCCAATATAATTGAATAGTTCAAATCTTATAGCTCAAAGATGTTTTGAATGCTTTTAATTCTCTTAGGTATGATTTTTTAAAAAAATCTTGCTCTCTATTATGTTTACTCTTGTTTTATATTCAGAATCTTTCTTAATTACTGCTATAAACTATAATCAGTCATTAACATTCATTACTATGTCATGAAAGAATTACTAGTGTCTCCCAAAAAATGAAAGCACCCATGCAGAGATTGGATTGCTCACAGAATCTTTTCATGTTACTTCTCATGTCTTGCCTCTTTCCATTCAGTAAGTGCACAATAACTCTTCCAAAAATGTAGGGTGTGAACTCCCTGGGGAATAGGTAAAACTTAGCCTTTCACCCTATAAAAAGTAAACCTTAGTATATGTATGATTTTATTTCATAAAGTTTTACTTTCAGTGACAGATCTTGGAAACACTGTATTAGTATAATAAACTATGCAATTGAACTTAAGTGGAAACTGCTGGATATGGTGTCAACTTATCAAAACCTTGTTCTAACAATTCATGCTTACCCAATTATATTCAAGTTAGATCAGCTACATCAGAAAAGTCATCACATATTTCTATTCTACTACAATTGAAATTAATGTATTTTGCTTATATCTTAATCAGTTAATACAAAGTGGAGAATTTTTATCAGTGTTATAGAACAAGAAGTAAATATTGTTCCACTCATTAGATTGCTGCTTAAATCAGTGAAATTATTAGTGGTATTTAAATGTGTTACTTAAAAACACAAGTTTTATTAAAATGATAGTGACAAGAATTCTCTGTGAAATACTGAATTTTTCTCTATTACTATTTCTGTATGATGCAAAATATAACCTATAAGTTTTACCTTTGAGCTAAGTTTCATTTTGATAAATGGAATCCTACATCTCCATGGTATAGTTGTGTTAACAGTGACCTGGTTCTTACAACACTACAACTAACTATAGATTATAAGTTGTGATTGGTTGTCATAGTGAGTGAACTTAGCATGGTTTTATCGGGGTGGGGGGGATTTTTCATGAACAAACCACCCAATAAGAACCCATTGCCTCTTTTAGGGTTTGATAGTTCTGGTGATTTGTTGGGTTGTCTGAAGCCAGCTGTGTGATTTTATCAAAGTTCTTGGGAACAGCTCAAGGGTTGCCTGGCCTGAGTGGCAAACCCTGCTGCCACTTGCCATGAACTTGCTCTTTACCTTTGTCAGTCTCCATCCACACCCTTCTCTCTGTATCCCTAAAAATTGTAAATGGCTAAGTAGAACAGCTAGCAGTGGAGGGAAGGGACAAGCAGGAAGCAGAGTAGTGAGCATAAAGGGAAGGTGCTTTGCTAGTGGTTGCTCTCGTTTCAATGTAAAGTAAAGCTGCCTTTGAAAAGGATGGCACTGAAATGGAGGATAAATTTGATGAGGGGTATCAGCATTCTTGGATAACTAGTGGAGGGTCACTTTTGGATTCTTGCATTCATAAGGGCACTGAAAAGTAATTCCATTGGCAATCCAATGTGGGTGGTGGCTGGAGGTGGGGAGAGAATCCATGGAACCCCAGTGGCCTAATTGTAGAAGGCACTACTGAGGTAGGGACTAAGACAACAAGGAGTACTGCAGAGGTGCTTGGAATATGTGCTGGAGTTGGTGAGAGAAGTGAGCAGGAATGGGAGACAATAAATTGCAGCAAACACAGCCATCTGTGGGGAGTTCAGTGACCAAATGACCCATGAGAGCTCACTCATAGGATGATATGTGAATTCACCCAATCTGTTAATTCTTGTGGGCTGTTCAGTCATTGAGTACAATGGTAACATGATAAAGTAGCAAACCCAATTAAGGATATTCTCTCTCTGCTCCTTTAACAATGTCTTGCTATTTTGGAAATGTATTGTTCACGGTTTGAAGTTAAGCTGCTTGCTTCTTCCTCTAAAGTGTATATCTAATCTTGTTTTTAAAAAAGGTGGGTGGGGGGAAATGGCAGCACTAACTGTCATACCTCAGAAGACTGTGTGCCCATCTACTGTATGCAGATGGGTTGATAATCCTTTGCTGTTGAAAAGAGAATTATAAAGGTATTGTGCAAGACCAGACATCCTGTTGGGGGAAGCTTTGGCTGATTGTTTGGAAAAGCCCTCAGACTAGATGTAAAAATTGGTTTCCTGGAGTGTTATGAAGAATTCTTGCTGGCAGTTACACTGTTGGGCCTTAAGAGATTGTTGACTTCTTCAGCTAGACTGTTCTACTCAATTCATTGCAGTAAAACCCAGGAATAAACAGAATTGGTATTTGAATGAAGCCAAAACTATAAGTGGCACTGCTCCAACTTCTCAGTCTTTCTTCCATTTCAGAGTGGAACTTGGAACATAGTCAGTGTTGGCCTAAAGCCCATATTCTGAGATGCTGTTCTGAAGTGCATGCATAAAGAACTGTTCAGTCTTCAACCTAAATTTTATTTTGATGATGGAAAACCGATTAAAGTGGAGTAAATGAGGCCAAATAAGAACAGCATAGAAACTAATAAAATGTATAAATATCTGGTATGCAGACTTATTACTTGGTGCATGGATTGTAATGAAGCAACAACGCTCTGTATCCAGCATCTGTTATTTTGTGATCAGTGTGTTTGTTCAGCTTTTAAAAGATTTCTTTATTCAGATAAGATTCACAAGGATTCTGGTTTTCTTATATCCTTTTTTTGGTTGCAATAGTAATTCCAAACCAGTGTTAAGTTTCATTGCCCTTATATCCTAGTTAGATTCATACTTTCTGTAGATGTCAGCATCGTAGGACCAAATTTGTCCACCATGAGTTTCTTGTTCTTTAGGAACAAAACTTGAAGAGTTCTCTTTGACCTCCCTTCCTGCATTTGGATACCTCTGAGAAATATCTACAGTAACTTAGTGTTAGGACAGAAATATAGCAGTTGCTGACACACACAAAACATTCCTTCCTGCTTCTGTCACCAACATGCATGCACAGTTTAAAGGTCAAACCAATTGAAATGTTGAAGCAGGCTTGCTAGGATGTGTGCTGCATCTAAAGGCTTTGAATTTTGGTGACCTCTTTGCATATGCCATAAACCCATCTCCCAGGTGCTGCTGCCAAAAGAGGGGAAACAGAGATTGAGTGATATTGCTTCCTGACCCATGCTTTCCAGCACTGACATCTGGCTTGGTTCTCTCCTAATCAAGTTGTACAGAAATAAACAGCTGCTTTCAGGCAATTGTTGGACAACAATGTGAAATAGGTCTAGACCTTTAAAGTATTTGAACATTAAGACTTTTAATTTAAGTTTTTAAAATAATTTAAATACTTTTGAGATAAACTGACTTACTTCTTGGCGGGCAAATAAGGAGTTAGATTTGTCATTAAGGGAGGTAGAAGGTGAAATAGGGGCTGGAGTAGAGGGCAGCAGTGATTGTTATGAGCAGAGCAAGAATTCTTGCTCACTTTGACAACATGGATGGGTTGATAGGTTCAGGAGGGGCTACTTTGTAGACTAGACCACCAAAAAAAAAGTGTGTGGGGGGAAGTTGGAATAAGCTGTTGCTACATTCTAATTCCATTTACTTCAAGCCTGTTGGTGTCAGAGATTCCTTCTCGGCTTTCCATGGCCCATATCCTACTGAGAATTCTTTTCTCCCAGCAAGGTCATAATTATTGGGTGCCAAAGAACAGGGCGAGAAAGAAAGGACATTCACTTGAAACAGTGGTAGGCATGACTTGGGGTGGGGGAGTCATTGGAAATAAAAAAAATAGGAAAGCAATGCTGACCTATATATACCACTATTTCAGCATTTAGGTCTTCAGTGCAGCTTGCAAATATGCTTTTCTATTCTATTCATTTAATGTCTGAGACTATTAAAATCAAGTTCCGTGAAATGCGTCGAAGATTGATGAGATATTTGTATTCTTGTTTACCCAATATTCCAGTTAAGTTCACATGTGGCAAAAATCTGTGATGATGATGCTACTACCTTCTGATCATATCTGACTCAACTGACATTTTAGTAGTTGGCAGTTGGAAGTCCTGTCCTAAGGAAGCGTTGAGCAAGTACCGTATTGCCATTACAACCACAAATTAGGGGTGCAGTGAGCTGTAAGACTTATACTCCGAAAACAGCTGAAACCTGCTGGTGTAGGAGAGATTGTTCTGAACTGATTTTAAGTTAGGAAGGAAAATAAATGGTTTATTTATGAGTTCACAGTTGATAAGCAACTTCCAACAGTTTGGTAGGTATTGTGAAATTTTTATTTCATAGACTTCCTGCAGTTTCTCTTGGTTGTGCGGTGTCTCTTGGGAAACCAATGTTTCTGGTCAGGAGTCTAGTTAATAAGGTTCTTGTCTGTGTTTCACCCTAGTAGTATAAAGTGTTAGTAGTTTCTATTTAAAAAAATATGTTCTTTGGCTTACTCCATACTGTGGGAGCTAATAAAGTCAGTTTGGCCAGGAGGGGTTACCAGATGGGTGTGAGTATATACAATTGCTAGAGAGATGGGATACAAGCTCCCTACTCTACTGAGCACTGAAGATTCAAACTCTTAAATCTGAAACTGCCCCAGCCTCTCAAGGTAGAACTTTTCTTGAAAATGAGGAACAAATATGAAATAACTTCTGTTCTTCATCTTGAAAAAAGTCTTGTCCTAGAGTCACACATCAACGTGAGATGTGGTGACTGCCAAACACATCTTGAATATTCATGTCATGCTGGAATATGGCAATAGTATGAGCCAAGTGTTGAGAGAATATGGAAATGGTATGGAATCATATGTTTTGACTAGTTCCAGCTTCAACAACTTCATTGCTAGATGGCTCTCAGTGGCAGAGTGGTAGATATAAGTGCCAGATCCGTCTTTTTACTGGAAGAGACACATGGAGTCTATACAACTGAAGCTATTCTGCAATAACTGTTCCACAGTAACGAAGCTTGTGAAATGCTTTACGCTGAAGTCACCCAGAAAAATGTAGAAGACTTCAGCATACATGCCAAGCCAAGCATTTTAGGCTTTGGCTCTAGTTTTTTGTTTTATTTTTGCATCTGGGTAGAATAGAGTCTGTGTGTTGCAAGATGTTTATTGGTTCAATGTTTTGTATTAGTTAGTGCAAGCAAGGTGCTGAAGCAGCTGTTTTGTCTGAGTCCACTGTTACTCTTTTGGCTTCATTGATAGTCATATACTGCTTAGAGCATTCTCTCAATCTTACGTAACTAACTGCATTTTACAGAAGTCTGGAGAGTCAGTTGCTGATCTTGGCAGCTTGCCAGTTGCTTATACAGCACTTGTTGTAGCCCGCACATGTTTGTTCAGAAGTTGACATTTGTTTGCTTCTGGCTATCTCCACAGATGTCTTCTGTTGTGATGAGTTGTACTTAACTTATCAATACAGCAAGTTCTTTGAAGTGAGGTACTAGTGAGTGGTTTTGCTTGAATATATTTCAGAAGGCTTTATGTCTTTAAAAATCTTGAAATATCGACAGTGTCCATTTTTCCTTTTAACAGGTTTGGGTGGGTTCGTACCCTAAGTCACCCTCCAAGTAAACCATGCTGGGTTGGTTGTTCATGGAATAGCCTGTGGCGTCTGACAGACAGTGGGGCTCACTGAGAATTACTCTCCCTTTGTCTTTAGCCCTCCAGCTGGTACCCCAAATTCCTTCATGGAGAACCCATCTTGTCTCCCCCACCCAACTCTTTTTGCCATTCCTTCTTGCTTAAGGCCATTTCCCAAATGTGTAATTGCATTAATATTTTTTTATTTTACTCAGCCCCAGAAAATTGTATAGTATTTAATGTTTAAACATTATTTGTCTTTTGGAATCACACAAGTGCACTCAGTCTCATCGTGTCAGTGTCTGTAAATTTCAGCTGTGAAAGGGAGCAAACTGCAGTTGGTAACACAGTTGCAACCTGGCAAGGTGAGAGTGCATATGGGGTAATTTACACGTAACAACTGCTAAACTGTCAGATGAAAATCACCAGTAATGAAGAAAAAGACAGATGTGTCCCCCCCCCCCGCCCAGTTGGTGGCAAGATCTGCCCTTTAGCAATGTATTCCTTTGATTCCTTTTTAGAGAGGTATATATTTCGTTTTTAAGAATATGATAGTTTACAGTATCCACAATCATATTTACAGTTTAGAATAATTGTTTCTGATGGTGCTGTGTATGCTTCTTTTTGCGTAGAAGTACACCTCTGTGGAGGGACAATTACATAGCCCTTTGGGGTTGAAGTATAGTAGAAGATGACTTTCATCCCCTGACAATCCCCACAACTTGTTTTTGTAGTTGAGGAAAGATGGGAGCTAGGATATTGGTGCCTCAAAACTTCTCCAGGATTTCTGGAGACATTTCATCACAATATTTTGGTTCAGAATATTTTGTTTTATCATATAGCCTATCTTCAGGTGAGAATCTGTAGCTGTATGTCAAGAACTGACTAAAATAGCCTGAACATTTTTTCAGAGGAAGCCCTCATATGAAGGGGACACCACATTATAAGGAAGAACAGTGTGCTCCATCATTAAATCTAGAGAAGAAGCAAGTGCTAGATTTGCAAGCATCTATAACCAGGTATGTATGCACCAGAATGTGCAGAATGTGTGATGGCAATAAATAAGGACAACACACAAGGCATCAAGAATAGAGGGTTGTGCATTACTGCCAGGGAGGAACATCAGAAGCTTCCTTATGTCAGGTCAGACTATTGGGCCAGGTACTCTGACTGGCAGGGTTTTAGCCAAAGGTCTTTCCCCTCATTTATTACCTGGTCCTTTTGGTGGAAGTTGCCAGGGATTGAAGCATGACCTTCTGTGTGCAAAGCATGTTCTTTCCCATTGATCTGTGATCTTTTCCCCAAATAAATTTATTTTCGTTTCATCTGACATATTCTTCTGTAGCTTCATCAGACTCTGAAGGACCAGAAAGCTGGTCATGTTTTAACCATAGGGATTCATTTGTACAGAGTTGCTCTAAAGTTTCTCACTTCCAGTGGTTGTGAATTCGCTTCAAATGCAGCAGTTAACTTTTTCCACGAAGAAGAAATGCTGCTTCATCTCAAAAAGCCAATCACCCACCATGGTGGTGTTGATCTTTTCTATTGGAAGTTCACTTTGTGTAACAGATTCAGGAATATGCCAATGCTACATGTAGTTGCCTTCCTTCCAAAACTAGGAATACGCTTAGAGAAATGACATATGCAAAACAAAACACACAGAAACACCCAGGATTCATTAAAAGTTAGTCCACTTAAAAGATCATATTTCTCTGCTGAGAATGATGCCAAATTTTGGTTATAGTAAATGCAAAACCACTGCAGAATTTTAAACAAGGTTCAGATCAGCATTTTTCAGTTGGCAGCTCCTGCCCCACTTAATTGTGCTGTATTTACTGGCAATGAGATTTGATGCAGAATTAGATGAATACAATATTTTTCATTCTCATTATAAATATGGAGTTTCTAGAATGTAAATTGAAGACATAACCCAGTTGTGTTCTAACTTTCGCCAGACGTCAGTATTCTTTATTAATTAAATGGTTGCTTTGTTTTTTGTCTCAGTTTCTCTGTTTAGTAAGCTTTTAAGCAACACGTTGACTAGAATGCTGTGAACAGACAGCTTTAAAAATGCTACTGGTTGGTTCTAGTCAGCATTTTAGATGCCTGCCTTTGGTCTACTGTTCTTCAGATATGTTTCCTTCATTCAGTGGAGGCTTGCTTTACCCTTGAAGGTCAAAATATCTTGATAACTGGTTTATTTAATATAGTTTCTTAATCAGCCTGTCTGTTCAGTGAGCATTCAAGGCAATATACAATAAAAACAATAAAATACTTACAAATACAAAACCTGACACATTTTTAAAGTAAAAAGGAGAAGTAAATATTGAAAGCTCATCAGAAAAATATTGTCTAAGGAACTTGAAAGTTCTTTTTGGTGGACTGAATAGAACAAATGCTGTTTTTGGAAATCACCTGAAAAAATGAAGAAAAATATGCGCAGACTACATCAGTTACTTGGAATCCTGGTTCACAAGAAAATATGTTTGTGTGGTTAGTACAGCATTGGTACCAGCAGCATGTTCTAGTTTCTGAGTTAATTCATGACACTTGACATAATACTGAAGTCTGGAATCATGGTACCATAACAATCTTTCATTTAGTTCTGTTCAGCTTCTATAAACATGCTATAATAAAAATAGGCTTTATAATGAATTAATGATCACTCAGATTTATACATCCTTCAAGCATTATAATTGTATGTTGTATGAAATTTGAATAATTTATATAATACGTTGTTTATATACACTATTACAATGGAGGCTTCAGTGGTTCCTTGGAACTTCTAATACAATTGTGTTGGCTGTTTTGAAAGTATCCTATAAATATTTAAAGAACTTAAAAAGAGAACACTAGGATTGCCAGCACTGTAGATTCTGTATCATTGACTCATTTGAACTTTTCAAGATCTGTTTTCCTATCGTATGTTAGTCATTTTCATTCACTGCTCTCTGCAATTGTTAAGAAAACACTTATTTGGCTTAACCCGTATAAAAATGGCTTAGTGCAATCACTTGGTGATGCACTTGTTTTAATGCTTGCATTTTCACCTTCCACCAGTAAGGTCAGCTGTTTACTTGTTACTGCAAACTTTTGAACTATTTTTGTCAGCAAGCTGGGCTATAGATTAAATAAATACATAATTTATGAATGAGCAAGCCTCTTTCTGCTCTTTGGTTAAAAAAAACCCTGTTGCTGTGCTTTGGAAAGGTAGTAGATACAAATTATCCTTTTAAGTGTTTTATTCATTTCATTTCTATACTACCCAACAACTGAAGCTCTGTGGACAGTTCACAACAGTTAAAGTTATGTGGGAAAAGATACTAGAATAAACCAAAGAATAGTGGTGGGAACAGTGCTTCAGGATTCAATGTTACAGTTTGGGGAGACTGACAAAAGGGTTCAGAGGTCCTGAACAGGCCCAAGATGATGGGCTGAATCCAGGTAGTTTCCCTCTGCTGAAAGAAGTCTTCTGTGCCAAGATCAGGGAATCGGACAATTTCCATACCCTGCTCCAAAGTCTGGATAGTTGGAAGTTCCTCTAGAACAGGGATCCCAAATGTGACATCTGTGGATTCCTCTGATAGTACCCACAATAGAGTCTCCACCATGGTGCCCCAGGACACCTGAAAAAGGATTTTCCCCATTTTTAAAAAAAAAATAAGAGGCATTATGGTGTTCAACAGACATGAAACAACAGGTTTTGCTAAATAGGATGCAGCCTAAGATCCATAGACATGACAGGGAGATGCCAAAGAAGTGACCCACTAATTAAGCATTTTGTGGTGGTGCCCACCGCAGTTTCTTGAAGCAATCACTTTGGTGACGCCTTGCTGTGGAGCATACTGTGGAGGTGGTGATAGTAGCAGGAATGAAGGAAAATGATAAATGTATTAAATCCTAAAAAGAGTTAGTATGTCTGTCTGTGCTTCTTTTCAGCACCAGGTTAATAACATGACTTTCTTGTAGTTTACAGTCCATGTTGGAGGATCTACTTGTTGCTACTGCCGATGGTCTGCTCCACCTTATTCACTGGGATGGCATGACAAATGGAAGGAAAGCCATAAACCTATGTACAGTACCATTTTCTGTGGATCTGCATTCTTCTAGAGGTATCTAATATTGCTCTGTGCATAAGCTGATGGTTGGGCACGTGGGATTTTTTCACTGCAGGGAACCTCTTGTACTATTTTATTATATGGAAATAGAGAGCTTTAAAAAGGCTTTTAAACGTGACAGTGAAGCTTTTAATAATTGACTGTGTTTGTTGCCAGGTTCATTTTTGGGATTTGAGGATGTGCACATAAGAGAGATGGAATACTGTGCTACTCTCGATGGGTTTGCTGTTGTGTTTAATGATGGCAGAGTTGGTTTTATTACACCAATGTCAAGTGGATTCACAGCAGAGGTAGGATTTCCTAGCAATTCATCAGTTACTTGTTTGCATCTCCCAAACTGTAACCAAGCATCCTGTCCCCTGCTGTAGACTATTATTAATAAACTATGGCTGAGAAAGCACAAAATTTCGTATGAATTAGAGAGAAAGACAAAATTAGAGTTGGGGAGAACATCAACAACAAAATTGATTTTTTCATGCTGTCTTGGTTCACATGAGAACCATAGACTAAACAGGCCATGTTGGTGTGTTTAAGCCATTGGGCATGTTGGGCACAATTTGCATATGATCCTGCACCCTGTTGCAGCTTGTATCATCCAGACCTTGGAGCCATCGGTTATCTGAGAATTGTTGCCCATTCAAGCAAGCCTTTGTTTTTATATCTGTAAATTGCCTGTCCCCACCTGGGCACTGAAAATAACAGTAGGATATTTCCGGAGAGAAAAATACTTAAACGTTTGAACAAGTATAAAATGCTTTCTGAGGCACACTTAAGAGGCCCATTTTTATGACAACTGTTTGATTTCTAACATTCATTCTATGTTACCTGATAAATTTGTTGTAATATTTTCTCACATTTTGTACATTGTGATCTGAGTACTTCAAAGCAGTATTGCAAATTAGCTGTTTTGTATGAATTATTAGTATTTCCTGAGTACATTTTAAAATACAAATATGGAAATTATTTTGCCTACTGGCTTTTAAAGATAAGTAGTTAAGTAGAGGCATCCTTCCCATTGAATGTTAAAGTTGACTTGAGATCTCAAAAGTTCACAATGAGATCTGAGGAGACACCTAATTATTATTACAGTTATAATGTTCTTAAATGGAGATCCGTTAATTTCCCCTTGGGAAATGGGTAATGTAAAAAGGAACCTTAAATATGATGGGACTTGGTGTGCTATGTGTTTGGACAATTTTTGTTCGGTTTTGATTGACATGCATACAGATCTAGCCACATGCAATGAGATGGGAAGAGTAGCCATTCCTGCTCCTCCATTTCCACGCTATGCCATTTCCTGGCATCTTCTTTGTCCTATTTATTGGGGCCCCTGACTAATGGTGTAGCACTTTTGGGGAGAGTGAAGGCTTATCCATGGTGGGGGGAGAGTGTAGGGAATTCCACTCCCTCCAACCTTGTTGCACACATCTAAATCTCTGGCCAACCCAATATGTATAATATGCATGTTTCTTTCAGACATAGATAAAAAATGATGAATTAAAATCTCAAATTTTGAGGCTCATATTGAAAGAGTTTTATACGATGCATCCCCAGTACTTCCCAGGCTTGCTAAACTGAAAAGGGTGTGTACAATATGCATGGCTTCAAGTTTCAGCACAGTTTGTTCAAGAATGAACAAGTATCTTAGATAGAGTCCTTTGTAATATGTTTTGCAGCAGCTCCATGGCATTTGGGCTCAAGATATTTTGGATGGAATCTGTGTGGCAGTAAACAACAAATACAGATTAATGGCGTTTGGATGTGCAAAGTAAGTGAATACAGAAACTGAAAGGGTAACAGGTATATTTTTTCAGTGTATCAGTGCTTAAACCTGTATTGGAAGTTTCAGAATTCCTAGTTAAGAGTCTTCCTGGACAAGGATACTATACAGGTCTTCTGTTTAAAAAGATTATGATCAAAATATGCTCTACAGGAAAGTGTATCTTGGAATACATTGATTAATGAAGTAAAATAGACTAGGAAGAGCCTGGTTTATCAGTGGCTTGAGTAGCTAATATGGTCCCTATAGTATTCCTAGCACGGTTATACTGTCTAAACATGTAAGTATCTGATATGGAATATAATTAGTTTTTTAGGCCTAGCAAGTATGTGCAAGATTTATTTAGTTAAGCTACTTTCTGCTCCAGTCTTACTTTTAGAGAGCATGTCAAGTAAATGCCTCATTTTGTCCTGAAGCTTTACCTGCCGGAGCCTTCTTGTGGTTGTAGCCTAAATCCCTTGATTTGGTCTCCCCTTTCTCTGTGCTGTCCTCTCACTGAGTGAAGCCATCTGTCAAATGTTGGGTGAAGATCAAGTGACACTGCACATCTCTCAGGAGAGTAGACTTCTTTTCTCAGATGTGCTGACTGGAATGTTCCAGGAACAACTAGTTAAACAGAACTCCTTGATCTTAAAATGTTCTAGCAAATAAATAACTTTAAGTTAGAATATACCACCAGCAGCACCTTGATGTAAGGTACAATAGGATAAGTCATTTAAGTTATCCTAACTCTTCTAATAACGACTTGAGTGGTGTTAACAGTTTCATCTTGCCTGTATTACTGCATATTCTAGTTTGCCAAAGTACTTATCATATGCCATTTCTCATTGAAAAGTGGTAGGCACTTGTTGAAAAAATTGGCTTTATTAATAATGCTTCTATATGACTTGTCATGCAAGATTTTGATGTGAATGATATAATGTCTATTTGAAGCTGTTATATGAAATTATGGTCACTTTTTTCCTGGAAGTTCAGGCATGCTTTTGTTTAGCTGGTATAGCAACCACACTCATTCCTGAAGCAGATCAGGCCAGGATAACGCACGCTCTATTTGATTGGATTACTGCAATGTTCTTTAAGGGGTGCAGGTGGCACAGTGGTTTAAACTGCTGTGCTGCTGGTCCGGTTGATCGAAAGGTCGCCAGTTCAAATCTGTACAACAGGGTGAGCTCCCGTACTCTGTCCCAGCTCCTGCCGACCTTGCAGTTCGAAAGCATGCAAATGCAAGTAGATAAAAAGGTACCTCTTTGGTGGGAAGGTAACAGCATTCCATGCACTTCGGTGTTTAGTCATGCCGGCCACATGACCATGGAGACTGTCTGCGGACAAACACTGGCTCCCTTGGCTAGGAAACAAAGATGAGCACCGTCCTCTAGAGTCAGACATGACTGGACTTAACATCAAGGAGAAACCTTTACCTTTAATGTTCTTTATGTGACAATATCCATGGAGACTTCTACTGTGAAGAATACTACTGTTATGATGTAGCTCTGTGCCAAGTTTGAGGGTCCTGTTACTCCCTTTCCACATTAGCTTCAGAAATTCCTAGCTCATATCCAGGGGCAATACATGATACTCAATGTTGCCTTTTTAAATCTCTAAATGACTTTGGAGTAAGGTACCTGAATGATTCCTTCCCCTGCCCCCATAAGTCTGCCTGATCTCAGACATGATCCAGTGAGTTCATTTTGCACATTTTGAGGATGTGTGAGAGGGCTTCTTTTGCTTTGACACCCAAGTATGTGGAACTGCCTGTCCCAGAAAGTTAGGTTTTTCCTGCTGTTTAGTCTTTAGTCTGCTGCCTGAATACTTTAATTTCCAGTGAACTTCAGACAAAGGGCTGGTTTGCACAATCAGACATATGTCAGTGGCTATTTTGAATATTCAAGCCAAAACTGCAACTTGTTGTGGCATCCAAACCTGGTTTATATGACAACTGTAAACAACTATATTTGTTTCATTATAGTCTCTTTTAGGGTTTTTGAGTCCTCATGTAACCCGCTCCCACTGGGTTTGACAATATATAAGCTGCATTTTTGAACCGAATATTCAAAAGTTATCCAGCACATATCACAACCCTGTGTGGCTATTAGCTGTTTAGGGCTATTTCTATAACTTCTAAGTGATTTGTTCCATAGAGCCATTTTATTTAGTTTTCGCTCCATGGGGTTATATCAGCCTTTAATATTTTCATACTGCCTTTTGTATGTTTATGGATAATTTTTATTGCAATTGTTATTAGTTTACGTTTGGCCTTGTGAGCCCATTAGGGTGCCCCCATTGTTGAAGAGGAAAAGTGGGAAGGAAAAAAATCAATAGCTGGTAAACTAACCAGCCCAGTCTAATTGCATGTATATTTATTTGTAAGTTATGTCTTGCTAGAGTATCAATGGGACCTGACTCCTAAATAATTAAATATAGAATTGCAGTTTATGTTTACTCTTTGAATATAATGCTGTGCACAAACTAACATCATGACTTACGATTTAGTTTTTAAATGCTTACTTGCCTGTTTTTACTTGGAAAATGCAACTGTCTAAATCTTGATAAACTATGTGCTTTTTCCAGTGGTTCGGTGCAAGTTTATACGATTGATCATTCTACTGGCGCCATGCAGCTATCTCATAAACTGGAGCTCACACCTAAACAATACCCTGGTGAGTCAGATCACATTAAAGGCGATGCTAAGTTCCACATTTCCTTTGGCTAAAGGTCACTCTGATTCTGTATGGAACAGAACAGCAAGTTTGCTATAGCAGGTACAGCAAGCAGCTACAAATGTTTGTGCTCGTTATCCTAAAGGTTGAACTGCATTTCTCATAATCTAAATTGCTGAAGATTCCAACTTCAGGAGACCTTTTGCACATGGAACATGCTATGTTGATCGTGGCCACAATGTTCTCTATTCTTAGTGTTTGTTTGTTTGTTTTACCATGATTAGGCAATTTTACACTTGACATTTTAAATAGAGCTCTGTTTTTATCACAAGCATCCATATGCACCTGCCCGCTCCCTAAGATCCTTATATGAGGTCCTTCTTCGGGAGTCTTCTTTGAAGGAGATCAGAAGAGTGACTACCTGGAGTAGGGCCTTTTCTGCAGTAGTGTCCTGGCTCTGGAACTTCTTCTCTAGAGAAGTGCACCTGGCACAGGCGCTTTATTCATTTCGGTGCCAGACCAAACCCTTTTTATTTTCCTTGTATGTTAAAGATTAATTGTGGTATTTTTATATTGGTTTTATTAGATATTTCTATTCTATTTTTGTATGCTGCCACTGTACTGTTCTGTATCGCCATCCTGAGACATTTATATAGCATGGGGTAGAAATGCCCCAAATAAATAAATAATAAATTAATTAATAATCTTGCTGAAACACTAGTGATATGAGGTTAAAGATCCAACTTTTTGATGTGCTTACATTGTCATTTTTTCTGCGTTTTCATAGATATTTGGAACAAAACAGGAGCTGTTAAACTAATCAGATGGTCTCCTGATAGTTGTGTTGTTATGGTGACCTGGGAATGTGGAGGCCTTTCATTATGGAGTGTATTTGGTGCCCAGCTTATCTGTACCCTAGGAGGAGACTTTGCGTAAGCATCTTTAACCAGTATGGTGATTAAAAGCAATTAGCAGAATTCTACATTTTTGTTCAGGTTTTTATCTAGTACTCAGAGTATTTTCCTAACTATAATATTTATTTATTTTATTACTGTACTGCCTGTTAGCCAAAAAAGAAACACATAATAGAGTTTCTGCTGGCTCATCATGTTTTAGTCATAATACAGGGTTAGAGTAGACTAGTAAATCCTCATTACAATATGGAAGGCTGTGTTTCTTCTATCAGACTCCTTGGACTTTTTAAAAAACTTAAGTGTTTATTGACAACTGAGAATGAGGCTGTACAAAACCTATTCCTGTCTGAAACCTAGAGATAGTCTCTTTCTACATATGTTTCAAGCTTATCTACATTGTTCCTTGCTCTTAATGTTCTGAGCACCTAATAGCCCCATTGTTCTGGGCATTAAAGCTTAGTTGGTTCAAAAAAAGTTTCTTGTTAACTCAGATAAGTGTTGGAGGGGGGTTATTTGCATGCCTAATAGCATATCCTGAAGGTAGAATAAGAGGTATGTACTTTTCCAAGGATAGGCTGTTGCCTTTAGTTTGATAAACCTGGGATAGAAGAAAAAGCATTTGAAAATCTGGGATAAAAAATGTTATGTTCAAGCATTTGTTAAACAGAATCAGCAAGCTATTGAAAAAATCTTGTTCTATCTAAGGTTTTGTGTTTGTGTTTATTTTAGTCATCGACCTGATGGTACAAAAAAAGACCCTTTAAAGATCAACTCTATGGTAAGTGGTATTGAGCCGTCCCACTCTTTGGGCAGGTTCACACATCACTAAACCACTCTGTGAATAAGCTGTAGTGTGTAGTTTGTTTGCTGTACAGCCCACAGTATGCGTAAGAGATTATCAGATTTACTATCAGTTGTTCTCTCCCTCCTTCCCTCTCAGTCCTTCAGTCAGCTTTGGCATGTAGCAGGTATCCTTCTTGGCACAACCTCTCTTGTCTCCTACTCCCCCTTTTCATTTGCTGCTGTTTTTGTAGCACCACAAAGCTACAGTTCAGGTAGTTATTTTTCTGGATCCTGAAATTGTGCAACTGTGTTCATATTTTTTTAAATTAGTATTTTTGTCTAAAAAATTTTACAAAATTGTTTCAATTAGCATTAGTCTTTCACAAGTATGCTTTTATGGTTGTCTGACATGTGCAGTCTTACCTGGTCAATTTATTTGTCCATTTTAAGCTGTCAGGGGGGGCAGAGAAATGGAGGAGGTAACAGCCAAGGAAACTGACAAGTCAAGACTGCGTATAGATTACAGTTGCCAAGTTGTCAACTGAAAAGCACCATTAAAGTGGGGTGGGGTATGGGGACTTGCAAAAGAAGCTGCACAAAAGTGTCTCTGTGTGTGGACAATATCTCCCCCTCAACAGTGTAATTCAGTGTTAAATGTTGAACAGGCCTACATGCCCTCCACCTTTTCAGCACATCCCTGGATCCCCAGCTATTCCAGAAACAAGAGGTATTGACTTTCCCTCTTTACATGGTTGCACATTTTTTCGTGAATAAAATTGAAAAAGTGTGGTTCACCAATGACAGTTGCTTCAAGGTGCTGCTTGGTCGTTGGTGGAGGGCAGTCACTGAAGGCAGCATGAGTGAGCTTGCAAAGCGTGGAGGGGGGCAGTGTGTGGTTGCTCTTGCTAGCTGATCAGCTCTTGATGAAATTGTTCTCTCAGGTTCAGACACTCTGAGAAACTATCATAGTGCAAACAATGCCTGAAACAAGCCATGGCTTCTCAGTGTGGGTTGTTCCTGAAAAGTAAGTCACACTGGGGGAAACTGTCTGGGTCTGGACAGCACAGCAGCTCACTGTGGCTAGTACACATGATGGGTTGTCTTGCCAAGCAAAGCAGCAGTTTCGGCTTGATCATCTTTTATTTAAATACATTCCAAATAAATTAACCTGGGTTTTACTTACTGTATACAGCTAGCATATTTTGCAATTCTAATGGTAAAGTCAAGAGTTTTCATGTTGTTTTTGTTACAAAATGTAGTTTTTTGCTGGGGGTGAATCTTAACAGTCTTGGGAAATGACTCACCGGGAAAAGTGATTCCTCTGGCTAAAGGAATGGAGGGCAGGGTCAGAGAGTTGCTGGGGTGTCATAATGGCAGAGCAGAGAACTTGTGTGCCTGTGCTCAGCAAATGCTGCTGCTCTTTGGGGTCTCCCAGTGGTCTCTTCCACCATTTCTGCCAGCCAGAGTCTGACTCATATTTGTTAACTTGATGTGATTGGAGTCACCTGAAGAAGAGAAGGCTAGACAGGGATGGAGGAGAAACAATATACGAATGCTGGGAGAGTTAGATGGTCCAGGAGGAAGACAACCTGCTTTCCACAAATTCATATTAAGTTGTTTATTTGACAACCTTATAACAAATATCTGTACTTCCTGAGTGGAAATTCACTATGAAAAGTTTCTAATCTTCTAAAATTTTCCATTTTTAAAAATAACTTATGATGGCTTTGTTTTATCTTTCCAGAGTTGGGGATCAGAAGGTTATCATCTGTGGGTAATTGATGCAAACAACTCTGGGAATTCAGTGGCTGAGAGCAAGTGCAAAAATAAATCCCAGCATTTTGGTATTTTGCAATTTCAGTTTATCAAGAGTGCACTCACAGTTAATCCTTGCATAGTAAGTATTCATAACTCTTTGTACTTAATGTGTTGTGGTTCTAGGTCTTTTTAATGCCTCTGGCCAAGCTTTGGTTTCATTTTGCTTACGAAATGTTTTTCCTTGTTTACCAAAATGCTGAACTGTATAACAGCAAGTAGTAACACCGCTGACTAAGGCATTTCAAAAAAGTTGACACTGTTTTAAAACAAATTCTAGTTTCTCTTGGTTTCTTCAATTTTAATTGAAATGTTATTGATTTCTCTTACTGTTCTCTATTTGCTGACTAGTAGTATTTTTACTGTCACTCACTTAATTCATAGAGCAACCAGGAGCAGGTCCTCCTTCAGGGAGAAGATCGCTTGTACTTGAACTGTGGTGATGCAGTACAAGCTCAGAATCCAAGGAGTTCCTCAGCCCACTCTGAACCGAAGCCTCTTAGAGAAAGAAACCAGCTCTCAGATGGGAGCTTAGATTCTCAGGGCTTAAGCACTTTATTAGGGCACAGGCACTGGCATGTTGTGCAGGTAAGTGCCCTTGTCCTGTAATTGCTTCCTCCCTCTTCTTTTATTTCTGAAACACTTGTCAGCATATTCCTCGGAGCGTTACCTAAGGCCCCATCATGAACATTTTGTCTTGAGTTAGAATGTTGTATGTGGTTTCTTAGATCAAAATCCAGCATATTGTCCATTGGTATTGCTGCTTCCTCAGAACTGAGTGGATAAAAATTGATAAGTAATTTTAAAATAGAACTTTTAAAAGTTAAAATGGGTTTTAGTTTATTTTAAATGACTAAAATGCTAAGGGCAGTATCTAAAGAGGTGCTAATGCCCCACCAGTTCTTTTGCATCTGGACAGTTCCATTGCATAGCCATCCTCCACCACTTGCACAGTGATGACTTAGTGCTTCCAAGGGTAGCCCAAAATAAACAGAAACAAGAGTTCCTGGAAAGGGGCAGGTTGGCAGAGCTCCTCTGATCCTCCTCTTCCAGAAACAATAATTCCAGAACAGAAGCAGGAGTGGTGCTAAGCCATAGTGGAGACTTCTGTAGAACAGAATTGGTGGGGCTGGCTGCCTATGGACTAGACTCTGTGGCCAGTTCTGCTGGCAGATAGGCAGCATTGTATTCTTTCCCACGTTTTTCACTAACTTAAAAGGAATGTTGTTAGAATGAAATCTGAGCATAAACATGCTAAACCTGTACTTCAAGTTTTATAAAAATGAAGCAACCTATCAGTCAAGCATAGGCGTTGATCTGGTATTTCATCTCATGAATATGTTATCATTCCTTTATCAACTTTCCTTCTTGAAAGTTGGGCCTTCTTTAACTAAGGTCATATGTGCAAAGACACAGAACAAATTCTCATGACATGGGAACCCACCCTGTAAATAAGCCACACAGTTTGGTTTCTTGAGCAGAACACAGTGCACCCAACATGTGGTTGGGCTTGCAATGGATATTCTTTCCCTCCTTCAGCTGGTATCCCAGGGTCCTGTGTGACTTGTCATCTCCCTGGTCCCATTTTTATTTGCTCTTGCTGCCTGATTTACATAGTTACCTTCATTGGGTACTGCTTCTCATGACATCTGAACCTGATGGAGGTGGATTGTTGGAGTGGTTAACAAATCATCCAGAACTCATGTCCTTCAACAGGACTGTGGGGTGTTTGGCTCATTTTGTTGGATTTGAACGGCTGTCAAAAATATGCTATTTTGCTGCTATTTGTAAGGGACTTGCCACTTCCTGCAATCCATGTTGGGAATGATTTTTTGGTTTTGGATGATATCTCAGCCAATCATGGTGAACAGCCCTTAAAACAAACCCAAACATTCTGTCCGAAAACAAATCACTTTGCAGTAGGTGGTCTAGACTCAGAAACTTGACAAGCCACTGTTGGCTACTTAACAGTGACGAGTTGTTGTGTCATGCAGATCCAGTCCCAGGCTAGTTGTTCTGTATTATGCTATGGTGGAGTTGGAAGGACAATATAGCATGGTAGATAAAATTTAATGCTTTAAAAATGTCAGATTTTTGTAAAAAATATAAATTGTATTTTTTCAGATTGCTAATTATCAAACTTCCTGTGAGCTATTAGTAATGGGCATTTTTGTTTGTTATGAGGACAACACAAAGAGAAGCAGGAAGGAGCAACATTAAAGGAAGATAGAATACAACATTGCCCAGTGTGGATCTTCTGTATTCTTAGATTGAGACCCCGTTCTTACACCCTCTTACCTAAGTGTATGCCCCACTGGACCTAGTGGAACTCATTTAGGAGGAGACATGTATAGGATTCTGCCATTAATGTCAAATGTCAAGGGAATATAGTAAAAACATTCCTTCTGGAAAGTAGGCAAAATATATGACAAGAGACAAAAGAGTTAAGAACCCTGCTTATAAAAATGGAATGGTGCAAATAATACTCTATTTAGTGGTCAGTTTTGTTCAGGAAATGTATCCAAACCTTAATATGGGCTTATCCCTTTCAATAAATTTGAGACTCTAAAATGCATTCTAAACATAGGGTTGGTTCATGTAATGAATGGGCCAATTTGTGCAACCCTGGGGTGTTCAGTAAGCCATGGTGTCTTGCTCCATGCATGCCTGATGTATATAATTACACTCACTGGGTACTGCTTCTCATGACTTCTGAATCTGGTGGAGGTGGATTGTTGGAGAGGATAGCAAATCACCCAGAACCCATGCCCTGCTATAGGATTTTGGGGTCTTTTGCCAACCAGCACAGCAAGTGACATATGCTGGGTTCAGATGACAGGAGAAGCTGCAGTGAGATGGTTGAATTGACAATCCGACACTTGCAGCACTGCAATTTCCCATGGCTTAAATAAACCAAGCTGTAGACTTCAGTGATCATCCAAACCAGGCCAATATTTTCAAAACAATTGGAAGTAAAAGTTGGTAATTAAAACATTAAGATTTTACAAGATGGAAAACATTGGTTTTGGCTTTTAATAATTGCTAATAATTAATTTTTTCTTCTATCTTTTAAGATTCACAGTACCTATTTAGAGATCAACTGGCCAATAAGGGTGAGTTGTTTTAAAATCTTTACATCTTGCCACTTTAGATTGCATTTAGATGTAAACATTAATGTTTATAGAAATGCTGTTATGCGCTATCAAGTCATCTCCAATTTACGGCGGTCCTGAATGAAAGTCCTCCAAAATGTCCAGTCTGTGAACACTCCATTCAGATCTCCCAAGTTCAAGGGGTTAGTCAACTACAGTAGAATGAGTAATTAATAAACTGTAATAGTTGTAAATGTTGTTTCTGTTAAACAGCACAAATATGAAATTATTATCTCATCCTTGTATTAAAAGGTTCTAACATGTTACACTTTGTTTCCCTTCATGAACAGTTTACAGCCATTGATAAGATGGGGCAGAATGTAGCTGTAGTTGGCAAGTTTGGTTTTGCACATTATTCTTTGCTTTCCAAAAAATGGAAACTCTTTGGAAACATTACCCAGGTGAGTGCCCTGTGAGGAGGAGTACATATGTAGTTGTTAAAAAGACTTTTACCGGTTCATAAACATAAAGATTGTGTTTCAGTATAAACTGCTGCTTGCCCATGATGTGCCGTTAGATTTCCACAAATGTGGAATGTTCAAAATATATCCAAAAGGCAGAAGATGAAGGCTACTTGCATTAAAGATTTTGGGGTGGTGACAAGTATAATTTGCAATTTTATATTTTAAAACAAGGAGGAAATCCCTCTATGAAATCTCTTCTAATAATGTTATAAGGGTCCCAAATAAATAACTCTTTGCAGAAAAACAAATCAGTTGCCTTCTCTGAGAGTGCTGGCAAACAAAGCTGTCCCATCTTAGTGGCAAGGGGGGGTCAGATTGTCATTGACTTCTCCTCCCTGATATATTTGCTGTAGAAAGGGACACAGGCTTTAAGCAGCTAATTGAGGCAGGGTGGGATGCTCCTTGCTATTTGTGTAACCCTAAGTCAGTTCACTGTTCCTGCGGAGGGAGGAAAGAGAGGACTAAAAAGACCAAACCAGATGTGTGCATGATCATTAAAGACACACATTTGGCTATAAAACAGGGGTGGAGTAATTTTAATGCAAATTCAGTGAGCAAGGAAGGAAGCAAAACATGCCTCAGGTTTTGCTCAGTCCATCTTCAGTACAAGAAATAGGCTGGCAGATACTCAATTGCTTAAAGCAGCAGAGTGTGGTTGAATAAAGTGGGGAACGAATGGGTGTTTCTGCTCCTACAAGCATTTAAAAGCTCAAACCCATCCATGACTTGTTGCTTTATAGCTACCAGAGACTTTTGGTGTGGCTGTTAGCCAGGCAATCTCACACTTCCAGAATATGCTGGATGTGGTAAGGTTGGAATGCTGCTGCCTCTGCGGCAGAAGACCTGCTTGTCATTCCAAGATCCCGGTTCACACTCCCTTACTTACCAGTCAAAAAGTCTGATTGCCATTGATACAAAAGCCCCATAGCTGAGGCCCTGGAAAGAGACCACTCAGGGCCTCTCAGGATAGACCAGCATTCCTCAACCGAGCAGCCTCCAGATGGCTGGGGGATTTGGAGCTAGCTGCAGAAATGTGTAAGTTAGCTTTCTGTGTTGATTCTCTTGCTTTCTTCTGTGGGTCATTAAATGCTGTTAGACTGAGATGAGAGAGCATTATTTTAGTTGTTACATGCTATTCTGCCTTGGTCTTAATGTACACACTGGATGTATATAATGCTGAGGACTATGAGAGAAATAACAATTAGCCTTGTCTTCACATCCCTGCTTTTAAAAAAATGAATGAGTACTTTACACATTGTATGTGGGTTACAGCTTTTCTATCATGAAATAACAAAAGCAATGATTAACACAGTTTTAAATATATATTTTCAGTGTCTTTAACATTTACCGATAAACTATTGGAATGGAAGTTGGAGTTTTTAAAAAGCTGGTTAATGTTTGCCCCCTTTTTACTTTAAGGAACAAAATATGACTGTGACTGGTGGCTTAGCATGGTGGAACGATTTCATTGTTATTGCATGTTATAACTTAAGTGACCGCCAAGAAGAGGTAAGACTGTTTGAAATGAATGGAACCTGTCTGACATTGAATGCAGTCCCTGAACTTGCAAACATGTGGTTTAAATTGCATCCTAGTGCATTTTTGTTGCAAAATTTATACAGAAGTAGACTTACAAGGCAGTCCTCTTAGGCATCATCATCATCTGCACAGGAATAGTGCTCCCACATTTCAGCCATTTACAGTTTACCTTCTGTCCACCTTGGTCAAAAAAGACCCTGAGAAATCTGTTTATTTTTAACCCCGATGTAATTTTTGCCTCAGTCAGTATTGTTCTATTTGGGAAAAAACAACAACCCTGCATACCTGATCACATGGAAGACTTATTCCATCTCACTGCCAAGCAGTGGGCCATACCTATTGTTAAATCTCAGGCAGGGATTTAATGCATGTGATTAAGGCCTGCAAATGGCTCCTTACATGAACTTTTTCCTCTGTTCTGAACAGATGCTTAGGGAAAGTGCAGTGTCCATGTCCTTGGTTGGTTTTTGATAAGAGAATTGCCCTTCCCCAAAGCATAAAATAAACAGATTGAAATTCATTACGAATTGCCGTTTGAAATTATGGATGGGAATTCTTTTCCAAATGCCGCTGTATAGTCAAAGGGATGACTGGCCAACCAGTCTAACTGCAGAAGTATTCCCTGTCTGCAGGCTTGTTCAGGTGAAGCTGTTGTTTTTAGAGATGGGAAACTGGCAATATTTATACCAGAAGGCTTTCTGAGAACAAGCTTGAGATCTAAGTTTTGTAGAAATTTGTTTGTGAAGGTTTTACCAAATGTTTTGTATTTGAGAGAATCTCTTAATGAATTTAATGCCTCATCTGGAGCTTAACTTAATCCCTCCAGAGACAGTTAAAGAGTTAAATCCCTCCAGAGATATTTGCAGGGCACAAACTGAGCACAGGATGAGGGTGAAAGGACTTGCCATGCATTTAATCATAAAAGAGATGAAGAGGGACAATGAAGGGAGAGGGACTTCTGCAGAGGGTTTCTGTTTTGCCGAGATGTCTGTGCAGAAGAATGGGAAATCAGGGTGGAAAAGCAGTGCAGGTACATTTCCAAATCCCAGTAGAAGAAACAGGGAGCAGTGATGGAAGTGGTAGGCTGTAGCTGAACCATCCTGTCTCCATCCAAAGGTCTGGGAAGGACATGGGCTGCTCTTGTAGATGTCTCTCTGAAGAGGATGACATTCCTGTTCTTCTTACAGATTTAGAATGAGTAGTATTCCGTTAATATTCATGCTTGTCTTTTCAGCTAAGAGTATATTTGCGAACAGCCAATTTGGACAACGCATTTGCTCATATCACCAAAGTTCAGGCAGAAACATTATTGCTCAGTGTCTTTCGGGACATAATCATTTTGTTCAGAGCAGACTGTTCTATTTGCCTTTATAGTATTAAAAGAAAATCTGATGGGTGAGTATGAATCCATTGTTTTGTAGCCCACTTTCTTGGTTATAGCTTTTAGTTTGCATGTTGTTGGCATTGCTGCTACTGCTTTTTCATTTCTATACTGCTCTCTGGACAGCTTGCAACACTTTATCATAAATACAGTATAAATGAGAGAGAAATGTAGGAGTAAAGCATAGTATCCTTTGCAACATCCTTTTAAGAGCAGTTGAACACTGTGGCCAACATCCAGTGGTGTGAGCAGGTTCCCAGTTGTTCGGCGGGACCTTGCTCCCCCCTTTTCTCCCTGCAGTACCCCCTCCCAATGCATTCTAGAGCAGATTGGGGTGTGCAGGGGGCTGCAGACAGAGGGCAAGTTCGTTCCATAAGCAGCTTGTTTCCCTGACGGATGGACACTGTCAGATTCAGCCCATAGTGATAACAAGTATGGTGCCTGCTTCTGCCCATGCCTTTTGTAATTATGTCATGCTTGGCTCTGCAGGTTCCTCAACAATAGACAAGAAATAAGACTTTTTTGAACATTAGGTCATGTCTCCCCTTTCTAGTATCACTGTCATTTGCATATCATAATATGTTTTAATTAGTAGTGACTAATTTGGTAGCCTACTGTACTTGGCCTGGCCACTCAATTCTGTTTTCTGCTAGGGAACAATTACCTAGAATAGTGGTAGTGTTGGTATTAATGATAATCTCTTCAGGAATGTTGTATTATTTGAAGATTAACAAACTGCTAACTTAAGTTAAAGACCTCTAAATTGAATGGCTACTGTTGGTGTTCTGTTTAGAACACTATCACCATTTTTGTTTTTTGCCTTTCAGTCCTAACCCTACAACCAGTATTCAGGTTCTTCAGGAGGTTTCTATGTCACGTTATATTCCTCATCCATTCCTTGTTGTGTCTGTTACTTTGACATCTGTGAGAACAGAGACTGGCATCAGCTTGAAAATGCCACAGCAGGTATGTATAGATACAGTATCTTGAAAATGTAGAGGATGTGCTTAAGAACCACTGCTGTGTAAACTGACGCTTTAGGACTGTTCCACAAGGCAAAAGACATAGTACCGCACTGAAGGATACAGGCAGTTCCCAGGTTACGAATGAGTTCCATTCCTCAGAAAATGGAAATTTGTCTTTACATCAAATTTGTGTGTAAGTTGGATCCTGTATAATTGGCCATCCACATTCACATGAGTTAGGGGGTCAGAACCAAAGTGGAAAGTGGAAAAAAACATGAATATCTCTAGCCCCCCACACCCAAACACACCAGTGCCTCTTCTTTGCAGCAAGGAAATGCTGGAGCAGTTTTCCTCTCCGAATGGGCAGGGTGGGAAGGTCCGCTTTGGAGGTTTCCTCCCCACCTTTTCACTTTCTCTCTCTCTGATGATGATGTTTTGGAGACCTTCCTTCTCTCCTCTTCTTGAGATGACGACTTCCTGCAGTAATTTTTAAAAATTAATTGACCAAATGGAAGTTTGTTCATAAGTACAGATTGTTCATAACTTGGGTGTTTCTATATCTTAAAAACTAAATAAAAGTAGCTGTACAGACTGTAAGACGGGGTCCTCAAACTTTTTCACCAGGGGGCCAGTTGAAAGATGCCAGTGCCAGGTGGGTGCCGGAAAGGTGGTGCCAGCGGTGCACATGGGCTGGTGCAGGGGCAGTGAAGTGCATGTGGGTGTGCGTGCTGAGGCGGGGGCGGGGCATGCGGCGAGGGGAGGCGCAGCCAGGGGTGGGTATGTGTGCATGGTGAGGGGAGGCAAGGCAGGGGCGGGCATGCGCCGCAAGGTGGGTGCACGAGGTAGCGGCTCGCTCACTTAGAGATCATTTTCTCCGAGTGAGCAAATCGCTGCCTCCCTGTGCGCGGAGTGAGGTGGGCAGCAGTGGGTGGGCACGGGTGTGCGCGGCGGGTCCAAATGGGCATGGCAGGTCAGATAAATGGGCATGGCGGCTGGATCCGGCCCCCGGGCCGTAGTTTGACGACCCATGCTGTATGATGTTAGTGTTACGTAACTTCTGCTGGATTCCAGAGATACATGACTTTTATAGTTTATGTAGCATGTAATTTCCTTCAGTGTTGCACACCCTGTAATTTCAACAAACTTTATAAAATTTCATAAATGTCACCTGTTCTAAAACTTCACAGGTTCACTAAATCTGGCTAGGCAAGTAATCCTGGTAAGCAACAGACAGTGTATTTTGCTTGGGTGACTTTCAGTTGATTTCACCCAATGATGTAGACAAAAGAATTGCAGAAGCCAGCATCTTCTTAACTTTGTCCTTCTTAACATTTGGAGTCCTGTAGTGTTGACCAGTCAAGTTGACCAGAGCAGCTTAGTGATCTTGTTACATTAAGAAGTTTAAAAGTGTCATAAGTTAATAATGACAAGCATGGTAATTAGTACATATTTGCCAGACAAGGCATATTTTAGTGTAAGTGAAAGAGTTAGTCATTTTAAAAGTGCTCGATCTTCCAGACTTGGGTAACTATTTGCAGCACTGTAGTATGCCTTTGGGGGCATAGAGTTTGCCCTCAAATGGTCAGTATGCTTTGGTGTGAAAATGATTTTTTGGAACAGTTTCATTCCACTTTGAGTGCTGGCTTTGTGAGTGGAAGCCAGTTTTGGTTACCCTGATTTTGTCAGCCTTTGTCGAAAGAAAGAGAGGTGTAGGTTGGTGTGCAGTGTTGTATATGGTTGGCTATGGTATATCTCTGGAGTGCTCTGTGGGAGTAAATATCAGAGGTGTTGCTTTGTAGTGGCTCTGTTTTTTTGTGAGGATAGGTTCCAGAAGATTGTTTCTTTTCCCTATGGAAGTTATCCTGTGGGTCTCTATGGTGTTTCAGCATCTACCCAAAGAACTAGGCAAGATTGTCAGGCATAGGAGCTGGTTTTATCAGTATGCTGATGACACCTTTCATATTTTCATCAAATGCAGATGAAGCAGTGAAGTCCTCAAATTTGTGAATGGGGAGCTGCATGAAAAATAATGCTTTTACGGATACGGTAATGGAGCGGATGAATTTGCACTTCATCATAAGCATGCTGAATATAATCCAGTGTTATAGGACTTCCTCCTTTCCTCTGTCCAGCTGTAATGCCCATGACCCATCAAAATCAGCTCCAGTTCTCCAGGGTAGATTTGTAGGAGGGTCTGCAGGGGGACCCGGTTCTGCTGACATAAGCATTCCATTATCATTAAAACATCATTGGATTCTGCCTGGTAGATTTTGCAGAGCTGGAAAAATTATTACCTAATAACTTATGTATCCTAATATATTTTCTTTTTTAAGGCCTGTGAAGCAGAGAGTATTATGTTAAACCTAGCAGGACAGTTAATTATGGTGCAAAGGGATCGATCTGGTCCACAGATAAGAGAAAAGGACAGTAGTCCCAACCAAAGGAAACTTGTGAGTTTATTTATGTGAACATATTTTATGTGCATATTTTTTGAAAACTGTAGAAAGAATATGCAGTGTAATCAGTGAATACTCGTGTATAATGCTGCATGTATCTTGTAATTAAAGTAACTGTGATTTATTGTAGATGAATCATTGCAACTTGTAAATTGTAAACGTTCTCGTCTTTACAAGCAAAATTCTGGTAGCTCAGTTGTCACAAAAACACAAACTCTGCAAACTAGAGCACTGTCTTCACAAGTGAAGATAGAAAGAGGGATAAAAAGGAGAATCTTTTTAAAGATATTTGTTTTAGAGAATTTTTTAGATATTTATTTTGTTCTTTACCAAATTTAGCATTCACTGCTTTGCTTGTATAATCAACATGCTAAAATGGAGGTTAACTAACAGCTGAAGATAACAGAGAAGGAACTGTGCTATTTCTTGAACTATATGAAATAATGGCATGGAAAATATTTAGGGGTAACAAAAATGTGAAAACTTGGACTGGGGGTTGCTGGGAGGACTGCATAAATGTTGACATGTGATCCTGTTTATGGAGGGCAAGAAATTGTGGTGGAGGGATACTTTCTGTGTGCCTTGCACAGAACTTACAGAAGAATCACTTTGAAAAGATAAAATAGTCTAATGAATTTATGTTTGTGTATGTGTTTTTAGCTGCCATTTTGTGCTCCAGTTGTACTTGCCCAGTCAGTTGAAAATGTTTGGACTACATCCCGTTCTAACAAACACAAACGTCACTTGCTGGAGGCCCTGTGGCTCAGCTGTGGGGGATCAGGTATGAAAGTCTGGCTTCCTTTGTTTCCCAGGGACCACCGCAAACCACATTCCTTTCTGTCAAGACGGATCATGCTGCCTTTCCACATTAACATATACCCCTTGGCCGTTCTGTTCGAAGATGCCTTGGTTCTTGGTGCTGTCAATGACACTGTGCTCTACGACTGTTTATACACTCACAGCAGCGCTATAGAACATTTAGAGGTTCTCTTCCCTTTCTGTATTGTTGAGAGAACATCTCAGATCTACCTCCATCACATTTTGCGCCAGCTTTTGATGAGGAACCTAGGCGAGCAAGCCTTGCTTCTGGCTCAGTCCTGTGCCACGTTACCGTATTTTCCTCATGTGCTAGAACTGATGCTTCATGAAGTGCTGGAAGAAGAAGCTACCTCACGGGATCCCATCCCTGACCCTCTACTTCCCACTGTGGCTAAATTCATTACAGAGTTCCCCCTCTTCCTGCAGACAGTTGTTCATTGTGCTAGGAAGACAGAATATGCCCTGTGGAATTACCTCTTTGCTGCTGTTGGAAATCCAAAAGACTTGTTTGAAGAGTGCTTAATGGCCCAGGACTTAGACACTGCTGCTTCTTACCTTATCATTCTGCAGGTAAGAATATATTCAGACATTTTGTTCCAAAGGGGATTAGGTGTGTTTCACAAAAGGACAAAGATACTTTGTTTCCTCTAAAAAGTATGCTTTTATTGCTAGAGGGAAAAGATTTCTGACAATTGGGAGGGGGAGGATTTTAACAGCAGCACCTGTCCCCTCAGCAATGAAATATGCTTAGCGCTTCCATGTGATCATCTGTGAGAATTCCCCCTGGAAGCACTGGTCCCAATAGTAGCACTGGTCCCTAATGCTGCTAAACTGCTACAGGTGGCTCAAAACCTACTTAAGCACTTCCACAAGCACTCCTGTGGAGTCCTGTGGAGTGTCTAAATGGGCTTGTGGTCATTAGTGTCCCACAACAAAGAGAAAGCCATGCCGCATGAAGTGCATTTCCATGTGCAGTCCTTGGAAGAGGGGTGTGTGTGTGTGTGTGTTACTTTTCTTCCATCAGAGTTCTGTTTCTTGAACACAGTAGGATAAAATGATAGATCAGCCCCACTGGTGACTTGTGTCTGTTCTTCTAGAACATGGAAGTTCCAGCAGTTAGTAGGCAGCATGCAACCTTGCTATTCAATACTGCTTTGGAGCAGGGAAAGTGGGATCTTTGTCGGCACATGATCAGATTCCTAAAAGCCATTGGCTCTGGTGAATCGGAGACACCTCCTCCTACGCCAACTACTCAGGTATGCCGGGAACATGACTGGCCTGTCATAGATAGGGCAGGTAACTATCAAGAAGTAATTTCACGTGCAGTCATAGTGAAAATGAGTTACATATAGCACTGAAGAGTGTTACTTGTTGCATCTTTAGTTGACTAGGAGAAGGAACTATATCAGTCAAACTAGAGAAGCTCCCTTAAAATGAAAGGAAGTAATAGCATGGTTCAAAACCCTTATGCTGTTGAGACAGTCTTCCATATTTTGCTTACTCACAGCTTGGGCACCATATACGCACATACGTCTTTCAGCCCAAGTTTTCCTCTTGTGCAGGTTGCAAGAAATAGTTCGTACTGTATCAACATTTCATAAGCTGTTTGTGAATGCTAAACTTTTAATCCTGACAATCTGTTGGAAAGTTTATCTTAGGGTGGTGCATGTTTAACTAAAAGTGGTTATTATCAGAACACATGGCTTGCTCTGCTCTAGTTGTATATCCCGAATATTATGTTTGTCTTAGGCAGAGGCAAAGCACAGTCATATGTCAAACCCGCGTGCCATCACCTCGGCATGCTGGCTTGTCTATCTCAGAACAGGGCTGTCTTAACAGCATTATGGGCCCCAGGCAAAGCAGTGTACTGGGGCCCCTACGACAACTACAACTACTGTTAATTTTGGACGTTTTCCAATTTTCCAAGGGTTAACATACACAGATTAGTACGGGGCCCACGGGCAAGTGCCCATCAGGCCCATGCGTTAACACGGCCCTGTCTCAGAACAACAGATACTGGTGCCTACCCCGCACTCCTGTTTCACTCTTTCTACTGCATGTACCAACCTCACCTCCCTCATCCTTTCACTGCTAGCATGTGTCACTCTTCCCAATGAAGGCATAAATGGAAAGCAGTGTGCAGCTAGGCAGTTATGCCTACGAGTTGTGCTTGACTTTACTGTTACTCCAAACCTGGAGAGGAACAAGAATGGGAATGAAAGACCAAAGAGTTGTGTGGGTATGGGGAGCTAAGTTGCAAGGGAGACTGTAGAGATCACTGCTTCTGTCAAGGGATGAATCAGTTTGTTTCTAGTCTGTATCATTTTTGCATTAGCATTGCATTCTTTCTGTTAATCCTGTGTTCTGAATTAAGAGCATCCATTCATCTGAGAAAGTGATTGTATGTACTTCCCCTAACATATGCATTTGCAGTATACCTTTCTGAGCCAAAGACTACATTGCAGACTTCAAAAAACTGTTAATTTGTCTGACAAATAGCTATACATTAGTCTAGGACAGGGGTCTCAAACTCAACTTACCTGGGGGCCGCTGGAAGTAGAGTTTGGGTGAGGCTGGGCCGCATCAAGTCTTCCACCACCGTGGTGGTGGTGGGCCGCTCATCCTGCGTCGCTCCCGGAGGCCGGCCCGGGGTCTGCCAGTGCTTTGAAGGCCGCAGGGCCCCTGCCCCGTGCCCCACCCATCCCGGCGCGCAGCTTAGAGGGAACAGTGCGCCCAGGGTAACGACTCACACAGGTGCGTGTGAGAAAAACGCACGGGCTGCACTATCACTAAACTTTGATATCAAGTGGGGGCCACAAAATATCATCCCACGGGCTGCAATTGGCCCGTGGGCCGCGAGTTTGAGACCCCTGGTCTAGGAAGTGCAGATTAAATTGGCTCACTTAAATTGGTTCATACCAGAAGGTTTTATCAGTCTTTTAAAGGCACATTCATTAGCATTGCATTTAAACAATGATTGGAGAAAGCATATATATAGAAAATTAATACTAATTTATTGATTTATCAATTAGCTGCATTTAAAATTGCGTGTCTGGTTTGCTAGCATTCAGAGAGCATTTCCTGCTTGGACTGCAGCATAACCTTTTCTTGTGACTTTCTTTCATTTAGGAACCGACTTCAAGTGGTGGCTTTGAGTTTTTCAGGCATCGCAGCATTAGTTTGTCCCAGTCCGGAGAAGGCCTTCCAGCTGGCAAGTTTAACTTGCAAAAAACCTTAAGCATGCCATCTGGTCCATCTGGAAAAAGGTAATTTTGATACTTTAGTTTATTATCTGTACTGTTGTAGAATGATATCTCAGTATCTGCAAAACAGGAAATATTCTCTTCTGGGACATAGAGTGGTACCTCAGCTCACGAACGCCTTGGTTCATGACCAAATCGGGTCGCATACAAAAATTTCATGAAAATGTTGACATGGGTCGCAAACTCTGCATTGGGTGGTGAACCAGCGTGATCACGGCCATCTCCCCCCAAGTGGGGAGATGCCCGCGATGGTGCTGGGTTCAGTGGGGGAGATGGCCGAAATTGCACCCATGTCTCCTTCCCCCAGCATGCCCCATTCACGTCCGTCTCTCCCCCAGCGCACCTCATTCGCACTCGTCTCTCTCCCCCAGTGCGCCCATGATGGCGTTCATCCCCACCCCACGTGCTGGGTTGACAGGTACGATCTCGGTCGTGCTGTGGGGGCGGGGAGATGGCCGCGCTTGTGCTCGTGGTGGTGGTGGGGTAGCCGCGATCTTTGTTGTTCTTTGTCACTTTGCTTCACATTTTTCTGATTAAAAAAAAATGGTTACAGAACGGATTAACCTTATTTACATTGAACCTTATGGGGAAATTTAACTTGGCTCACGACCAATTTGGGTCCAACCAGAGTCCTGGAACGGATTAAGTTAGTGAGCCAAGATACCACTGTATTTCGGCACATGCTAGTTACATTGCATGTATTAACTTTTCAGTGCTGATACTCTTATTTGATAGCAACATTTCATAGTAGTCCAGCAAAATTCCAGGAAGATCAGACAACACAAAGCACAACAGAATTTTGCTTGGACCATCTGACCCAATCTTTTTCTCCTTCTTAGGTGGAGTAAGGACAGTGACTGTGCTGAGAACATGTACATCGATATGATGCTGTGGCGACACGCTCGACGCCTTCTAGAAGAAATCCGGCTTAAGGACCTTGGTTGTTTTGCTGCGCAGCTGGGCTTTGAGCTGATTGGCTGGTTGTGTAAGGAGCGCTCCAGAGCTGCTCGTGTGGAGGACTTTGTCACTGCTTTGAAACAAATGCACAAAGATTTTCTCTGGCCCTTTCCAGTTATTCCAGTTTGCTCCATCAGTTCACCTCTCAAGAATGGAAAGTACCGGACAGGTACAGTATTTATTTATTAAAACATTTTTATGTATCATCTACTCTTGTCACTAGAAAGTGGAGGTATCTTTAGGTATGACATAGAAGGAACAAAACTGCAATTGCCCTGTGCTATTTCTTTGCATTTTCAAGCTGGTTACATTTGATGTTGCTGCCATATTTGTGTTAAATTTGAAGTTGATATATGTGTGATGTACAGAGACCACAACAAAGAACTGACAATGCAGACTGGCATCTAAAACTGTACTACACTAAAGCAATAAGATTAAGAGTAATTTAATTGTCTTAGATCCTTGAAATCCCTCTGATAATCTTGCACTTAATCATTAGGAGCTTTAAAAATACATGTTGCAACTAATATAAAAATGCAGCAAATACTTATTGAAAGAGGCTGATGAATATGCACAATTAATTTAGGGGCAAATCTGATAACCTTGTAGGCCAAAATATCTCCCACCATTGGCTCTGGTGGCTTGGTTTCGGGCTGGTGGGAATGGTGGCACTGCAAATGCTTTGGCCCACAAGTTGTTTGCCCAAGGTAAGGAGGAAAGAGAAGCAGGCTGGTCTGCTTGATCTTGGGATACACCAGCTGCTCTATATGGCAAGGTTCACATATAAGGAGGCTGTAAATTACTTCAGGTAACAAAGGCAAGTTCCCTCAGAGGTAGTATTGCTTGGTTCCAAGAACATTTGTATAACTTAGGAATGAAATCTTAGATTGTGTCTCTTGGCTCCTGGAAGTATAGCTGCCTCACATGCTTTATTTCCAGTTATAGGTGAACCACTGTTAAAGTCACAGTCTGCTGACAACTTTTTGAACATGGAAATGGAGACTGGCATTCCCAATATGCCAAGAAGTCACACCTGGCTTGGTGCCATCAGTTCTTCCCAAAGAGAGATGGATGCTGCATCATCCCATGGTCCTCACATGCAAGAGGCATTTCTCTCACCTCTATTAAACAAAGGTGTGTCATTCCCATACATGGCTTTCTTTCGAGTCTTCCTCTGAAAATGCATTTAAATTCTATATTTTATTCAATGTAGATTATCTTATGACTTCTATCTCATTTCTAGTCTTTCTTGGGGAACTCATAATAGATGAGAAGAGATAAATGTTAGAAGAAAACAATTCAAATGTAATGTTGGCAGTTATAAACACTCTTAGCACCATTTAAAGATGAAAATAGCCAAAAGACAGATTCACACTGGGAAAAAAATCCATTAGGAAAGATGTGACCTGTTGTTTTAACAACTTAGATGTTAGAAGAAGAAGGAATTAATGAGAGATGAGCTCATATTTCCAGAGTATTGTATTTTATTTTATTTGCCATTTGTATGCTACCCCATAGCCAGAGTTATTGACAAAAATGTTATTTAGCTGTACTATGCGAAGAATTGGGAGAACTGTCTTTAAAGAAGGAACCTTCAAGCATTTCCTAAAGCACAAAACATGCAATCATATGCCCCACAGGAAAGAATAATTATGTCATTTCTGAAGGTAACCTATGAATCCACACTGTTAGAATTGTGTTGCAGAATTCTGAGTGTCCAGTGATACAGAATCCAGTAAGGAGAAGAATCAGAGCAGTCTGAAACATTCTGGAAGGAAGTCAAGCAAGTTGCTTGGCCTCATGTCCATAGAAAGCCCCTTGAAAAACCCAATTACGAGGGGCGTTCAATGTATTCTCGGTATCAGGTTGATTTGCTATTGATGTGGGTAATTTAATTATTTCATTAGCTAATGACACTATCTGAGGGTATACATGCAAAATTTCAAATAAGTGTGATCATTAGTATCCTAGTAATCCTCAGTGAAAGACGACCATGATGACTGACACGACATTGTTGAAGAAAATCGAGCACTGCGGTGTGATGAAGTTCCTTACTAAACAAGGAAAAAGTCAAAAAATAATTCACAAAGAGATGGTGGCTGTTTACCAGGACTATGCGCCTTCATTATCTACAGTTCAAAAGTGGTGAAGTGAATTTAAAAGGGGCAGAGAAAGCATTGAAGATGACCCTCGCTTGGGCAGGCCGGTTACTGCCACTACGAAAGCAAAAATTGAGAGACTTATATTGGAAGATGCCTGAATAAAAATCAAAATGTTAGCAGAGATGACAAACCTATCTGTTGGTACCATATTTACTATTTTTCATGACCATCTTAACCTTTCAAAGGTCTGTGCAAGATGGGTGCCGCAAATGCTCATGGCGCCTCAGAAACAAGTGCGAGCCGAGTGCTGTAGGGAGTTTTTAGAGCCTTTTGAGTTTTTAGGTGACGATCCATCGAGTATTTTCCACAGGATTGTTACTGGAGATGAAACTTGGGTTCATCACTATGACCCTGAAAGTAAGCAGGAGTCCATGCAGTGGCATAAAAAAGGTGCTGACCCTCCGAAGAAATTCAGAGTCACTCCATTGGCTGGAAAAATCATGGCCACAGTGTTTTGGGACTCAAAGGGAATTTTATTGATCAAGTATACAAACAAAGGTGAAACCATAAATGCAGCATCTTGCGCAACCACTCTGGGTAATTTAAGAGAAGCAATTAAAGAAAAAAGGCGGGGAAAACTGACTGCAGGTGTGTTTCTTCTTCACGACAACGCGCCCTGTGAACGGGTGCGTGTTTCGAAGGCTGCTGTGCGAGACTGTGGTTTCGAAGAAATAAACCACCCACCCTACAGCCCGGACCTGGCCTCCAGTGACTACTATCTAGTCCCGAATTTAAACAAAGATCTTTGTGGAAAGCGATTTTCCAACGATGAAGAGCTCAAGGCTGCAATTAATGCACATTTTTTAGACGAGGAAGGGTATTTTTTTTTACAGGGAATTGATTTCTAGATGTAATAAGTATATTGAAATTATGGGGGATTACATTGAGAAATAAAAATTATTTCAATTTATTATTCCTTTTGCTTCATGCTGATACCAAGAATACATTGAACGACCGTGCTTTGAAATTAGAAGGTGTCTGATAGGACTTCTGGTATTGAGGAAGGAAGTACTACAATTTCACTGGACAGAATTACTAGCTCAGTTCTTAAGGTCAAGCCTCCATCATTCAGTGCTTGCTTGTCATTCCCAAATATTGTGCACATGATAACAATCAAACTGTGTTTGGACTGTATGCGTTTTTCATAAATGTTTTGATCTAATCACAAAGTTAGAGTTCCATAGGATTTATTATTTAATAAGAATAAAGGAAAGGGTCGCCTTAGTCCTCATTACTCTGATCTGGGTTTTTGTCAAGACTGAAGAATATCAGTTGGGCTTTCAGAACTAGATTTATAAGGCAAATTCTACAGGGAATATTCAAGATATTCTTAGCTAATTAATGTCCTAGATTCAAGTTGACTGAATTCTAACAGAGCCTCCAGGGAACCCCCAAACCATTCTTGGTGTTTTTGGGGGTTTCCCTTCCCCTTTTGTGCCAATCCATTTGTCTTGTGCTTCCAGACTTGGCAGACAGTGCTCTTGTTGTCAACAAGTGTGCTGGCAAAATTTGCATGATTGCTCTATAGAACCTTTGAATGCTGTGGAAGAGGCTAGGGCAGGGGTCGGCAACCTTAAAACACTCGAAAGAGCCATTTGGACCCTTTTCCCACAGAAAAGAAAACACCAGGACCCACAAAACCCTTTTGACATCTGAAATGAAGATGACAGTGCCTGTATCATTTTTTACCTTTATGCTATGTATAAAAAAACTAGTGTGTTGCATTTATGAAATCAGTGAACTGCTACAGAGAAAACAAATTTTTATTTCTGCATGCAACAAAAACATTTTGAACTCCAAAAAAAAAGATCCTGGGTTGAAGGTTACTTTCAAATAAAATACTCAATGTCTATTTGAGTCCTCCTCTTATTTATGAAATAAGAAGCCAAACTTAAATTATCCATCTGCAGCTTTCTGTCCTATTTCCTGAGCGGCCACAAAACTAGCACATGTAGTTGCATTTGCAGACTTAATCCACTTCTTGAGATGATTTTTGCTCAGTTCAACCTTCTGCATCAGTTCCAAAATGGCTTTTTCTCTCTCATCTCCATCTAGATATTTTTCAGCAAAGGCTGTGTGTTTATTCTGGAAATGCCTTGTAACATTCAACTTTTTGTTGTTTGCCAATTTCTCACCACATATTAAGCATTCTGGTAAACCAGTCTCATCAGCAGTGAAAGCAAATGAATCTGCCCACGTACCACTAAATATTCTGTTTTCTTCTGAAACTTTACTTTTCTTGGATTTATCCATGGTTGGCCTACCGGGGGTCAAAAAGCTCAATAAATCGCGTGCCGGCGGGTGTTGCACATTGGCGGTTGTGACGCATATTTTGAGCGACAGGGAGCCGCAGCAGAGGGATGAAAGAGCCACATGTGGCTCCAAAGCCTCGGGTTGCTGACCCCTGGGCGAGGGTACATTTAACTGTAGCTACTCGAATTCACTTGGAGCCTTGCATAGGCTTTCCTGGGCACTTTCGCACATCATGCCAATGCACCCTAGCGGTAAGCCACAGTGGGTTGATTGTTAGCAAAACAATCCATGGTGAGCTTGACAGATAGGTGGGTTCACTGTGGGTTACTGGCCCCTTTCTCCCTCAGTCCCCCCCCTTGGGCATTGCAGGTCACATGGGATAGCTTCCATGCTGCAATCATGAGTTGTTTTAGGCTCACCGTCTTTTTCCATTTCCCCGCTTTTCCCCTGAGATCGTGAAAATTAGTTTTCACAATTCCTGTCTTGACAACCACTGACAACCCCTTCAAAATGGCTGGGTAGTGGCTGACAGAACACTTTAAAAATGTTTGCAAATTAAATTCATGCAAACAAGTGCTTTTATTTATTGTTTAAAGATTTTTAAAGTGCAGTTGCACCCCACAGAGTATTGCCCCAGCTGAGGCTTCACATCCCCACAGCTGCACAACTGTGCCTAAAGTATAAAAAATAAAAAGCTCGTTGTTGTCAAAATTCCTTTGTGCTATTTTTCTTTTAAGATTCTGCCAGCCACTAGGTGCTACTTGGGCTCTTTGAAGGGGCTGTCAAAGGAGGAAGCCAGTTTTGACAATCTCTGAGAAACATGACAAGGAAGAAAAGCTGTTTCTTGCAATCACAATGTGAAGTGGGGGGAGCCAGTTCCAGCTATCCCCACATGCCATTTGGGCACCCTTGGGGCAGCTGGCACTGACAGTCACCTGCTTGACACCCATGGACAGCGTGGACTGCATGTGCCTACCCTGAACATTGCTCAAAAAATTACCAGTATCCATTCCATACCCTGGTTTCTTGTGGCAAATCACAGAAAGACAGGTGTCATGAGAAAACCAGGCCAGAAGGATCCTTTGTCTGAGAAGGTGCTTTGAAGTGGATTTCCATACTTTCTGCTCAAGATCCTTGGAGGGGAAGACTCACTACCCATGATGTCCCCTGCTGTCTGCTGGCACATCACTGGCTTCTGAGCTGCACTGGGTAGCAGCTTTGTTACACAGTGCGGCTTATCATGTTGCAAATAGCTATGCAAATAGAATCAGCACAGTTGTTCAAGCATGTTGATGCACTTTATTTTGACAGGTGATGAATGCAGTATTGGTTCAGCAACAGATCTGACAGAAACCAGTTCTATAGTGGATGGCGACTGGACTATGGTGGATGAAAACTTCTCCACTCTAAGCTTAACACAGTCAGAGTTGGAACATATCTCTTTGGAGCTTGCCAGTAAAGGGCCACACAGATCACAGGTTCAGCTGCGGTAAGATAAGTTTGAATTTGTATTCAATGGATGGGCATTTGAAATGTCCCCTTTGACCATTCTTAGCAGATGGAGACAAAGGATACGTGTCATATCCTTTGAAAAATGTTTGAATATCCTTTGAGATACTCTAATGCAGTAGAAATATGTTTGGCTTTGATTTTTTTTCATTTTTTGTAGGTATTTGCTTCATATTTTTATGGAAGCAGGATGTCTGGACTGGTGCATTATTATAGGTCTTATTCTCCGGGAAACTTCAATAATCAACCAAGTTTTTAGTCTAATTCAGTCTTCAGAGGTTGACAGGGAGATGTTGCAGAATATTAAGACAGGGTTACAGGCAGTAGACAGATGGACTTCTACAGACTGGTAAGTTTCATGGGCTATGTGCTCTTTTATACTGTCTGCCAACTAAATCTGCATGCACTTTAACATATTAAGAACATCAGATTGTGAACTAGTTATTAAAAAACACAAGCCCTTAATATTGAAACCCTTCAAAGCAGGAATTTTGTATGCTGAAGTACAGCGCCTGGAGTTTTATAACGGATTATTTATTGTATGTGTTAATAAAAATTAATTTGCCTTAGGTTGTTTCTTTTTCAGTTGCAAGCACTTTCTAAGAGCAGAATACATTCATCAGCATTTTAAAACCTATACATTAATATGAAAACAGAATGCTTTATTCCGCCATAGAATGTGTGTGTCCATTAGTGGTATCTTGAAGTGTGTGGTGTGGTAGCACCACATGTCCAGTTTTCATGCTATCAGGAATGAGCTGGACAGCATATGAGTAACATCAAGGGCTTTCACTATTCAAAGTGTTCTCATGATCCTTAATTTTATGGAATGGTGTTAGGGTTTGCTTAGCCAATGCATGGTATACCACCCTTTGAATCTTGATGACCAGGAAAACATCAGAGCTTGAATTAGTATTTTTAGAGACTTAACTGAAACAGCTCTCCCTGCTTAATGTTCTTTAGCCCAGGTTATAAGCCATTTTTAACCATCATCAAGCCACAGCTCCAAAAGCTGAGTGAGCTAGCTGAGGAACAAGTGCAACCAGAAGCCTTTCAGCCTGTGAACCTGTCAAGGGCGACTGAACAAGCCAGTACAAGGACAGAAGACAACCGAAGCTCCGCTAGCCACAGTGCCAGTCCCCAGAGCGACACCAGCAGCAGCGCCACAATCCGGCACGAGGAGGACATGATTGGACTAGAGGAGGAAGAGAATCCACTCCAGGAAGGCAGTTATGACTGCACTGTGTCCTAACAGCTTTGAAACTGTTGGTGGATCATATTAATAAGAGCACAGATGCATAATAATGCCATTTATAAGATTGCTACTTTTGGAAGAAAGCGATCAGAACCTTCAGTACTATTTGTTTTTAATGTTAATGTTGGATTTTTACATGCATTTACCAGAGAACTTGCTTAAAACTGTGAATGTCTCCCAACAAGTAGTCAAGGGTCTTTCACTTAAGAAATCATTATATGGAGAGTAATGACATTGTAGTTTGCATGCCAAGATATAGTTTGAAGATCTTGTTATTCAGACTACTCCCCTCTGTTCTTCAGAAATCTCCTCATGTTTAGGGTTCTTGATCATGCAAAAGGATATCTGTAACAGTGCACCAAATCATTGTTGGGTTCCTTTGGAATGCAAGGGAAGGTTCTAAATGGATCATTTCCCCTCGGAAAATGAGGCAATACTTAGAGGAATATTTATCAGATTTTCAACTTGCTGGGTTTTTGGATCCAAGCTTTTAAAAATTTAACATAGAAACTAGTTAGGATGAAAACTGGTACATTTTGTCTAGTTTGATTACCCTGAAGGAATGATGGCTGGATTGAATAAGGCTCTGTGTTCTCTAGATTATGTTGTTTGATACCACTAAGCCTTTTCTATTAAAGAAATGTAAAATACATTGTACTTTTGTGAATACGCCTGTATAATATTTTCAAGGTTGCTGTTTATGCTTTTGGTTCTTGTACTACAATGGAGGGCACCTCCCTCCGCAAATCATGCATGTTTGTTACCTTCAACTCCAGGGAAACGAAAAGCGAAGTTGCACTTCCATCAGGATGTGGCCCACTTTCAGCAGTTCTTCATGAGAGTAATTTCTGTTTCTCAGGCTTTATTTTGTCATTGGCCTATTCATATTTTAAACAAAAGGAGTTAAATTACTGAAGATTCTTATTTATTTCACTTGTAAATTCTTTTATCAAAACTAGTTTTTATGTAAATACCACCTTACATTCTACTGCCATTGAGGCTTCATAACAACAATGTACAGTGTATATACTTAAACTGCCACCTTGCAAATATTTTATAATGCATATACATATAACTAATTACAAATGTTTATTTTAACTTTCATACAATGATGTTATGAAAAGCTGGCTGCAGCAGTGTCTCACAGTTGCTTTGAGGTACTTATTTTCTCTCTCTTATGTCCCTGCTGTGTAATATTAAATACCTGTAACAGTATTAAAAATTTAGACATTGGCTGGTTTGTATTGTGCAGTTGGGGAAATACAACACTCCTAATTTTTATACAAAAACTAACACTTATTTTTATAATGTGGATGTTATGAATAGTGACATGGACCAAGATCACTTAGGCAGGCATATGTGCATCACTGTCAGCAGCCCTGGTATAGTTGATCAGTTTGTTCATGCAGTTCTCTGTATGAATTCTGAACATGCAAGATGGGGCAAAATATTACTGGTTACCATTTTGTGTATTTGTCTAGAGGACAAGATTGTCTTACAGTGGATAATGTAACTGGATACATTTGCTGTCGCTTACGTAGCTCTTACTGTTGATAAGACCATTAGTACTGGTACATGTGCAATAACTTTTAAATAAAATGACAGAGGGTGGAAATTACCTAGCATTCCATACTTGTTAGTCGACATGATGCTTTGTGTTTTACTATGAGTATTTTTTTCCTTCCAAAAGATGCATTAAATCAATTTTATACTGTGTTTTAGCATGTTAATGTCAGTTTCTAGAACCTGCCTCAAATTTAGGGCTACTCATTGCTGTGCCACTTTCTATCAAGGAAAGCAGATCTCGGATCTGATTTGTCATGCATTTCTGTCACTGCCCAGCATCTCCAGCAGAAAAGTTCAAAGAAACTTTGCAAGAGTTATTGGTGGCTTGAGTGGAAAGTTAACATAATGATCCCCAGGATCTCCCGTGTGGCTTTTATCCTCCTTTTTAAGTCAGATGAAAAAGATAAGATCTAATTCTGACTGTCCTGAAATTATCAAAAAGATAGCTTTTCTTTTTATTTCATTTAACTTTAAACTATTTTTGTCCCATCCCTCAGCTCAAGTTCTCCTGGAATAGCTATATGCTGTCAATAAAACAAGACAGTACCTTCTTAGGCTTACAATTTAAATATCATGCCTTTTTAGGTCAAAAGGATAGGAAAGAAAAGGGGAAATTAAGTGGTTTTTCAGCAGTGCTGGTGGAATGGCCTTGCTTCTCCTTCCACTCCCTTTTTTCTTATACGGTTTTGGTTAAAATAATAAAAAAATATGTGGACACTTCCATTCTTAATAATTTCAGTGTCTTTTATTGGTTCTATCTTGGTAAGGCACACTCAGGGCCCTTTGACTACAGTAAATAGTGGACATTCTTTTAGGTACCAGAAGGAGTAATTAGTTTCTCTGCCTGTTGTTTCTAACTTTTGCCTATGTCACAGTTGCTCTGTTTTATTAGGTCAAAGCTTCTTTTATTACATTTCTTACCCCACTGTATTAGTTCTACCTATCCACTCTATGCAAGTATTTCTTGAAAAGGAGTTGGATTCAGTTTTAAAAAGAACTGAGATCCACGAATTTCATACACTCTCATCACAGAATTCTCTGGAGAATTCAATGCAGTTAGGCTAACCTGATGAGTGAGACAAGCTGTGTTGTGTAAGGAAGGGGAAATTCTGGGACAAAAATTAAGTGTAGGATCCTTCACTTGAACAGGTTTTTTTTCCTTTTCAGAAGGCAGCTTAGATCCAATCCAGTATGACTAGTTTGCTGTTCTCACCTACATGCCCATTTGATTTTATTCTTTTCTGAGCCCTAACTGCATTCTGCCTTTTCTACCATGCTATCTTGCTCCTTTGCTACTGTCTTCAAAGATGCCATGACCTTCCCCAAAACATCCAGTCCCCACTCCATTCTACCATCTCTTTATACTTTTACTGATTCGTTTTTGGGAATGTCTTCCATTGGGAATGTCTACTACTTGGGAATGTCTTGGGAATGTCTACTACTTCCAGTAAGCTTAAATTACCATCTCTTGCTTCGCTCCTTTCATGATACTGTTCTTGGATTGGTTTTTACCAGCTTGTGAGGTTACTTCCATTGAGTTTCCATTGAGAGGCAAGTTATTCCCCCCCCCTTCTTTCTGTGTTCCCAGTTCCTGATCTCCTGCTATATTCTCCCCTAACTTTTATACATTGTTGATACTCAGTTGAGGCTGGCTATATTTCTATTACCCCTCTGATACACTTGGTGGTGTGTTCACCATCACAAATTTAACACGTCCAGGACTGAACGTGTACTTCCCTCCCAAGCCCTCCTTTCCTCAAACTCTCAGTCAATATCACTCTGTTGACAAGGCATACAATCTTGACTTTAACTTTGGATGTGAAATGTGTGGGAATTGTTCAAGTTCAATCACTTGTCTGTACAATATTGCAGAAACCCACTCTTTTGTATCTTGTCAGCTAGAGGTTTAATAATTACGTTAACTACAGTCATCTTTCACCTTCAGCCTTCAATGCTAGCCAAAAATTGTTGCTCAGACAATGCAACACCCTACCTGCTGAGCCCACCACCCACTTCTATATTCAGCAGAAGCTTTGTGCATGCCTGCACTCCCTCTGCTTTTGTGTCCCTGCCTATGTTCATTCCCCAACAGCAAGGGAAATTCCAAATACATGCAACTGTCCACATGCATCCGTCAGTGTTTTTCCCCCTTGCTGGTTTCAGATTATAAATGCTCTGCTTCTGTAACGTAAGGTACTATGTGTGCTGGTAGTATAGTTTTCAGTATATGTTGTAAGAGATGTAAGGACTACTTAAACCAAGCTATTTTCCCTTAAAAATTGGGCTGATGACAACTGTCTTCAGGACAGCTTAAGGCAAGAGTGACAACTCTTCCCTGGAGAGGGTGGACTTACATTTTGAAGACGCTCTGGGACCTGCATGCTATTGGTGGGTGAGGTAAGAAAGGTGAGTACAAAATACAAAGACTGCAGCATATTGTAGTTTGTTTTTTTACTGCCAATTATAAAGCCTTAGGGCAGATATTTCAACCTTTCAGAATGGGAAATAACCAGCACACAAAATAGCAAATCATCAAATGATCACTGGTTCTGGGAAAAGTTGGGAGCCACCTGGGGAACTTCTGTCTGCTGGACATGAAATCACAGTGGATCACATTTGGCCGGTTGGTTCTGAATTCTACACCACTGTTTCCAGCAATTTGTGTGAATGTCGCATAGCAGAAGCCACTGGAGGAAAACTTAAAACAATTGATTTTAACTAAAGTTATCTAAACAGAAGACTTGACCAGCAAACAAAAATCATTCATAAAATCATTTTATTTTGTATCAGTTATCTTTTACATTCAATCCTCTTTTCATTTTGACTTCCTGTGTATTTTTTCCATAGTTTTTCCATCATACTCCTGTGTACTGTGGGCTAGGTCTTAAACTCAAGCTGAATTAACAAGCCTGCATCTCTTAATATCTAATTTACGACAGAAGATGAGGGCTCAAAGATGGAATGTTGTCCTACTCCTCAAAAAATGTTTCTGCACACAGAAGGCTAGCATTGCTAAGAAAAGGTTAAGTAGCTAGGCCGAGTCTGGTCTCCTGGACATGTTACCTATGTTTGTTAATTTGAAGAAACATTAACATACAGGTGCTTCCAAATACAGTCTTAAGGACTACCATCTTAAAACCATCTGCCAGTTGTAAAAACCAGAACCCACAGTTAAGCAACACCAAAGCAAATAGTTTTATGCTGTTAACTCAGAATTTCTGATCAAAAAACTCAGTTTGTCATTCAGAACTTTGCACTAAAAAGCTCCATACAATGGCTTTCAATGTAATGCTAGACTTCAGACCAGAGAAAATTGTCATTCAAGTGCTGAACAATTAAGAACTTTTGTTTTAAAGGCAAGAGTTCACCTCCTTTCTTGCAGCAACCAAAAAGCAACCTACTATTTTGTTGTACTCCTTAATAAAGGATAGAGCCTGAGTTAGCCTTTTTAAATTTCAAGAACTAAAATTATTTCCTGTCCTGATATTCCTAGCATGCTCTGAGCCATTTTGATATTATTCACTGCTGTCTATATACATCATGCAGAGCCAGTTTCAAAACATACAAGTTTGGAGGCACAATGTAAAACAATTAGGAAAGGCTTTATGGATTTTTTGGAGCCATTTAGAATTCCTCCGATCTGTTTTTCTTGGAAAACCAAGGTGCATAAAACAGTTCAGAGTGATTTGTCTAAAATGCACATTGTAAGAGAAAAGTATTAAGATGCAAATACTTGTAAGCCCATACTTCTTTCACTAAGGAAAATGACTAAATTGAAGGGAAAACAGTCCGTGCAAAAGGACTTGCTTCGGGGCTAAGCATTTATGCATTTCTTGATATAGGTTACATTAGGTCAACTTTGTTTGAAATGCCTGGGTTCAGTGCATAGAGCAATGCTGTTAAGGCCAAATGACATACTGCACTGACCCCAGATGCCACACTGCAGCCGTCCATTTGGGTCCTCCATCTATAATGGCTGGTAGAATTCCTTGTATAAGGAATTCCCAGTGTCATGACTGGCTTGCATTTTCTTCTTGTTGGCAGCCAATGCAGTGGCAGTAAAATACAGACCATGAAGTCATAATACAAGGCAATTCTACAAGATGTTACAGAGAAGCTAGGGAGCTAAATGCACAGCAACCTCTACGGGAGGCACATGTACATTTAGCATGTTTGAATGAATTGCATTTATACATTTCTCAAGATGTTCCTAAGGTAGAACAAGTCAACACAGATGCACTCTAGCATTGTTAATTTATTTAAAGTGAAGAACTGACTCTTCATTTTCAAAATTTACCAGCATGGTAAAATTGAGAAATAATACCCACATCACCTTTATTTGGAAGCCATTGTTACGAATGGAACTTGCTTCTGAAGAAACATGTAAAGAACTGTAAGCTAAACATAAGCTTTCTTGCTACCTCTTGCATAGCTTTATCTTCTTCTCTGTGAACACCTCTACACCCAGATGGTAGGGGCCATGTGCACTTTGGCTTCTTGGCAGCAACACCACAGGCCTCAGGCTCAGTGAGCACAAGGACAACAACATCAATATATACTGTCCCCTACAGCTTAATGAAAGGCAATGAAGGGCCCGCCCAGCCCTGCTTCCTCCCTATATAGATGATCACAGTAATGTACCTTCTCTACAGTGACAGCATCTTTAAGAACTTCTGCAAATTAAGCTGCCAGTTGCTGGTTTTACACTTTATAAAGTACAGCAACACTCCAGCCCCTGTCACACTATGGCAAACAAAAGGACATTCCCTCCTTAGAGGTAAAACCAAAGTAGAAAAAAAATGAACTCAAAGGCGCAAGGCTAGGGTGGCTGTCATCTCAGGCACTACCCCCTGATTCACAAGAGCTGACTCTTCTTTCCCTGTTTGTTACTATTACTGAATGCAGACAGCAAGTACTTGATTTTAACCAAGTTTTCTGTGTGCTTTTTAGATACCTTCACATTTTGCTCCTTTCACTGGCAAAGACTCAAATTACTGAAAATTGCTTGCTGCCTCCTTAATGCTTTAGAACTAATGAAAAGGGTTCTTGACTACATACTCACCATTTGAAACACATTTTCCACAGGCACTGAAACCTTGTGGCTTTGAACATTTAGGCCATTAACAGCAATCCTACCAAGAGGGGCAGAAAGAATCTACAGCTGTCTTTCTTTAGTCTCCTCACTGGACTTTCTTTCTCATTTACCCTCCTCCCATTGGAGCCAATAGTTCCACTGAGAGGGAAATCAACTATTCCAGCTGCAGGGACAGTTGGCAAAATTTGGCTGCATAGTTTCCGGGGAACAGGGGTGGGGAGTTGGATCTTGTGGATCCAAGCCTTCCACAGCACTTCCCCCTTTCTATCCTCTCAAAGGCTAAAGAGGCAAGGGCTGCAGGGATTTCCACACTGGAACGGGTGGAACACCTTGCCAAGGACGGATCACCTGCAGAGATAGAGATGTGCTCTATCCTATGGCCATGGGATGCCCTTCCAGGACCACACGCTGGATCCTTTGAAAATCAGTGAAAGAGGAAATAACGGAAATTCACTTATCAGAAGCTTATTCTACTCTTCAAGTCTCAGGTTCGCTCCGGTATCTTTGATAAAAGTATATTCTATGTGTTCAGAAAGGAATCAAAGTACTAATGCTTGATTTCCTATGAGTTTTTCATAAACCAAGAAAGACTCACGATTTCCATTGAACTATGAAAAAGCACAGAGGCCGTTAAATAATAATCAGTAGTTCAGCAACTACCAAGCAGTGTACAACAATCAGAACGCACACACATAAGCTATTCAGAAAGAAGGCCAGGGTGGTGGCTTTGTGCTTCGGGGCACACGAGATCTGTGTCTGCACTGAACAGAACCTTCATGTTGCTTGATCCTCACAGAAACTGAGCAGAAGGCAGGTTCTATGAAGGTGGATACTGTAGTGGAGCATTGGATCCAGAAGGAAGATATGCAGAGTTTGGAAAGGACAATGTAAGACCAGGACAGGCAAAATTAGGCATCAAGAGATCAATCAACAAATTCCTTGGCATTACAACATAAAAAGGTTTGACTACAAGTTGTATCCAAAATGGGTATCACTATGGCAGAGTTATGATCACCTTTAATGCTTCTAACACATTGGTATCTTCCATGATACACAGTCTTAAAGTCTCAGAGCCAAAGCCTTGTTTTAGTTGATTGCAGCACATCAAATTAAAATGTTTAATAAGGGCCACTCTTGTGTTATTTAAAGCCTCTGGAGTATATTACTTGTGTTCAGAATCCCTGCAACAAAGCCCCTTTATTGCAAAATGCCCAGGAGGGATACTTTAAAGCTGCTTCCTTAAAGACAGTTTTCATGGGAAGAAGCAATAGGTGAACTGGCCATTCAAGTGGAGAAACAGGTGATATTTTGCATTAAAAACAGAGGCCATCCCCCACTCCTCCCTGGCCAGGATGTACAGGAGCATAATCTTTTTATGTCAGTTAGGCTGCCATAGAAACAGACTTGTGGCAGTAAGTGTAATACTATCTCTGCCAATTTGCCCAAACTCCCTATGAACAAAAGGTGCAGCCAACAATGTAGGGACGACAATGAGCTTCTGTGTTACTTCTAGGTTAAAAGATAAACTGGTCATAGGTGGAAACCCACGCTGAAGGAAAGGTCCAGTTGGGAAATCTGTTGATTAAGGCATGCAACTGAGGTGATGTCTGATCTTCCCCAAAGAAATAATGGGTGACTATAGCAAGGGTGACCATCCCTTTAGCAGGCTCATCCAAAGCCTGGAAAACAGAAAGACAGAAGTAGATGAACCAAATATATGTTACTCTCACAATCCTACTCAACATTTCTAGGCACAATCAATAGCATTTCCAACTCAGTTATGAATTACATAGCAATCACATCGGATTCAGAAGTCTTGAGGGCTACAAACACCACAGAGGCCTGCAGTGAGAAAGCAGCATGACAAGAATAAGACAAGAGGAAACCAAGTTGCACAGTGCCAAGCACACCAATCAGAGCTAAAGGACAAATCCAAGCAGTAAGGAGAAAGAACAAATATGGATGAAGAAATTGGAGTTTGCAACTGCAATCTTTCATACACTTATGAAGGGTGGGTAAGTAAAACAAATAATGACATAAACGATTTTAAGAGAGCTGGGATATGGGTGTAATTGTTATACTGACAAGCTAAGAAGAAATTCAGTCCTTCTTACTATATGCAAAAGACAGATTTTTTTCCTGTTTCAGTTTTAAGGCAACATATCTCCAGTGAAGCTTCTACAAGGCAGTAATGCCCCTGGTTTGTCTTTTTCCTTTCTCCACTTTATTTGGTTTATACCATAATGGAGCAGGAAAGGACTCAAAGAAGTGAAACTTTCACTAGGCCCTGTACAGTGTAAATGAAAATGCAGAAAATGTACATTACAGAGGGAGGGAAAGTTACAAATTTGGTCAATAGCTCAGGCAGGCAGTCTGAGCTGGTTGATGCTTCTGGTAACCAGATGATCAAGAATATTTCTTTTGAAAGAGTGTGCTGTTTAGCGGAAACTTAATGGCTGCTGAACTAGGAAATCCTAAAATCAACATCAAGGAACATAAACAGTACAATTTAAGTCACTAGTTAAGTTGGCACCAGTACTTTCCCCAACTATTTTTTACATGTAACTTTAAGATACTGAAGGAATGAGTCCCCTTGATGCTACTAGAAGAGGACTGGATACAGAAGAGGACTGTATTTTGTATTTTACTTGATGTTGTAAGCCGCCCCAAGGTCTCGGCAAGGGGCGGCATAGAAATGTTTTAATAAATAAATAAAAAAATAAAAAATAAAAATACAGAGCAGAGCTATGGTAAAAAGCAGCCAATATGGCAGTCTAGACTGCTGGGAATAATTAGATGCCTATTTTGGTTCTGGCCTTATGAGACAATTATGAACAGTAGGCTTGCAATCACACACATATTTTTGGATTGGCTGGAGTTTCCAAGGACACAAAATGACATACAACAGATGTGCATTTTTGCTTCTTGTTGCTAGCTAAAAAGCAAATTTAAGTTAAAGAAATCAAGATGTAATGGAAGAATGTGAAAGCATGCCATTTTCTTGCTGTTTGATAGCTATGGGCACAAACCTAAACATGGAGATTTTTATAAGTGAATATAATTCATTATCAAGCCTACTTCATGGCAATGACAGTGGCAAAGAGGCATTTCTTTTCCACCAGCATCACATCTTTTCAGTGCCACACAGCAATGCTTTCGTAAGTGGTTTGTGCCCTTTTACAATCTGGGCCAGAGAAAGAAATTGTGGACCCTTGGTAGCGTGCCATGAATTTGCACAGCACTTTGAAGATAAAGTCACTTGGATTTGTCATGAATTGGATGCCACCATTCAGGTAGTTCCTTTAACAGAGGGATCCAGATCACCATATGGCCCAATTTTGTGGGATGAGCTTCAGTTACTGAGGCCTGAGGATGTGGACAAGGTGCTTGGTCAAGTTCAGCCTACCACCTGTATTCTTGGCCCTTGTCCGTCGTGGCTTATCATTAGAACTAAAAGGGGGGTTAACACATGGGTCCAGGATGCTGTGTATGCCTCCTTGAAAGAGGGTGTGGTGTCAGTCTCTTTAAAAGAGGCTGTGATCAAGCCACTCCTAAAAAATACAACCTGGACCCAGTGGATGTGAATAACTATAGGCCTGATGCCAACATTCCCTTCCTGGGCAAGGTGTTGAACAGGTGGTGACTGAGCAGATCAGTATGAAACTGATCATCTAGATCCATTTCAGTTGGGCTGCAGGCCTGGTTCTGGTCACCCTGTGAGGTGACCTTTTCTGGGAGAGAAATGGGGAGTGTGACCCTGTTGATTCTCCAGGACCTCTCAGTGGTTTTTGATACCATCAACCATGGTATCCTTTTGGACAGGCTGGCTGATTTAGGACCAGGAGGTACTGCATTGCAGTGGTTCCCCTCCTACCTGACCAACCAATTCCAGAAGGCGGTGCTGTGGGATTACTGCTCTGCCCCATGGCAATTATGCTATGAAGTACTGCAGGGCTCTAATTCTATTCCCCATGCTCTTCAACATCTACATGAAACCGCTGGGGGAAGTTATCTGGAGTTATGGGCCAAGGTACCATCAATATACAGATCACCCTCAGCTCTACCTCTCTTTTCCATCCAACGCAGGTGAATCATTCTGAATCAGTGTCTTGCCTTGGTAATGGCCTTGATGAGGGCCAATAAACTGAGACTCAATCCAGACAAGACGGAGGTGAGGATCGTCTGTCCAGTTGGGAGATTTTCAACCTGTCCTGCAAGCGGTTGCAGTCCCCCTAATGGACAAGCTTGTGTGCTCCTGGACCCAAAACTGTCACTTTAGGGCACCTTTTATCAGCTTAAGCTAATTTACCAACTATGACCCTACGTGGACAGAGAGCGCCTCGCTACAGTAATCAATGCTCTGGTAACTGCTTGTTTGAACCACTGTAATGCACTCTACCTGGGGCTGCCTTTGAAAGCAGTCCAGAAACCTCAATTGATACAAAACAGGGAAGTGCAACGGTTAATGGGGAATGGTCTATGACATCATATTACGCCAGTCCTCTTTCACTGGTTGCAAGTTGAAGTCCGGGACCAATCCAAAGTGCTTGTACTAGCATTTAAACCCCTAAATGGCTTGGGGCCAGGTTATCTGAAGGAGCACCCCGTCCTGTATCTACCTACCTAGGCCCTTTGATCATCCAGTGGGGTCCTTTTCAGGAAGCCCCCTCCTAAGGAAGTCAGGGGAGTGACAACCAGGAGGGGGGTCTTTTTGGTGTGGCCCCCCGTCTTTGGAACAAGCTCTCCAGCAAGGCAACGTCAGGCACCTACTCTTCTTTTCAACACTAGGTGAAAATCTTTTTATTCTCCAGGAATTTTAATAGTTAACTTTTTGGTCTCAGTGTTGAGACCAGTCTCAGTCTCAGTCTCAGTTTTTATGAGATACTGCCGCTGTGCCTGTGTGCCAACTTGACTGGTTGTTCTGGCATGTTGTTATTGTTTTTATTGTCCTACAGCATTGATTTTTTAGTGTGATAGGGTTCTTTCTGTTTTTTTTTTTTGTTTATATGTTCCATTTGGCTATCGGATGGTATAAAAATGAAATATAGTAATAATAATGATCATCATCATCTCAAATGAGAAAATAGTGTAATGAAATAAGAGATGTAACTGTAAGAAAGAAGTGTTCATGTTTATGATAATGCCTCACCTTCAGCTCTATCCATAAGTGCCATGGCACAGCCTGTAGCCCATGTGAATAAAAAACAAAGTAATCCCCATCTACAGAATTAGCAACAGGTGTCCCATCACCAACAGACCATCTGAACAGCGTTGATCCTTGATGTGGCCGAAGGTACAGTGACATATGACTTGGACCTAAAGCACCAAACAGACAAAGATTGGTAGATGAATGTACGGGGGTTCTTCAAAAAGTTTCCACACTTTTTAAAACTCTATTTATTAAGAATTTCAAAAACAAATTATATCACTTTCCTACATAGTCACCTTCCTTTGAGATGCATTTTTCCCAACGTCATACCAAATTTTTAATGCCATCAGCAAAAAATATATACATTTTTAAAATATAAAAGTGCAGAAACTTTTTGAAGGCCCCTCATAGAATAAAAAAGAAGAGTGCCATGAATGCTCAAGTACCATGATTATTTTTCTTAGCTTGATGCAAAGTTCTGCAAATATTTGCTGAAGAGTGTGCTGCTGCAAGGACTTACCCCCAGTAAGTAAAAGAAAGTATAGGATTGCAGCCTAACAATTCAAAATGGAACTATGTAAGTGTCCTCACTAGAAACAAGCTGGTTCACTTATCCCAAGTTCAGCTAGAATGTCTAGCTGTGCACAGAGATAAGACTGGTCACCTGAAGAGAGGTGGGGAACTCAGGCCTTGTAGGGGTTCCCTAGCCAATCCACCAACTTTGTAGTCAAGCGCCTGTCTCTAATTCCTGGCTGCAAAAAACTCTCATCTCTTATCAGGAGCTGATGCTGCACCTTGAGGAAGGATGCATTTGCTACTGGGCAGCTGGAAAAAGCTCCCATGCTCAATCAGCTGTAGGAGAAAGAGGGTGGTCCCTGTGTCAGATACAAATCTATTTACTTCTGTGGATTCAGTCCTGCTACACTGACATGCCAAAGTTGTCTTGCTTACTTCTGAGTAAGCTTAAAACCAGAAATGATTTCATTTTGGCCCTAACCACATCAGGATTTCCCAGACTGGAATTTGGCTCTCAGGCTGAAATATGTTCCTTGTTGCTACACTAGAGAATTCTCAGCAGCTGCCTCAAAACTGTAACTTCTAGGTTTCCTAGTCAACAGCTGCTACATCCAAAAGCAGTACATTTAAATTTACAGAACAGACATGAACTAAGCTTCTGGCTGGAATCTGAAGAGTAAGAGTGTTCCAAAACAGAAAAACACCATATTGTCCAAGTCCTTTCAAAAGTGCACTGGGGTAAATGAGTAGCGTATATGAGCCTGCAGATTACTTAATGTTGTGTGTGGTGCCTGCCCTTTTCTAGGCCATATTCTCACCTCCTTTGGGAGATTTTATTTTCCTTTTAGTCTTTTAATGGCATAATCTTATGCACATTTGGGCAGAATAGAAGTCCATGCTAGCTGGGGCATGTTGGGATTTGAAGGACTTGCTTTTGTCTAAATGTGCACAGGATTGTGCCCCAGGTTACTTGAAGGCCACTGAGCAAGTTAACAGCCTAGATATAGAAATACATTCCCAAAGGGTAGCCTGTTTGTTAGTTATTTGCTGCAATGGCAAGAACACCTTGCGGCACTTCAAAGAGTAATACATTTATTGCAGCATAACTTTTCAGGGGCAAGGATACATTTTAGATAGATAGTGTCACCGAAGTGCTGTGACTGTGATGTGCTTCTGACATACTGTGCCTGTGACTGGGAAGCTGGACAGGGTAGCTCCACATCGGGTGATACACCAAGCCCTCAGCACTGTGAGAGCACTGTTGCCACTTGCAAAACCTAGCATACCTCCTACTGAAGTCATGCTCAACTCACCTGTTATTTCAAAGGTTAAATTTGTTGAATCCCAGGGTGTTTGCTCTTTGGAGAGAAGCTGAAAGTGGACAGGTTTTTTAGGAGTAACTCCGGGAGCAGGAAGATACCAGTTCTTTCTGTAGAAAAAGGGTTGTGTATTCTTTAAGATCTATGTAATTTTTCAAAATATTACTTCAAATGACTGCTGAGAATCAATTCAATAAAACTAGAAGGCTTTTGTTTTGTACAATACGAATGGGCATATCACAATGTGAAACACTTATGAGTTTGAAAATGGAAGTTATGCAGTTAAGAGGCAGCCACAAGCAGTCAAATGACTACCCATCTCTATCTTAATATAAAAAACAAAAATAGAATAAAATCTTTAAGAACAGATATAAATCAGAAAAATCAAAGGCCCAGATGTCAGATCTCCCTAGGTCTATGTCATATGCAAGAATGATATCAAAATCCAAAGCTTTGCTCAAAGCTTATAAACCCAAATATTTTTTCTAACAGGAACAACAGAATAAAGTCTTTGCTTTCATAGCCAGGCATACTGCAAATGTATTTTTAATTAAGTTTTTAAGAAGAAAATGGTAAGATAATAGCATTTTAACTTTAGCATGCAATCCTCAGAGAGTCAGTGTGGTGTAGCAGTTAAGAGTGTGGGAATGGGACTCAGACCTGGGTTCTAGTCTCCATTCAGTCATTCATTCATCCATCTATTTTTACTTTTTTTTTTTTTTGACAGTCACATTAACCACATGGCTCTCTGGACAGTTTACCACAATTAAAAGCCATCATATAGAGCATAGAAAAACCAACAAATTAACAAATTCAATCATAAAACATCAATTCCAATAAAAATCCATTCCAACAGAAGCAGCATCAACTGTGTTGACTTCATACATTAAGACATTGGACAGCCTCTTATAAATAATGAAGATACAGTGGTACCTCAGCTCACAAAACCCTCAGTTCACGACCAAATGCAGTGGCAAACAGAAATTTCAGAAAAATTTTTCCTTAGGTCGCAAACTCCTCATCGGGTAATGATCGCACTCAGGGAGAGGGGAATGGCTGTGATTGTGCTCCGGAGGGAGATAGCCGTGATCATGCTCGGGGAGAGGGGTGGGGAGATGGCCACGATTGTGGTCGCACTAGTGCAGGAAAGATGGGTGTGATCACAGTTGTGCTTGGGGGGGGGGGGAGAGATGGCCGTGATCATGCTCGGTGGGAGGGAGATGGCCATGATCGTGGCCGTCTTCCCTGCCCAAGCGCAATCGCGCCCGTCTATGGCTGCAATCATGATGGCACTCATGCAGGGAAGACAGGCGCGATCACAGACACGTTTGGGGGGGGGGGGCGGTGGCCGCAAACATGGTCGGGGGGGGGGGGATGGCCGCAATCTTGTTGCTCTTTGTCACTTTGTTCCAAATTTTTGATTTAAAAAAATGGTTACAGAAGAGATTAACCTTATTTACATTGAACCTTACGGGGAAATTTGACTTGGCTCATGACCAATTTGGATCACGACCAGAGTCGTAGAATGGATTAAGTTCATGAGCCAAGGTACCACTGTATTAAAATGCATCAATTAAGATATTAACCTAAAATTAAAATAAAATTTGAATTAAAACTATCAGCAATTAAAATACTCCAAAAATAAAAAAGTCTTTAAAAAATAAAAAAATGTGTACAAAGAAGGTGCCTGGAGCACATCTCTGGGGAGCCGATTCCACAGATGGGGTGTCACAACTGAAAAGGCCCTATGCCCTATAGCCACCTTCCCAGCATCCTTTAAAGATGGCTCCCTAAGCAGGACCTCCAATGAAGATCTTAGGGTCTGCGTAGGCTTATATGTATGGAGACATTCCTTTAGATATTCAGGTCCTAAACCATTTAGGGCTTTATATGTTACAACAAGCACCTTGAAGTGGGCCCAGACTTCAAATGGCAGCTAATGCAACTGATAGAGGACATATATTTACTGCTACAGGTCCTTGTTAGCAATCTGGTCAATCTATTTAGCAATGACTGAAGCTTTCAGACTGTTTTCAAGGGCAGCCCCATGTAAAATGCATTACAGTGGTCCAACTGAGAGGTTACTAGTGTGTGGATTATTGTTGCTAGGTTCTGCCAGTCCAAATAAGGTTGAAGTTGATGAATTAACTGGACCTGGTAAAAGGCACTCCTGGTCTGGCCACAGAGACAGATCAGGGTCCAGAATACTCCCAAGCTTCAGACCTTGAGTGACTTTGGGCCAGTCGCAGCCCAACCTACCTCACAGGGCTCCTGTTGTGAGGATAAGATTGAGAAGAGGGGGAGAATTATGCAAGCTTCCTTGAGTTCCTTGAAAGGGGGAAAAAAGTAGGTATGCTTAGACAGGGGAAAAAGCCCTACATCTACCTGCATTCCTCAGCCATGCCCTTATCTGTCCTTTGTTGACCCCTATCAGTCAATCAATGTTTTACTCATAGCTTATAATTAAACTCTTGATTGACTGGTGAGCTGACAACAACCACAAGCTCCTAGATGGGGGCCTTTGTTGATGGTGCACTGCCATATAACTGAATTCCTATTCTAAATGTGAGGAAGAATACATGTGAGGAAAGACACACATTGCTATTGTATGAAACCTTCTGAACACAGTGGTACTTATTTCCAAGTAAATATGCACAGGATGGCATCACTGGAGAGGAATTCTGCTTCTGACCTTTACTCAAACAATCTGTTTGCCTTTCTGAGTGAAACTGATTTGGTATTTCTTCTGTGAAGAACTAGCGCAACTGATGTTCACAGTGGACATTCATGCCATACATTTTTAAGCTTAAAAACTCTGCAGTGTGGATGCACTGTCCTCTGCCTGAGCCTGTGGAGAGTCCCTGCCAGGCTGAGTAGGCAGCACTAAACTCACTGGGCAGAAAGTGCTGCTACAAACTGGTTTCCTATGCTTTTAAAAAGTAAAAGCAAAACGGCCTTTGAGAAGTTACCTTCTCAAAGTTTTCCTTCAAGTGTGCTTTTTCCAGGCTCCAGGAGTATCACACTTATCCCTCTAATGCCCAACTTTTGTGGTCCCATGCCTACCAAACTGGTAGCCAAATGGGGTCCTCCAAAAATAAGGTAGTGGTTTCTTTAGGGCATTCCCCAGTTCTGTGATGTACATCGGCTGACAAATTAAACAATAGTGAGCAACACCCAGCTGCATCTCTATCAGTGACACAGGGCACTTCATGGCAGAAAAGGAAATATCCATAAGCTCAGAGAGGGCTTGTGTTCAACATCTTCCATGACTTACTGAATGCTGAGGATCTGCTTCATACCCTGTACTTTTATTATCCTGGAGATAAACACTGAGGTTGAGGCCATAACACAGCACTAGGAGGTCCCTGCCCGGCACAGCACAGGAGGCTTTCAGGAGGAGGAAAGGAAAGAAGGCCCCCTCTCTCCTTCTCTAGTCTCAGCTTCTTGAGCTCTTTCATCCTACTCCCATGCATGGATGCAGCACTAAAGCATCAAGATTTGGGGCTTAAACTGAGCCTTTTAGCACTGTAAAGCAAGTGAAGGTTTCAAGAAGATGGCAAAGTCTCTCCTTTCTGCTCCCCTCAAGTTTTTTCTCTACCTACCTCTGAGCCCCATGTTGCACTAGAAGGCTTTTGCTCCAGGCTGGTTCAAGCCCTGAAGAGAAGCACTCCTCTCTCGGCAGCACTTCATTACACTAAAATGCATTTCACTTTAACTAGTTAACCCCTACCTGTGAAAGTGTTCAATGATCTTTTTAAAACATTATCATTTGACTGCTAACAACTACTAGAAATGCAATGGTTCAAGGAGGACATGTTACTACCAACCTGAATAAATAATCCACAGGAAGGATCCAAGGAAAGCCACAGAGAGGCGATTCTTCCTCGCACTTTGTTCTAATGGAATCATTGAGTTCAGGTATGTGAGGAGTAACATGAGACATTCCACCATAGTCTAGCCCATTAATCCATATTCCTGAATCACTTTTTTCCAAGTGACCATCCAGGCCATGAAATCTTCTGTTCATGTGCTGAAAAAGTTGCAAAAATTATGAGAAAATAGACAGAATTTGTCTCCTGATATCTATTCAGGTTTTGTGGGTTATTCAATATCTGTTCTGATCTGTATGATGTTTCTATCCCAAGTTCACAGGAAGGAAACAACTCTATAGATTATTAAGTGACCAGAAATCCACCAGAAACAGAGCCATGAAGATCTCAGACTATTTGCCTTCTGCTAAGTTCAAAGTGAAGAGATGTTGTAAATCTGTGCTCAAGCAAAGGTTTCACTTGCCATATTGTTCTGTTCACTTCCTCATTCCTCCCACTTCAGCTGAATTGGATTGGTAAGAGGTGCAGGTCTACAGGTCATGGAATAGAAGATTCAAAGGACTGAAAAGTAAGCATGGCTGGGATTGAGGGCTGGTGATAAGACATAAAGGATGATCTCCAAGAACTGGATTTTTATTCAACTAATCAGCCTCTCTTTAAAGCTTCTGCTATAAAGAGTGGGCTAAAGCAAAATATTATTTATTATTTATACAGACTCTCCCCTGCAACATCAAAGGCTTGTCTTACCTGAAGAAAGATCCGTTTAGGTCTTGGGTTTGCTGAATCTGAACTATAAGGGAAGAATATTCCACTGCAAACAAGAATGAATGTGACTGCAAACACTGTTGTTAAAGTTATTATTGTCTTCTTTGTGCTTCTGACAAAATATATGAACATAAGCTAAAGACAGAAAACAAAGAGCAAGAATAAAATATCTCTTTTATAAAAATACATGTAGAAAACATAAATAAATAAAATTAAATTGGGGAAAACAGCTTACAACCATATGCCAAGGATATGTTCCTCAACACTGCCCTCTGCAGCAAGTGAGGTTGAGACAGAATGATTTGCTTAAGACCACCTAGAAAGTCTCAGTTAAGTAAAATCTCAATCTGGATCCTTCAAATCTGTCCTTTACTAAGGTTTGTAGGGAGGGAGGGTTAATAACACTTGCTGCGAAGCATAGAGGAGAACATGCTAAAAATTCCAGATTTTGATGACATTAAATAAAAAAGTTTCTAGTCCATAAAGCTGTGAAGATGTCTCATGAAAGTTCAGAAGTCGGGGGGGGGGGGGGGGGGGAGGTCTTTGGAGAATTTGCAGTGATTCAGAGGTGGCATTTCAGTACCTGGCTGGTCTCTTTCCTCCTATCCACCAGAAGGAATGTGAACTATACCAAATAAGTAATTAACTGTGCAATTCTGCATATGTTTCCTAAGAAGTAAGACCTTGAAAATTGCATAGGATTCACAACCAGATAAATGCAGCTGAAGCATTTCTCACAAGTTGCATTTTATTATGAAAAATGTTCTTTGTTGACCTTGGTGCAAAATTCTGATTGCATCCCAGCACCCATAGTCCAATGCAGCGTGAAGAGCATGGCTCTGCTGATGACAGCTGAACAGATCAAGGTTCAAGAAGGTGGGTGGCTTCATATACTTTTTATGGATTAGTGAAAGATTTGCTCTGATCTGAAAGGTGTTATCATGTCCAGTTTACAAAAGGGAAGGCTCTAAAGTGTGAAATGGCCAAAAATCAGTAACAGAGACTGTGGCAACAAATGGTGCTACTGAAGTTCAACTGCCCTGCTTCCTTTACACAATTCTATGGATAATTCAGACAACGACAATGACTATTATTGTTGTTGTTGTTATTATTGTTATTAACATTTATACCCCTCCTTTCTTCCTCCTGCAAGAAACCCAAGGTGGCTTACATGATCCTCCTGATCTCCATTTTATCCACACAATAGATGGGTTATCCAATTGCAGTCCTCTTATATTTTTCCACTCTTTCTTCCATCCTTTTCTTTACCATATAAAATACATCAAGTAAAAAAATGCCAGAATAGCAAATAAATCTTTTTGAAGATGTGGATAGAAAAATGCACAACAGAGACATGGTTGGAGGGGAGGTCTCTCCTTTCTCAATTGCTTAGTTTTTATAACTGATTACAGATTCATTTCATGTCCTCATGGGATGTCTTCCAAAGACCTCTCCTGGCACAGCTCTCCTGGAATGGGCCAGTTGTCCTAACCTTTATACTCCCACTACAATTAGCCACTTAATGAGGGAAATATACTATGCTGCATTTTTTCTTTCCTTTTTATTATTTTGTTTATTTATTATATTTCTACCTTGCCCATCAGCTCCCTTTGTTATTTTTGTTGCTGTTATTGTACAGTTCTAACATATTATTGTAGGGAATTAAATGGGGCTTCTTAATGTTCAAAGTGAAGTGGAAAATATTTATTTCAGTGTGAGAGAAGAAGCAGGAAAAAATCAAGCTCACCCTGCAAAACCAGATTGGGTTGTCTGATAGGATCCAGTTCAGGCATTCTTGGGGGCAATCCATGGGAATCAATTTGTAACCATGTTTACACAAAAGTAAATTTCCTGCAACCCTCTAGCCCTGTGCTGCTGGCACTATTTTTAAATTTGTTTTAAAAAGTAAGAAGAGTGGATTTGTGCTATGATGAAGTGACATGTGCATGCATGCCATGTACAAGAGACAGCAAAAGATGGAAGTTGTCTTTTGCCTGGAGCTGATGATTGCTAAAAGATGTTTCAACATGTAGACAATGCCTTCAAAACATCAGGAGAAGAGAGAAACCAAAGCTGCTCAAAAATTACTGTGCTGGAAAGTGTCCTTTGTCTTATTTTTTAAAATTCTTTTATGTCTCTTTTCACTACTGTGTACCTGCTCGGTCCCTTAATTTCAAAGAGCAGTACCTCTGACTGTAAGTTGTTGTTTAAAACCATGTAGACCAGAAAGACAGCTGAGATATGCTATTTGGATTGAGGAACGATGGCAGTAATACACTGCCTCCTGCAGAACTCCATTTCAGTCGACTGAGAATCAAGCATCAAGAAAAATGGGCACCCTGCCTAGCTTCTAAGGTTGCTCCAGAAGTGTGATCAGACTAACAATTCAACCACAGATGTTACTTAGATCTAAAGGTTCTTCCAAATATGAGAAGAAAGGGTGTGTAGCAATCCAGAGGGGTAGAGAAAGAAAAGAAGGAAACACTGTTCTTGTCCACTGTGTCTTGTCCACTGTGTGAATGGAACTTCGAAAGATGCATACATCAAAAAGCTCTCAACTCCCATAGGTGTTAATGTTCTATTGCAATTTCACCTTTAGCCAATAGCGGAAAACCAAACTAACAGCCTTCTATTTGGAAGCACCCATAATCTCATCTATGGAGATTCTTCTACACCAGACCAAAATTCTGCATGGGAATAAAGGTGTCATTTTCTGACACCAGAAAACTGGCTGAAAATATCATCATCATTATCATCAGCTGCATGATGGTATTTGTTAAACTTACATCCAAGGCTTATTCAATCAGTTTAATGTGTAACCAACAGAGTGTTGTGTTTTGTTTTTAAAAGCATCCTTACCAAGTAGGAAGACATAAGTATAGATGTTACAACAGTAAAAGCAGCCACTATTAAATCAGGTGGAATTTCTGAACCACTGCGTCCCATGATAGGTATAAACATTTCAAATATAAGCCAGTTGAGGTATAATAAATAGAGCTGTGGAATAAACATTCCCAGGAGGTAAATCATAACAAATTTCATTGTGGCACCTATGAGAGAGGGGGAGGGAGGGAGAGAGAGGAAGAGAGAGCGAAATAAGCAGTCCATAGTAAAAAAAAAAATCCATAGCTTTACTTTATCTACTACAAACACGGATACTATATGACAGAGTCACAAAGCAAGGTACTAAACATAAGCAAGGATCTACCTACATATTCTTCTTGAATCATCATAGCTCCAAAAAAAAACCAAACAACCCCCCACCAAAAAAAAAAAGCAAGTAGAACTGATATATGGCTAATGTGCACAGTCATAAAAGCATTTGCATCATCCTACTTTTAAAAAAGGCTATTTGTGGAGGCCTGGAGAATGGGACTTCCACACACAGGAGAAAGGAAGAACAGAACAAAATTGAAGACTGTGCTTTCTTCAGGTTAAGCTGGCAAATGGGTAAGCAAGCATTCCATTTGTGAAAGAAGGGCATAATGGTATTTCAGGCTTGGATAAGTTGAACAGTATACCTTGATGACTATGCCAGGTGGAAGTCTAGCAAAAAGCTCTGTAAAGAATGACCTGTCAAGCCAGCTTACTTTGAGCAGGACACATTGGCAGAAAGCAAGGGCCTTGTTAAGGCAGGAGCCTACAAGGAAATGTCTAAAAGACTCAAGAGTCTTAGCAGCAGCAAAACACTACAAACTTCAATAATCCACAAATTATTGTGGATTAATCACTTGCATCTCTGCACATGTACAGTAACCGTGCGTTCCCCTCCCATTCACATGCCAAGAGAACAGCCAGTCAGCGTGCTGGAGTAGCTAGAGCACTGTGATGGGACTCAGGAGAACCAGAGCCAAGTCTCCACTCAACCATGAAGCTCACTGGGTGACTATGGAGTAAGGCACGGACTCTCAGCCTAACCTCCCTCACAGGATTTCTAGGACAAAATGGAGAGGAGGAGGACTATGTAAGCTGCCTTGGGTTCCTTGCATGAGGACAAAAGGCAGGATATAAATGTTATAAAAATAGATAGTATATTTATAGCAGGTTTTTTGCTTAATCTAAATAATTTGGATCCATATAAGAAAGATGTTCTTTGTTTCTGTTCAAAATTAATAAACATTTTGGTTAAGGAAAGAAGTTCTCTTAATAAAATCACTAGCATTCCTGCCTAAATACTACCTAGCATTTATGCAGTGGTTTAGACTGTTCAGAGATCTTCAACATTCATTGTATCCAGCTGGATACTCGGCTAATGGAATGCCTTTCAATCTAGTGGAGGCTTCCACCAACAGAATGAGATTTATGAGATTGCCTCTCCTTCCTATCACTTTTCCAACATCCACCCAAAACTGCTGGAGGACAGTTTGGAACAGCATGGCTGGGGGATGTTGCAGGAAGAAGGTCCCCTCCTCCCTCATCTGACAGAAGTTTCTACTGGACCAAGTAGCATTCTGCCAGCCAGACACAATGCATTATCTTATTGCAATCCATACAACCCCTGAAAGTTGTTATTACTATCGTACCTTTCTCTTTCAATTCCTTATAGATCATTAATTTTGTGAGCAACGGAAATGCTACCCATATTGCACAGATAAATGCCGAAGAAACCCCTAGGGAAGTAAGTAAAACCAATGTAATTGACCAGAAAGCCACTGGAACATCAAAGAAGATCTCTCCAAGAAACTGCTCATTTGTATTCTGGAGAAAGAAGAACATAATACAAATATAAATCCCAATCCCCATACTTTGAAGGGTCAATGTAAGTAGCCTAAAAACAGAGCACAATCATATGTATATCTAAATCCCTTTGTGTTCAAAGAGGCTGGACATAATACTGTCCAGCAGACAAAGCCAGGTGGCAGTGCTTTGAAGGGTGCACTAGTTGTATGACTTCCTGACTTCCTAGACATTCCTTTAATCCATTTAAATTATTATAATGCACTCTCCACTGGGGCTACACTGCTCAAGAATGTCCAGAAACATCACCCAGTGAAAAACACAGCTTTCCAAATTTTGCCTGGCACACTCTACGAACAATATAACACTGGTACCCACTGGTTTCTATTTTTTTCCAAGTCCAATTCATGGTGTTGGTTCTATGATGATTACCCAATTCATAGGTTGTTAACATGACATCCAGACTCAGGCACTCATTTTGTAGGTTAAACAACTCAGCATTCATAGATTGCTTTATGAAAACCCAAGATTTCCATTACATGTGAAACAAGCCGGTAATTCTACGGAGATCCAAATGCTCTATTTGTTGCAGTTCATAATGCTCTTATTATTTTCTGCAACTAGGACTATTATTTACAATTAGCTTCAGACTGCAATCCTATGCACACTTCCTGGGATTAAGCCCCATGGGCTTCTAAATAGACACAAAGAGGACTGCACTGTTAATTGGTACATTCCTATTCAATACAGATAAACCAAATTGTTTGTTTAGGGTTACTCCTCCAATTCAGAATGACAGATGATGGAAGCAGACAAATTGCCCTGCCTCTGGAAGGTTCCATTACCCCCTCTACCAAGTCAGGAAGAATGCATGCTTGGAGGTTTGGGCCAAGTATAGCTAGGCTGATGGCTGCAAAGGTGTATGAAGCATATGCAAGAAAAGTGGCTCCTTGCTCCTTTCATTGGGACCCAAAAAGCACAGAAACCAATCTGTGGTTCTGTGGTTCTGTACTACACTACCAAATACAGCTATCAATTTTGCATCAGTTAACAACTGGAAGAATGGGCCATGGTCCAGTGGTGTGCCCCCTGCTCTGCATGGAGAAGGACCCAGGTTCAATACTCAGAATATTTAATTAAAAGGATAAGAGAAAGGACTTTGCCTGTGACCACAGAGAGCAACAACAGTCAAGTTTATAATGAGAAAAGAAATACGATATTGTATTCTAATTTTTTAAATCATAATTGAAGATAAAACACTTACTTTATAATAAAATGTCTTGGCTAATGTATGCACAAGAATGAGTTTAGCCCAAGTTGCAGTTCCATACAGAAAAACAGAGACATAGAAGTGGGTGTACCAAGAAAGAGTGTGTCCAATGAGAGAAATAAACACTGCTACAATAAGGACGCCAATCAAGGTGGCAAGCCAACTAAGGATTGTGAAACCAAAGGCAATAGCAAGTTCCTTCAGATAATTAATGGCTGAAACAGAAGAAAAATCACATAAAAACACAGATTAATCAATATATTCTAAAATTCTTCATCCAGACCTGCTAGGACTATAGAATTCAAAATGGCAACAGTTGGACGGTCCCCAAGCAAACATTGGACAGTCCCTTTTCAGAACTGGCAGCTTCTTATCATGCTTCGATTTTTCTATTATTTTTGTCTTTACTAGTACTGTCAGTTCTATCCTTACTCCACAAAACAAAGCTGCTAAGTTTCTTTTAGTTAGAGAGGATTTATTCTGGTGATTTATTTATTTTAAGCTGAGGCAGCATTCCCTAGCAGTCTAATTGAGAACTTTATTAAAAACTGTGAGTTCTCAAGCCTCAAAGCTAATTTTTTTTAAAAAAGAAACACAGATGGTATACCCCACATACTGTTCTATAGTATCTGGTGACAGGATGACCTACGGATTTTAGATGTGAAGGATATTAATTGAGTATGACAGCATCCCACTAGAGGAAATACAGAGATGAACACCTCTGTAAAACAAAATGCAAGCTGTCAATAATGTGCCTTTCCTTTCATAAGATGAGCACGGTTATTCTACTCACATGTTGGGAAACTGAGCATGAACTGCAACATCTCTAAATGTCTATCAGTAAAAGATACATCAAATAATTTTAAATGAGTGATGGGGAAAAATATAGTTAGGTTGCTTACCTCTAACTATTGTTCTTCACATGGTCATCTGTGCATTTACACATATGAGCTCTACATCTCAGCGGGGCCTGTTGTTCGGAAGATTTCCTAACCCTAACCATGTAAATCTATTGAGGCAAACTAATCCCCTTGGTGCAGCAATGGTTAAGCAATTTTGCAATGAAACCATGCAGTATTTCTTCAGTGGAATGAAGATGTTAATGTCCTGTAGGTCAAGAACGGGATGGAGGCAACTGTCCTCCTTTGGTACCTTAAAGTACCGTGACATCTCCATGAAACTGCTGGGAAAGATCATCTGGAGGTTTGGGCTGAGATCACATTAACATGCTGATGATGCTCAGTTCCACCTCTTGTTTACATCATATCCAGGTGAGGCAGCGTCTATCCTGAACCAGTGCCTAAGGTCAATAAAGGATTGGATGGGGGCCAAAAAACTGAGGCTCAGTCCAGACAAGATGGAAGTACTGTTGGTGGGATGGGTTGAATGGTCTGCACTCTGTCTTGGATGGGGGTGTGCTTCCCCTAAAGGACAGGGTCCATAATTTTGGGATGCTCCTGGATCAACAACTCTCACTTGAGTGTTAGGTAGACACAGTGGCCAGGAGCACCTTCCTCCAACTGTGGCTAATTTACCAAGTGGCAAACAGACAAGGCCTAGCCATAGTTATGCATGCCCTAGTAACATCCTGGTTGAATTATTGTAATGCATATTACGTGGAGCTACCTGGGAAGATGGTCTGGATACTTCAACTGGTTCAAAATAGGGCTGCGTGATTGCTGACAAGAACTAGACTGCAAACCCAAACCAAACCAATTTTATACCAACTACACTGGCTACCATTGGAAATCCAGACCCAATTTAAAGTGCATGTATTTACAAGTCCTGAATGGCTTGGGTTGGGTCCTGGGTACCTAAAGGATAATTTGCTCTCATATGTTCCTACTCATGCATTAAGATCAAACCAGGACATCCTTCTTAGAGAGCAATCCCCTAGGGAGGTGAAAGGGATGTTGGCTAGAAGAAGGGCCTTTCAGCACTTGTGCCCAACCTCTGGAATAGGCTTGTCAGAGAGGTGTGCCTGGCACTGACACTGCTAGTATTTCAGCTTCAGGCACCATTCCTGTACCAACCCAGGGGCAGTACCCCTGCCTGAAAGGGCACCTTGAATACCATCAGGAAAAGAAAAACAGAAAAAGATAAGAAAAGCAGAGTAAGAGCCAACAATTGGGAGGGAGGGGGTAATTTCCCTTCCCTTCCCTTCCCTTCCCTTCCCTTCCCTTCCCTTCCCTTCCCTTCCCCCTTCTCTCTCTCTCTCTCTCTCTCTCTCTCTCTCTCTCTCTCTCTCTTTGGGAAAAAGGATTAATCAGGGATTAATAGTGAAAAGACAAATGGTGAAAAGAGAAAAAATGAGAGGATAGCAATAGTTAGAAGGCGAACCACAAGAGATAGAACCAGGTGAAGGAGGAAAGGTCTTGAGGCACCCATAAAGGCCATCAGAAAAGAACTAGGGAAAAAGTGGAAACCTTTCTTAGATATACCAAAGGGAGGGAGGGGAAAGGCTCCCACTAGAATGAGTCTAGCTTGGAAATCTTCCCCACAAGTTGCCCTGAGCAGAGCCCATTTGTGTGATGCACAGAGACTATGAAGAACAGCTATGCTGGGAATATTAAAAAAAGATCTAAAAACTTCCCCATCAGCTCATGGTGTCATTATTTTCAGAGATTTTACATCTTGAGCCTTTCTATAAAAGTCTTATTGCATGGGTTTTAGAAATTGGGAGTAGGGAGTAAGAACTAAATAACAATATATAAACACCTTGTTGTAAATTCTAAAATAAAGTATTTCATAAACCAAAGCTGTTCAAATTTTCCAGAAAAAAACAAAATGTTCCTTGGAGAACCCTGTGGGGTTTTTACATTTTCTGTTTTTTCCCCATGTCATCTTATCTCTAGCTGAAGCACAAATAACAGTTTCTTCCTTCCCATTTTATACAGCACAAATAAAGCTCCTGAACTGGATATGGAAGATTTCTCATATCCTCAGCATATCAGAAAGAGATGTTCCAAAGTGTATTAACTACACCCCTTAGGCTAAAACCTAAGGCAACTCATTCTGAAAACAATGGGACTTGTTTCGTAGTACAGATTGTCAGAAGCACACTGTTTAGATATTTTCCTGTAATCTCTGTTCAATTATTTGAGGTTATTTGTGGTTGGAAAAGATTCTTTTAAAGAAAAATGTAGGCTCACAAACACTTGTGTGTTAATAGTTTTGCTTCACTGCTGTCACTGTGCATAAATGAAATACTTAAATGTTTACAATAGAAAGAAGAGAGTGCTGCCAAGCATTTCCTCTCGGGTGATTTGGTAAACTACTTAAAAACTCCATAGATTGGATTTGAAGATCAGTAGACACATCTGCTGAGTCTGAACTAATGCTTCTGTAGGCCTGTTCGTCCATTACTTCTAAGTGATTGTAAAAGTTAGGGGAAATGCTGTTGTATCCTCCAGAATAGCTGTAGCTATAAAAGGTATTACAATTGGCACAGAAATTTAAAAAGTCAGTCCATGGATGAGCCTTTTCGTATTTCAGCATACTGTGTTGGCTTCCTTGTTGGTGGGGGGAGTAGCATTTTTCTCTAGTCATGCACCTCATCTCTGACAGTTTAAAGCTGAGCAGCAACTTCATTTGTGGGAAGCACATCAGCAAAAACTAAAAGACAAATTTAAAACTACTTTGCAAATACAAACATAGGATTCACCATTATTAAAGCAGATCCAGGAAACCTTAAGTGGGCTTACCTCTTTTGCGTGGCTGTAATACTTTTTTCCCAAGATAAAGAATGGTAAGTGCTGAGATAATATAATTCATAATGGTGCCCACACGAGCTGGATAAGCCAGAATGAACATGCCAAAGACATCAAAGAAGACCATATTTCCATGTCGATATTCATGAGATCTGGCCAGCTTATCTGATTTTGCTAAGTATTTTATGACACCTAAAATATTGTCACCTTTGGAAAAAGGTAAATACAGATTTGCATCTTTTCCTCAGCATTTTCACACATAATACCACAAAATGTATGTCATCACAAAATAAATGTTTATTAGATTTATATCCCACTTTTTTCTTATAACAAACTCAAAGTGGCTTAGATCATTCTCCTCCTGCTGACCTCAGTCTTATCCCCACAACACCAACTCTGTGAATTAGAGTGGGCTGAGAGTCTGTGACTGGCCCAAAGGCACCCAGCTGGCTCTATGGCTGAACATGGATTGGAACCCAGATTGCCTGAGTGCCATTCCTGCACTCTTAACCACTACACCACACTTTTAATACAGTGACCTGAAGACTTTACAATGCTTTCAACTTGTGTGCAGATGATGTATAGAGACCTCTGTGAACAGATATGTATTTGAATACTTGATATACTGGTTTATGTAGTTCTTAAAGATGTGTTCTCGTTCTCTTTCTCTCTCTCTCTCACACACACAAACACACACATTCTTCATATGTATATACTGAAATGAATATATTCAAATCTATGTAGCCACAGGTTTTCTTTTCTTGTATTGATATTTTAGAAAAAATAAGGTTGTAAAGGATCGTAAACTGTAACTGTAGTCTTAGAGTTACCATAGGCTGAGTGGAAGAAGCAGTAGAGCCAAATTTCACCATTCCACTGTTGCCCCCTTCATGTTTCTCTAGATGGGCTTTTCAGAGAGGGAGGGAAGGAAGTTGGAGAGGCTTCAGGATAGCTCATATTCTGAATACTCTTTTCTTCCTTCCTCCCAAAATGTTCCCCTTTCCATTTCTCCAAGATCACTTGGCCAATCTCAGAGGGCAGCCAAGACAGTTTTTGTTATTATTTATTTATTTATGAAGCTTCTATGCCACCCCATTCGCCGAAGCCTCGGGGTGGCTCACAAACACAGTGCTACACAGACACGGTGCTACACAGAAAGTCAGGATTTGAGTTCCACTGCCCTGTTCTCAGATCAGAGTGCTGTTATCTGACCTTGGACTTGGGAATCTAAACTACCCTATGGCCCCTCAAATGCTGTCTAGAGGCCACAGGATTGTTCCCTTACACACACACATGCACACAACTTTAAGGAAAACATCTAACTCATACTAGAAAAATGTATGATTCATGGGTTGTCTTTATACGTGAACAGCTTGAGATACTTTCTATGAGTGTAGGATTTTCTTTGCACACATTTATTTTCTTTCAGATGTACTACAATTATGCTATAGGTCCAGAGGTTTTTTAACATCATAATAGTCAACACAGAAAGAGACATTTCAGGCTTGCACTGATCTAAAATATGAGAAACTCTGAATACCAACCTGCCCTCTGAATTGAATCTGTCAGAATTCGGTCTGCTGTGTCATATTTTGTATGATAGATGTAACCATTTTCAATGAAAGCCAAGTCTATTCCTGTAAATATAATTTGAATTAAATTATTATACCTAGCTAAAAATAGTCAGTCTATTGCTAACGTAATCCATTCACTTTTGACTAACATTAATATAAATACATCATCATCACCCTACATTTGTTAGATATATCCTACATTGTTACATATCCACTCTTCTATTAAATAGTCACAGCTGGATGCTGGACCATAGTTTCATAAGATGGATGCCTGCCCCTCATCCTTTCTCACTCCCCTTGCATGCTGGCTTGGGCACAGAGATCCTGGCTTGCAATAAGCCAGGATTACCCACTACTTGGCAGGATAGCATGACTTTTTATGCATAAATTTCTGGCAATGTTCCAATATGCATCCTTGTGCTCCAGTTGTCCTCCATCCCTTTGTTCATTCATGTCAATGTCATGTCAAGAGATCTGTGAAGGTTTCATGAACTCATAAGGGGCCACAAGAACCATATTCCCACAGAAATATTTCCTCAAGGATCATATTTCAGATAGTCACGGTGCATTAATCTAGAACCAGAAACTGTCTTTTGTGTTGCAACTTGTACTTTATTCCAACAGGTTTAGATACATAGGTTGCAGCTTATATTGCTGTTTGAACCAAGATGGATTTTGTTTTGTGAACTTTACACTAGCAAATGGGTTGGAATAGCCCTTTGCCTGCCCCACCAGTACAGCCCCTTGAGGAAGGAGTATATCTGCTCCAAGAGAGGGGCTGCTCCACAGTATGTCTCTCAGCCTAGTAAACTCCTGTGGCTTTAAACTGTAAGGGCTGCAAAGCTATGTGCTGGTTACAGCAGTCTGCCCCTGCTGGCTGATGGTGTTACTGTAGACTTCAACAATATTACGTTGCCAAGATAATTTTTCCAGACGGAACAAAAATCCTACAACTTCCATCAAGCTTCCAGTCAGCTGTTCTGGGTGGGACATACTGGGAACTGAAGGTCTTTCTGTCTAAGTGTGAACTGAAGCATACACTTAAATTAATTAAAATTAATGTGAATTAAAAACATACTAACCCCAAGGTACACACCCCCAGGAACCTGTACAAATCCATGCTAAGTTTCAGGTGTCTAAATCTTACAGCCTTTGTCAATATAGCACTTGAAAGGCACTTGAAAGGACAGAAAGGTAAATGCACAGAAAAAATAAGCAGATGTAGATCTGGTGTTCCACTGCAATCCATGGCAGACCCCTTCACAGACCCATAACTGGAGATAAATGAATATTTCACTTTAGTTTTTAAAGAAATGTGACACTTTTATTTTAGAGTGTTGTCTATCACTTCTAGCTAGATAATTTACCCTCAAAAGGGTAATAGGCTGCTATGGCTTGCAAAAATGGTCAACGGCAAAATAGTTACAATAATTTGAACTTGCAGTTTATTTGAAATCCATGCAATGAATGCATATCAGCATTACTAATATTGCCAATTTCTAGGACAATAGAATGCATTTCTTCTAGGTTGTTCTGGACAGCCAAGCCTGCAAGCTAAAACTCCAGCTCACAAGATTTCAATTACATCCACAAAGATTAATCCTTCTATTCACTTTCACTTGTCCTTTTGTCCATCCAAGAGAGCTCAAATAATGGATCTTCCAAAATCATCCAACTACATACCTGGAATCTTGCCAAAGTCTCTGTAAATACGGAAATCTGTTTCTGCAGGAATTATACCACTCTGAAACACTTCCTGGGCTACAACACAACCAAATGGGTGTTTAGCAGCAGAAATATATGCTTGCACTAGCCAGGGATTTTCAGGACCTGAAAAAATGAAAAAAAAAGTAATAAAATGAAAAGCCATTTAATTTTAAATGTGTTTTAACTACTGAATTTGTGGCTTGGGTCCTTAGATAAGGCAAGTTAAGAAAGTTCACAAGAGGAAAGTTTCCCATCTCCTCCTCCTTGCTGAAGCCTCGAGAAATATGAACAACCATGATGCCCAACCCTCCAGAGTGACTTTTCAGGCCACGCTGCTCTGCAAGGGTGAAGATGGGACCAGAAACATTAATAAACCTACTGACATTAACTTATCTTAGGATCCAAATCATAAAGTGGAAAACAGAAATTATACAGAGTGAGAAACTTGCTCCCTCTGCTTTCCAGAGAGCTGTGTGAGTTCAAGAGGGCTTCGGGCATGTACATTGGTCTGGGAGCTGTTTGTATACCACAATTGCTATGTTTTGTTATATTTTAATGTGTTTTATGGTTTTAATCTGTTTTAAATATTTCTGTAAGCTGACTTGATTGCCATTTCTGTTAGAAAGGCAGTGTATAAATCAAATAGATTAACTAAACCAGTATAAATCACATTAATTTCAACTGATATTACATCTACCCATTTAATTCATTTTGTTTTCATTGGTAATAACAAAGTAGCAAACACAAATCTGAATATTTAAAGGCAGATGTAACAAGAGATTAAAACTACTTTTTTGTATTTCCTGCTAAATACTGTATTTAGCTATTCAAGAGCAGGATATTAAACTGGAGGAGGAAGATTTTCCATCCCCTGAACATGGGTTTTATTTTTTTGAGGGTTACTATCTCTCCAACTACCCCAACTGGCATGTATTAACACAGTACTCTACCTAAAACTATTCTTGAGCTTTACTAATGCAAAAACTGTCATGTTTCCCTTTACTTTTCTACCTAAAAGGAACTTACATATTTCATTTAAAGCTAGACACAAGTCTAGGATTTTAAATTTCCGATAAATGTATTTTCTACCTTAATTGCATTGTTATCCAGGAATTTTTGAGGTGAATCTGCAGTTCAATGATTTTTCACAATCTATATAGGTTATTCTTATACTTAGCTGTTTGCATAGTAAAAACAAAATTTATGCTCGGGCCTACATCTGATTTTTTGAAGTCTCTGCAACACTTTTTCCACCAGTGCAAATAGATGCCAAGATCGACAGCAATTATGTATTCATGCAAAAGGGAATCATATGCACACACCTAGAACTTTCTGCATTTTCCAGCTCTCTAGCTCAATGAGGCCAGTTGCTGCATACTTTTTAACACTCCTTGGCTTATCAGCACGGAGATCTATAGCAATGAAAAGCCATAACAAAACTTCCAGCTTCAAGCATATGTACACAAATCTTGTGCACATACTTAAATGGCTTGCTTGGATCATGGCTCTGAACAGGAGCTTCTCCTTATTCATCTGTCCTGATTTCACCAATCTATTGTGAAGTAACCAATGCCTGAGATCTTCTCTTCTATCACCTATTAATCTTGCAGACAAATTAAGAGCAAAGAGTATCTAATTGATTTATTAACCAAGTTTTCTAACTGTGAAAAAAAACCTGTTTTAATTTGATGATAATGATTTGCCTTTCCCTAGGTATAAACAACATTCTTCTGCACAATATGTTGAATTTACTTAATGAGGGATAGGGATTCTGTGTCAGATACAAATATCTATCCTTATCTTCAGCTTTCTATCAAAAAGTTCATTCAAGTGGAGTTCATTATGTTTTTAAAGGTAACTCCTGTCAAGATACTCAAGAAGTACTAAGCAACTTACCCGTTTGAAACACAAGCTCTTTCCCTCCCACTCCAGCAGCCTCCAGATTAATAAATGCTCTGACTGATTTAGCCCATGGATGTTGTGTAATGAATCCATGACTAGCCTTGATGAAAACCAAAAATAATCACAATCAAACATCACAATATCTTTTAAATATACAGTAATACCTCGGTTCACGAATGCTTCTGTTTGCGAACAATTCGGTTTGTGAACAGAAAGTTCAGCAAAATTTTGCTTCCGTTCACAAATTCTGCATGGGGTGATGAACATTTCCCCACAGCACTTCCCGTGACCTTCTTCAGATATCCTATCTCTGCTTTGCCCAGGAGCAGGGCTCGTGCGCCTGGTAGGCTTTGGGGTCCTGCTGGGCGCTTCAGGGAATGTTTGCTCCACTCACTCGGGCTGCAGAAGCCCAAGATGACACTGAGCCACCTGCTGAAAGGGAGAGCATGTCACGAGGGGAAGCCATGAGGGAGCACTCGCCTTGGTCGAGGCCTTCCTGGGTCCTCGCCGCTGCCCCGCTTCCGAGCTGTAGTTGAGCGAGTGCAGCTATTTTTTTAAATAAATTGATCACACTGTAGGTGCCCAAAAAAGACAGGCAGGCAGGCAGGCAGGCAGGCAGGCAGGCAGAAAGAAAAGTTTGCCAGCAACTGACAGTCTTCCATGTGCAGCCTGGGGACTCTGAAGGGGCGTATCAACGGCTGTTGAAAGGGAGACTGTAAACCCTGGCTGTGAAGCTGAAGACCATGAGCTTTGAAAAAAAATTGGTTAAAGGGACAAAATAGTCAGGGCAAGTGAAAAGGCCTCAAATGTGCAGTGAGAAGGACAAGCATATTCATCCACCTGGGATAGTAGAAGGACCACAATGGAAGAAGGGGAAAGGTGGGCAAACAACACATTGTGTGCCCAATCATCTGTCAGGTAAACCATGGATTGTTCCAACAATCCATCTGTTGGCTTACTGCCAATTTGGGTTTGTTGTAACAAACTTCCTTGTTGTGTAAATGCTTTTAATCCCTTCAAAACCTATTATACTATCATGGTATGACAAATAGCACAATTAAAAAATCAACGGCTACCACAGTTGCCCAGGTAGGATTCTTTGGAACTTTTATGTACCACATTTCAGCTTTTTTCAGTATCAAACCCTGGACTATTACCAGCTTTGCAGCTCTATAGTTTTGAGACCAGGCTATCTGAAAGATCACCTCCTTTTCCACAAACCACATCGCTATGGTCATCAAAGGAGGTTCTGATGAGTTTCCTGCCACCCAATGCGACGTAGAAGTTATGACCAGGAGCTTAAGTAGCAACTCTAAAGAGATTCACTAACCCAAAGCTCTGACTGTTTGGACAGCAAGTTGAAACAGCCTTGTCTGCCTGCTCTTTCTTGATATTATTTCTGCCTCTTGATTTTTTTTCTTCCATGGTTTTGCTGCTGCAAAGTTTCTGTCCAAAATTGGTGCTGCTGAATTAATTTTTTGTTTTAATAGGAATTAGGCACTTGCAGGTTGCCTTGTCCTGACTCGGACTATTGGTCCCTCTAGGGTGGCATTAACTATCCTGGATGGCAGCAGTAACCCAGGATTTCAGACAGGAGTAAGCTGTTTGTTTTGATCTATGTTGTTAGCCACTTCTCAGACATGGTGATGCAAGCTATAATGGCAGTGTGGTGGAGTGGTTAAGAGGGTGGGACTGGGACGCAGACAATTTGGGTTCTAGCCGCACTCAGCCGTGAAGTCAACTGGGTGACTTTGGGCCAGTCACACACTCTCAGCCCAACCTACCTCACAGCGTTGTTGGTGTGGGGATAAGACTGAGAGCAGCAGAAGGAGAATGGTATAAGCCGCTTTGAGTTCTTTAAAAAAGAAAAAAGGCGGGATATGAATCTAATAAATAAATAAGATATAAACCAACTTATAAATGTATCAGAGCAAGTAAATTAGCTCTTTGGAACCTACCTGATTTACTAAAGTTTTATAAATCTACCTATATTGTATTCTTACCTGTAAGATGCTTTCCTCTGCACCATTAAACAGGAATATAACAGCATGCTGTAATGGTTCAGGTGACTTTGAAAGAGCATGAAGTATCTCAAGCATCACAGAACAGCTGACAGCATCATCACTGGCACCTTAAAATTATAAAACATTTAGTATAATGAACTCCTGTGCCTTGAAACACAATTCTTCTACTGAAACCTTTTGTTTTAAAGGCACATATCTATTTGGGTCAATGCATTTGAAAAAGTTCTCTTTCAGTCCTATACTGTTACACAAAATACTCAAGAGGATTTTGGAACATTAATACCAAGAAGAATTATTTTCCCTTCTCTTGCCAAGTTTAAGTATTTGAAAGCATTTGACATGAAGTCAGTTCCAGGGCTTACTTCTGCTGGTTAGCAATTTGAAAAGTAATCAGAAAAAGACTATAGGAAAACACAAAACTATCAAGTGCAATCTGAGCAAGAAAGTCTTTTACAATTTTAATAGTTTTAGAGCACAGTCGTATAGAGGGTGCACCCAAAAGATGAAGGACTTCAAGACTGGAATGCTCCAGCTGTCCAAAGCCCTGCCAGCAATAACGTGGCAAGGACAGAAAAAAATGGAGGAGAATTTGCCTCCAGTTCCTTCTTAATCTTGTATTCTTCCTTCGAAGGCCATAGCAGTATCTCAGAAGTGGGAATCTACCATTTCTTATGTTCTCTAGACCAGGGACCACAGGATTGCTATATTGTGAACAAATACTGGTATGTATGTATGTATGTATGTAAAATATTTCTATGCCGCCCCATTCGCCGAAGCCTCGGGGCGGCTTACAACATAAAATTAAAATATAATACATTCAAAATATACAACAAATTAACAATATAAAATAAGTCGCCCTGGCCAGATAAAATAAGCAAATAATATTAACAATTAAAATGACGCTTAAATAAAAAGGTCTTCGCCTGGCGCCGAAAAACAAATAACGACGGCGCCAGGCGGACCTCTCTGGGGAGCGCATTCCATAGATTGGGCGCCACCGCAGAGAAAGCCCTCCTCCGAGTACCTACCCTCCTAATTTCTTTCACGGAGGGTTCCCGGAGAAGGGCCTCTCCCGCAGATCTCAAGGGGCGGGCGGGCATATATGGATGTAAGCGCTCCTTCAGGTAACCAGGACCCAAGCCGTTTAGGGCTTTATAGGTCATCACCAACACCTTGAATTGGGCCCAGACTTCAATGGGAAGCCAGTGAAGCTGACGGAGGACTGGAGTCATGTGAACATAACGCCCAGTCCCCGTCAGCAGCCTGGCAGCTCTATTTTGAACCAATTGAAATATCCGGACCATCTTCAAGGGTAGCCCCACGTAGAGCACGTTACAGAAGTCAAGGCGGGAAGTCACCAGCGCGTGTGTCACTGTCGCCAGGCAGTCGTACTCCAGGTAGGAGCGCAGCTGAAGGATCAGCCGAAGCTGAAGGAAAGCACTCCTTGCCACTGCTGTCACCTGAGCTTCCAATGAAAGCTCTGGGTCGAGGAGCACTCCCAGGCTGCGGACCTTGTCCCTAAGAGGGAGTGCAACCCCATTCAGGACTAAGTTCAATTCACCCTCTCCTCCGTCTTGTCTGGATTGAGCTTCAGTTTTAAAATTATTATAGCAAAATTTAACTGCCAGTCATAAGGATTCAGAAATGTTTGTGGAATAAGCCCTTATATGTATAAGCCTTTATACAACAAGAATATACCTTAGCACGGCCATGTCTGCCTTTAGAGCTGTATATTATGTTTTAAGCTGATTCAATAACCAGTAAGTTAAATTAACCAGTTTTAAATTCTATCTCCCATAAAAGTTTTGTGGGAAAATATATCCAGTAGCAAAGTAAAAAGCTTCCTCACAGATGTGCCAAGATGAAACTTATCTTGAAATTACCACACTTTATTTGGAAAATATTACTTTCACAAATCTTCAACTAATGAAGTAAATGAAGACATTTGTTTTAAATATGTTTGTTATCCTTAACATAAACAAACAGCATTAACTAATAAGGAAAATGAAACAACAGGGTGCCTGAGAGCCACTGAACAGCTACAATATATTACTGTATTATCTACGACTATTGTTTGTTCAGCACCCCATTTCTTAGCACCATTACTTGCAAATGTATTCTGTTGAAAAGCATGGGATTTGGTTCCATGTAACGTCCAAAAGTTGTACTCCATGTTAGCCCTACTTAGAATACACTCACTCAAATGAATAGGACCTAAGTTAATTCTATTATTTTACTTATAACATTTATATACAATTCAATAGCCAAAGTTCCCTGAGAAATTCACAAGAATTAAAACACAACATAATATAATCCAACCAAAAATTATATTATATAACAGAAATCAAACTGACTAGCTTCAGAAATATTCATTTCAATGGGTCTACTTTAAATAGGACTGAGTTTGGATACCACCTCGGGATTCAGACAAGTCTGAATAGCACAAGCCTAAGCGGGCTTTTGACTTCTGTTTCTCAAACAACAGGAGCCTGCCTTGTCACATGGAAAGATATTTCTGAAACTGCAGGTGTTTGGAAAAAGTTGTTTGCTGTTCTAAGTAAAAACATCCCACATGGCATTTGCAAGCCATTTAGCTCACTTAAAATACAGTTTTTCAGAATAGAGGCAATATGCTTAGAAGATATAAGAAAGAAAAAAAATAAAAACTCAAGGAATTAAACACCTGTATATGCCAGCTATTTAATTAACTTGCTTAGCTTAGTTTGCTCTTGGATAGGTTTAGGACCAAATGGATAAGACATAAGAACAGGGTGCACTGACATTATTTGAACATATGTATAAATACTGTACTATCTATGACTACAGATACATATAAATAATTGATCATCAGAAAATTTTCTGGAACAGCAATATTTCTTGGCAACAAATGTCTCTCAAAAACCACCAATGTCATAAAAATAATTAATGAAATTGATTTGTACCATGCCTTCCTACCAAGAAAATGAGACTCATTTAGACATCAGATATAATATGTATTTCTTCAGCAGTAAGTTTGATATTGATCACCTATTCTAGAGCAAATGGTTATCATTAAAGTCTTTTAATAGCTTGAATTACATTGAATTATTATTGGAGCAGTCAGGCATGCAAATCAGTGTTGATTCTGTGTACATACTGGATGAGCTCATATGACTTGGCAAGCCACTCTGCAAATAAGCTGCAGAGTGTGACTTATTCATGGAACAACCCAGGGGCAATCCAACAGACAACTAGGCTCTCTGTAGGCTTTCCCCCACTTTCCCCCTTAGTCCTGCCATAATTAACCCATGGATATGTGTGGCAGAATCAGTCTTGTTTCTTCCCCCTTATCTAATTGAAACTCTTGCAGTTCCCATGGCATCCCCACCCTTCTGAGAACAATTTTCTGAAGTTGCAGCCTTTGACAGCCCCTCCAAAACACCCAAGGAACACACTGGAGCATCTGTAAATGGGCAATTTTTTGTACCATACATGCACACAAATATTTAAAAAATATGGGGAAAGTTCAGTTGTTTGGAGTTGCATAAGTACACTACTCGAACTATCCAAAATTTGAAGCCTTGCCTGGTGAATGTCCTAGAAAATGTCTGCTGTCAAAGGTACAAGAAGAAAAATGAGAGGAAAGGATCACAAAAGGGGTTGTGATCCAAGCAGGGGAAAGAAACCAGTGAGACTCACTTCAAAGTGACACTTGATCAATGCCACTTGACCAGCTGTCAGTGGCACCAGCCCGGGGAATCTTAGCAAGAAAGGCAAAGGATTCCTGCTTCTCTTGTCCGGTGACTTCCTTACCATTTCCTTAGGTCCAAGGTAGGATCGCTGGGTTGCTTTTGGACTATGCACCCACCTGCTGTGTGGCAAACAATCCCTAGTACAGGCCATTGGTTGCCAAATCAAGCCAGCCTGTAGGAAGCAGTGCAGAGTCACACTACATGACAACCTGCTGTTTCTCACAATGAGTTGATAATTGAACAAACCCAATTATCTTTCCAAAGCAAAGAACAAGCAACTTAAAAAATACTAAAGTAATCCAATTCCTATTTTTTATTACAGACAGAAAAATGTAGTGTTTTACTAAACAAACACAACTGGTATGTGACTTGCAACATAGATTACTTCTGTGTATGTTCCTATTTTTAGTGAAATTTCCCACTGGAGAAATCAGCCAGCTAACCTTCAGGTAAATTTCCTGTGAAGTTGTGACTTTCTCCCCATTATACAACACTGTACCTACCTACAGTATTTGGTACGGAATCAAAGTGACAGTTGGACAGCACAGCATGCTCAGCTCCATTTCTGGGTTCTAGTTTAACCACAACATTAGTAATGTTGTCGTAGTAACTAGTGAATCCTCCAAGAAAGTCAATACTGAAGGTGCCTGTTGGCCTCTGTATATCTACAGAGATTGTGTGGATATGACTGCTTTCAATTTCAATAGCTTTAACTTGTTCCAAGAGGTAGTTTACTGTGAAGATTTCATTTTCTGGACTTCCAACAACTCTTGAACCAATTGCAGTAATATTTTCCAGATATATCCTGTAGGAGACAATATGAAGCATTAGAAGTGTATCTTAACTCACGCATACATTCAGATTTGAGTGCAATGTGTAGGTCTTCCAAATAATTTCTAAGACAAGAGAAAGAGGATTAAATCTGTGGGTGTAGGAAATTACATAATTTCAAATAACATTCATTAAGCTCTTTGAGGTCAGAGGACAAAAGTCCAATGTTTAGCATTCCACTCGCTACCAAAAACAAGGGAAAAGGTTACTGAGCAAGGCATCAACACAGCAGCCAGTTATCCATACAATTATGAATAATGCTGATTACTGATCTGCAGCCTTTTATGTTACATCATCAAAGGAGTGTACCACTTTTTTCAGTTTTCACTTTTTTCATTGGGTGATTCTGTTCATCTTCAAAACGCTGCTGATACAGCCTTGACCAAGACCACCAAACGAACGGGATGTAACCCAAATCTACACTCTGTTGCAGATATGCAGTTCCTGTGGCCCTTCAGATGTTGAACAGGAGTTCCCATTTTTTTGTGATCATGGGATGTGCTGGCTGAGCTGATGGGAACAGGACCCCAACATTTAGGAGAATACCATTTCCTTCTCCCTGCTTAAATACACCAATTCAATTTTGGAGAGGCTCCCAGGGATTGCAGGTCAGAGATGTGCAGTTATTGGTGGAATAGAAATGAAATATTTATTATTCATAATAATAACAGTGAGGAAGTCCAAAGGCTGAAGTGAGGCAATAGCAGCCAAGCCAAAATACCAGTTAGGCAGCAGAAGTTGTATTTGAACCTTTTAGAATGGAGAAAATATGCAAAACTTGGCAAACCACCAAATGAGTGGTGGGCAGGGTGAGGTTTAACACCCCTAATCTATACTATTGTATTTCCAGTAACAATTTGCTTTAGATTGCAGGGAATGGTTAGAAGATGCAGTGTATTTCTGAGCTAAATTTGAAGTACTGGTTTTACCATTTAAAACCTTAAATGGTTTGGGTCCCACCATCTCCCGACTGTATTTCTATCTTGCCTTTCTTACATAAGAAATACAATAAATAATAAATTACACTTCACTTTTCCAAATGCTTGCTCTAGATACTCTGTATTAAGTGTTTCAAACATATGATTTTGTGCAATAATGTTTAGCCACCCACAGTGCAGAATATACCATATAACAAAATATTTAACTTACTGCCTTTTCCTTGAAAATTAATTTATAATCTTCTACCCATTGGATTAAAAGTAAATCTAAAGAAGATGTTGCTGGGGGAATGTAAGGGTCAGTATAATCTAAATGAATGGGTTTAGGATTCAGATGCCACAGGAAAAAATGTCAGCATCAACTAGGAATATGTCTACATTGTGAGTGAGCCAGAAAAGAGAAAAAGGAAATTCTACAAAAAGTCAAGCTCAAATGAGGGAGACAGAAAATAAGAATCATTTCACCTATAAAAACTGTTTTACCTAAATTCTGAGGGGGAAAACATAGTCCTCCGTTGTGGTACATTTTATTAACATAAGCATTTTAGTGAGTTTTACTTCTTAACTCATGTTTAACAGTCAATAGATGCACATCTCAAAAACTAATGAAAAATTAAATGTAAGCCTAGGAATGTGGAAATTTCAGTTACACAGATATTGATTTAGCATTAGTGAAGGAATATTGATGCAAACATCTCCAAGCAATATGATATGCAGTAGGAATCTCTGGGCAGATATAGCACGTGGAAGTTCCCCATTTAACCTGCCAGCTTCTTTCCTAGGCCCGTGAGATCTTTTGTTTGCACAGCACTGATAGAGACTCAAGTGTTTTAGAACTGAGCAAGGAAAATGTTGCCCTTCAGCTGATCCGTACAGGTCAGCTGGAGAAGGGCTCAGAAGGGGGGGGGGGTCTGCGTGAATAATATGTAAGAGTAGAGCAGCCATACACACTTCGGGTTCTGGACATGCTAATTGTTGGCCTATAACTAACCCTGGCTACCACTGAAAAGGCTATAAAAATATGGATGTCAGCATGTTGTACTCCTGAACAGGCCTAGACTGGACAAGTGGGGGTAAAGAGGGAATAAATGAAAAAGGAAACCTCTTAACCTTGCCCCTTCCTTTTTCACTCTGCAAAATATTATCCATGCTGATAATGAATTGCCAGAATACCTCTGCGTTTTCCCCATGTCAAGATAATTTTAGTTGAGTTGTAAATGCTCAGTACAATACAAGTAGGCTACAGCATTCATAAATGAGATAAGGGTGTCTGTGGCAATTAATAACTGGGTGTGACTGTTGCTCTATACAAATTAGCATAAGCCAGGTTCAGGCTTGTCCACTATAAAATGACTCTGTACCAGTTATTCTAGATAAAAGATATTTACCTGTACAAAGAAACATCTCCCATGCACCAAACTATTTCGTAAAGATAGGGAAGCTCTAGCAGAAGGTTGCTTTCAAATCCTCTCACTCAGACACCAGTTTGCTCTGATTACTAATTTCTGCCACAGAAATAAAAGATCTAGCTAGTTGTATGCTTTAGTACTATTTGCCGAGGAGGAAATTACTGAAATGGGAGTGCACTGCTTCTTTTCTTTGCTGAAGACTTGATCAAAAAGATCCCTCCTCTGAGACAGATCCTATTTCTCCTCAAGTTCCGGCGAGCATGCAGCAAACTGGAGTAAGAGATCAAAGGTGACCCTTCAAGCCAATTCTACATCATTTGATCAATCTAATTACAAGCCAGTGGTATCTGTCCCTAGTACCTTCAAATGTCCTAGCACTTAATTTCTGACTCAAATTAAGTCAAATGATCCTGCCGGTAATTTTATTTATTACATTTCATAAAGGAAAGGCTTTCTTCACATCCACACCTTAATGATCCACTGATCTGACTAAGCAATGCATACAAAGATAAGAAAACTTGCTCCCAGGAAAAGGTATCAGCCCAAAAGCTGAGGTGGCCTCAAGGGAGAACTGGTTCCTTTCCAGACAATGTGCAACTGTGAAATTTTATAAAAGTCACAATGAAGGCACAACTGTCATAGCACTGTTTGGATTACTATAAAATATGGTACCACAGCTAGTATGACAGTGCACACTACTGATAGGCAATACAAGTTATGCATGAACGTCATATGTATGGGGGGGGGGAGAATACCAAGGAACAGTATTAATTCTTAGGCTCAGGGAGGCCTGGATGCCAGGCCAAATCCCCTTGAAGAGATCAGTCAGAAACCTGAAACCACTGCAGTGCAAGAGCAAGCAAATCTTGTGTGCAACCTTGTTTTGCAAAATTTTGGCAGGTCGAGGGAAGTAAAAATTTCTATGCCCTGTACAAAGGAGAACAGCCTGGTCAACTCCTGATAAATCTCAAAGAACACCTTTACAAACTCACAATCACTAAGCTTTAAGGGAAACCTCTGTTCCTGCACCACCCCACTGTACACACATACATATTGACAAACTAGGAACAACCCAAATGCGCATAATACAGGATGGCTGCGGGTTGAAAAAAGGAAGCAGCCGAAAGTGCACCAGAGGCACCATGAGGAAGTGTGCATTTTTGCAGGACCGCCTTTCTCATCCCAAAACCACCACTACCGAACGTTGCCCTCCTAAGCGACTAAAAGTTCCGGTGTGATCCCAGGAGAAAGTATAAAGCCCCTGGGGTGGAGTTCTCTTCCTCATGCACACCTCAGAGCGGGGGAAGGAGCCGGCTTCACCTCAGCTCGAGGAGGAGAGCGCGAGCGCCGCCGCTCCGGCCGCGTCGGTTTACCTGGCGCGAGAGGCATCGAATTCCCCAGGGTCGCGCGCCGGCCGCACCAGCTGCTGCAAGGACACCTGCACGAGCCCGCGGAGCCCGAGCAAGTACAGCAGCAGCACGAGCGCGGCGCGCGTCTCCGACAGTAGCAGCATCCTCGCGCCTCCGCCTCCTGGCTTCCTCCAGTCCCGTCCATCTTCTTCTTTCTCCGGGCGCCGCCGTTGTTGTTGGTGATGCTGCTGGTAGCGCTGCTGCTGGTGCTGCGACGCCTGAGTACGCAGGCGCCTGACGGCACCCACCGCGGCTGAACTCCGCTCCATAGAAACCCCGAGCTTGCCCTTGTCCCAATACCGGTGCAGCTCCAGCAGCAGCAAGGCGCTTCGTACGGCAGCTCCGAAAGGACAAAACTGCGCAACTGGGACCGGCCCGCCTTTTTTTGGCTAAAATGAGCGGGAGAAGCGGCCGTAGGAGTCGCCTAGTAAGGTCACATGCTCAGAAAATGTCCCATATCCTTCCCCTCGTCTTGCTCACCAATCACCATGGTTGTTGTGACTTCGTAGGCTGGGCCGGAAACGTGTCGTGAAGGGGATGAGGACGAGATTGCAGCTGCTGCCTGAGCGTCCTTTGGTGGTGTAGGTGCGCGTCTCTCCGAAGTATTTGTGTTGTTTCTTGCGTGCAGGGAAGGGAGGCCACACTCACGTGACGAATTTTGTGCTAGTGTTTCTTACCTGTACCTCTGACAGGGAGCACCACGATATTGTTTGGATTAAGTTTCAATTTGTTTGCCTTCATTCAGGGCACTACTGCCAACAAACATTGATTTAGCGCCAAAATACTTTGTTTTGCATGAGATGAAAGGAAAAATAGAGTTCAGCGTACTGATAACACAGAACTCAAATCTCCAGATCACATCTCCCAATGGATTCAAGTATATGTTAAATGGCATGGAAAATAAAAGAATCCTGAGGAACTCCATAAGCCCATGGACAAGCATTTAAACAGGAGTCCACCAGCACCATTTTCTGGGCCCGCCCCTCCAGGAAAGAATGGAGCCACTGTAAGACAGCACCTCCACTCCCATCCCAGTAAGATGGCCAAGAAGGAAAGCAATGTCAATGGTATTGAAAACCACTGAGGGGTTCAGCAGAACCAACATTTTCTAGTTGCCAGGGTAGGTCGTCTACCAAGGCTACCACAGCTGTTTCCATCCCTTTACCAGGTCTAAAGCCAGACTGAACTGGATTGCCATGCTCCAACTCATTCTGGTATCCCTGGAGCTGGAGCCCACCACATTTAATACCTTGCCCAAAAACAGAATATTGGAGACTGACTGATAATTATCCAATATAGACAGGTTTCAGGGAGGGCCTTTCTAGCGTGGGTCTCACCACTGCCACACACCACAGTCTCCCTCTGGCTGCTTTTATGAACCAAGAAAGACAAGGATCCAAAACACATGTTGCAGCTCTCACCTGCTTAACAATCCTGCCCACATCCTAAAGCTGTACCAATTGAAAAGTATCCAATAACACTGGACAAGCCAGAGCCAAAGTTCTGCCCACTGGGACTGCAGCAACTAGAGCATCTCTTTTGAGTCAATGTATAGAAGGTTCCTGACCACCCAAAACATTATTAGAGAAGAAGGCCAAAAGACAATTCCTGTAGCAAAAAAATAAAAAATAGTCTAGATGGATGACAGAAGAAACATGATTGCTAAGAACGTGGCAAGCAAAAGAGTACAGAAATAGGGAAAGAATTTCCCTATTACCAACTTTTCAGTGACTATCATGTATAGACAAAAGATTTATTACAATGACCAGAGCAAAAAATAGAAGTGAAAAACAAGAGGGGGAAAAACAAGATCTTTTTCAGAAGATCCAAAACCTGTAATATTAGAAGGTGAAGTGAAAGCTGCTCTGAAACCACTTTAAAGGAACAAGTATAATTAAGTAAAGTTAAACTATAGAATTCACTGCCATAGGAAGTGGTGATAGCCACCAATCTGGGTGGCTTTAAAAACGGATTGGGCAGATTCATGAGGGAGGAAGCTTGCTCTGGGCAAACTTCTTGCAAGCATTATAGAATCAGGAAGCACACAGAGGGACAAGCCCTGCTGAAAAAGAATTAACATGGTTTCTTCAAGGGGAAGTCCTGTCTCACTAACTTATTAGAGGTTTTGTGGAGTGTCAATATGCGTATGGACAGGGGCAATCCAGTAGATATTATTTACTTGGACTTCCAAAAGATCTTTGACAAAGTCCCTCACCAAAGACTCTTGAGCAAACTTAACAGTCATGGGAGAAGGTGGGGGGGGGGTCCTCTTACAGATTACTAACTGGTTAATGAACAGAAAACAGTGGAAATAAATGGCAATTTCTCCTAATACAAGGATGCAACTCGCAAAGTCTCACAGGTTCTGTATTAGGACCAATGCCTTTCAACCCATTCATAAATGACCTAGAATTAGGAAAAACCAGTGAAGTGGCCAAGGTTGCGGATGACTCTCTAGGGAGTTTAAAACCAAAAGAAATTGGGAGAGCTCCAAAGGGATCTTCCAAGCTGGGAAAATTGGTGTCAAAATGGCAAATGCACTTCAGTGTAAGCAAGAGTCAAGTAATGCATATGGGGGTGAAAAGTCCCAACTTTAAAGGCAGATGGGATCTGAACTAGCAGTAACTGAGTAAGAAAGGGATCTTGGGACAGCTTGATGAAAATGTTGGCCCAGTGCACAGCTACTGTGAAAAAGGCAGACTCCATGCTGGACACAAGTAGAAATGGAATAGAAAATAGAACTGCCAAGATTGTACTCCCCTTATGGTACGATGGCACTTACAGTATTGTGTACAGTTCTGGTTACCCTACCTGAAAAAGGACATTATTGAGTTGAAAAAGGTAACAGAAGGGCAACAAAAATGATAAGGGCTGGAGCAGCTCCCGTATGAGGAATGGCTACAACAACTGGGACTGTTGAGTTAAGTAGAGGCAAGATAGAGGTGTTTAAAATAATACATGGAGTGGAGAATGTGGAGTGGAAGACATTTTTCTCCCTCTCTCATAACACTCAAACCCAGAATCATCCTGTAAAGCTGATTAGTGGGAGGTTTAGGGCTGATGAAAGGAAGTGCTTCTTCACACAATATATAATTAAACTATAGAATTCACTGTCATATTAAGTGGTGATGGCCACTAATCTGGGTGGCTTTAAAAGGGGATGGGACAGATTCATGAGGAAGGAAGGTATCGGTGGTTACGAGCCTTGCTAGCTATGTGCTGTCTCCTTTACCAGAGGTGGCCTGTCTGCATATACCAGTTGCTGAGTAGCTTGGGCAGGTCGAGTCTTGCGCCCATTCTCCTTGAGGGATCCTATGGGAAGCTGGTTTGGCACCATGTGAACAAAGTGCTGAGTTGGATGAAGCATTGGCAATGCACCTTGGGATTGAATGTCAGACATAGTAGCTGATGTGCAACAGGGAGGAGTAAAAGGGGAAGATGGGAACCACATTAATGTGGAAAACACATGATCATCTGTTGGGTAGATCATGGTAAAAAACCACAAATCATGGTAGCTGATGTGAGGTGTCAGCTCACAGTTGTAAATGACCCACACTTATGCAGGCAATAAAACTAAAGTCTTTTACTGCTACTTTTGTACAAGATTTACGATGCTACGAATAAGCTCTCCTGCAATCACCTTTACAAGTTAGTTGCTATCTTCTCAGTGACGTCCCTCAGGGAACTCATGTGGGATTAGCTTTCTTTGTCCCACCTTTCCCCCCTGAGGTGGGACAAAGCCTCCTTTTGTTCCAGTCGGGGTAAGGTACGTCTAAGAGTCGCGCAAGACAAATCTATCCCGCCTCCTGCATCTTCTGTATCTTGTTCAGGAGACTCAGCGTCAGGAGGAAGGGGGGTATCCTGCCCACGCTCTTCAGGGGCAGAGCTTGTAGTGTCTTTTCCCTCGGAGCCCTCGTGGTCAGACAGAGGCTTGGCTGTTTGCCCAAGGGGTAAAGGGTCAGGATGAGGGATGGCTATCTGTTCAGCTACTCCCAAGCCAGGTTGTGGAAGGGTCACTTGGCCACAGGGCCTCAAGTATAAGTGCTCCTGTTCTGCTGTCTGATTCTCTCTTTGGGCGTTTGACTGTTCCTCATGAGGTGCCGCCTCTGTTGAGGCGTCAGGCGCCACAGTAACCCTTTAGGATTGCTTGTTATGCTGTGGTGTATTGATAAAGAGTGCAGGATTGGGACTCGAGGGATCTTAGCCAACTGGATGACTTTGGGCAGTCACAGACTCTCAGTCCAACCTGCCTCACAGAGGAGAATGGTGTAAGCTGCTTTGAGTTCTTGGTAAGAAAAAAGTGGGATAGAAATATAATAATAAATGTTATGGATGGACTCTTGGTGTGATCAGCATGGCTCTTCTTGCATTCTTAGAGAACCAAGGGGCTGCAGAGGGTCTACGTCAACAACCTGCCATGTGTGAGTAAAGCTTGATGGGATTGCCAGCTCTGGCAACTGAAAATTCCCCCAGGAAATTCATCGTTCCATAAGGATTACATAGAGCATCAGATTCCATATTTTTCCGGAATTGCAATCCTGTACACTCCTGTGAATTCTATTGAACTCAATAGCAGTGAATTATTGTTCTGATATTTTGTATAACTTTTTTTAAGCAATAGTCAATTGATGGGAAATATGGACAGGTTGAATTGGAACTGGTAAAGCAAACCATGCCGTGTGGTTATGAAATCCTTTTTCCCACACAGGTGCCTTACTATAAAAACCGAAAGACTGCAGGCCATGTAATTATCCCATGAAATCTTTCACCTTCACGCCTTGATTTAAATATCTTTTGCGAAACAACTTATATTTCTTAATTTCAGTGTGTTCATGGATAAGTGTATTGAAACAGGTTTGAACAGATATTATGCCAGGTGCAAGCTTCTTATACTACAAGTTGAACAAGCTGAAATTCTCAGTCCAGTGTTGGGCAGGCTGCTGGTATGGGGGTCCTAAGAGACACTTTGCCCCCTGATGTTGTGTTCCATCATTTTAAGATGTCCAATCTATTAGTGGTATTAGTAATGCATTTATACACCTTTTTCATTTTGCAAGGAATCCAAGGCAGCCTACATGTCCTCCACCTCTCTTTTTTTCCCTTTGTAACAACCATTTCTTTCCATGATACTATAATAACCCTGGGATATCTCGGGTTCTAAATAGGTGAGTGTTTTCAAAGTTAAACTTGTGGGCTTTGGCTAATACTCTGATGAATATCATATTTCAGATTAGTTACATTTTAAATGAGATTTCTTCCTGGCAAATATTTTCAAAAAAGTTTGGTCCTTTCCATTTAGATTAGATTTTCCAGCATGGTCACTTTGGGAATGTTCTGCTCCAGA